TTATTTTAAAAAAATTAATCATAATTATTAATTATAATTATATTAATAAATTATATATAATTTAATTAATATTAATTTTTATTTTTATATATATAATATTTTAATTTTAATAATATATATTTAATTATATTTTAAATAATAATTTCGATATTTATTATAATTATTAATTAATTTATATTTTAATATTAATAATAAATAATTATTAAAATTAATTATAAATATTTTTTATTTTAAAATTATATTATTATATTAATATATAATTATAAATTAAATATATATTTATATTATTTTATAATAATATAATATATATATATATATTAAATTAATATTATATATAATTAATTCCCATAAAATTATATCCGAAATTCAAATATATTTAATTATATATCCGGATATTTAATATTTTTTTTTGGAAATAATTAAATTAATAATAATAATATATAATATTATATATAATTTTAATTATATATGATATAATATTTATATAAATATAGATAAATAAATATAATATTATTTATATTTATTTATTTGATTTAATAAATTTGATTATTTTATATATTTTTTTTAAAATCAATAATTTGGAAATATCTTGGGACGTTTCGGGACGCATAGCAAGGGTCATTGAGATGGCATTGCAAGCGAATGATATCGAAATTCTGGTACCAATAAGTACCAACCATGGCCAACCTCCATCCAACCTCCTGTGTACTTCCAACCAACCTTGAACTTATATTATTGAAAAATGTCCTTGCAAGAAACACATCAGAATCATTCAGAACCATTGATTACTGTGACTGGTGAGCTCTGAAGATCCGCGCGTCAAAGCCACCCCATGCGTCCATCTAAGCCCAACAAACCGGATCCTGATCCTTTTAGGAACTGATCCGGCCGAGGTGTGTCTGGTAGAGCGAAAAATACACACCCTACCCACAAAACCATAAAACTAAACCATATCGCATGGGCCGCATGCCCTGCCAGGAACACACCCAAAAATATCACCTAGCCTGAGCTTCCTTAAAATCCAGCCACTGGTTGACTTATGTTTTTTTAATGGAAACCAGGATTGGTTTCTGCAAAATGATCTATAGCTTGACGAGGATTTTCCAGTGGCGGTGGATCATTGCATCGACCCACATTGTAAAAGGCTTGCAGGACTATCATCAACCACTAATTTGGATGATGTTGGATAAAGATCTGGGCTCACCATATTCATATGTGTATATATATATATTCATATGTATATGTGTATATATATAATATTTATATACACATGAGGATAATATCTATATACATATAGATAGATATATAGATAGATAGATAGATAGATTAGATTAGATTAGATTAGATTAGATTAGATTAGATTAGATTAGACTAGATTAGATTAGATTAGCTTAGGTTAGGTTAGATTAGATTAGATTAGATTAGATAGATAGATAATGTCCATATTCATATGCGCATGTCTCACAAAGCTGAGATAAGCCTTTGTCTGAATGCTTCTCTTGGCTTCCCATCATTGGGTTTGATTGCTGCATCTGTTCTCCTCTGCGCATATGTACATTTGTAGATAATTAGCATCGCTCAACATCTCTTCTGGTTGGTGGTATACCTACCCCTCTGAAAAATATGAGTTCGTCAGTTGGGAAGGATTTTCCCATCTATTACGGAAAACTTAAAAATGTTTGAAATCACCAACCAGTAAATCTCTTTATGGCTAAACATGAACTGGTTTTGGATGTATGTACGCACTTGATATGTTCTAAAATACATCTAAGGCAACACTTAAGCTTCCACCCCCTTAAAAACTAACATGAACCCGCAAACATAGCGATTTTCATGTCCGAAAAATCATCATTGAAATCAAATCTATGGTAGCTTCGGGAATTGGTGGGTGTATTCACACGATGCTACCTCCACATTACCTTTTTAGTGGGTAAACCATCTATCCATGGTCCATTGTCCATGGCTGTGCTAAATAATCTTAAATTACCAGAGGGTACATTGTACGGTCATCCACATGATCACATCTGGATGATTAAAATCCGCTCATTTTGGGTTACTTTAATCCTCATTTCAAGATCAATACTTGATACCATTCAAAAGATCTCAAGTTCTTCGCCGTGAGTATAACATATATAATATATATTCTACATGATATATATAGTTATTCATATATATATATATATACACTGTATATACCCCCTGGTAATTGAACATAGCTATGGAAAATCACCCGTTTCAATAGGAGCCCATCCATGGGCCAAGGTTCATCCAAGGTTCATCCAGTGATTCGGCTCCCATAACCAAAAACCTACCATCTGGTTGGTTACCATGGATGGTTAATGATGGTTCATGGTTGATGATGGTTAGTGGGTAAATCATCTATATATCTGCTTGGAACCATCTTGAAATATAGTCACTCGGGGGAAAAAAAAAATGTTTGAAACACCCAACCAGCCATAGGTTTCAAAGCCCAGTGGCCATGGCTTGGATGATTGGAGGTCCCCCCGTGGTCACTACGGAAGCCCAGGGCGTACCAACCGGCGCCAGGATGCCTCAGGCATTCCCGGCCCAAGCGCGTACCTGGGCGAGCTGAGGTGAGCGCTATGGCCATTGGGAGCCGCTGCGCCAGTTGGAGCTGTTCTGGTTGGTGGTTGACCTACCATCTGGAGGGTTACCATGGATGGTTAATGATGGTTAATGGTTAATGATGGTTAGTGGGTAAATCATCTATATATCTGGTTGATGGTTGATCTACCCCTCTGAAAAATATGAGTCAGTTGGGATGATGACATTCCCATATATTATGGAAAAATAACAAATGTTCCAAACCACCAACCAGTGTTCATGTTTTTGTTGGGCTTAGACTTCAGCAGTGCAGAAAATCACATGACTAAATCACATGACTAGCCTCACTAGATTTAACCAGAAAACAACTGATGCATGATCTTGCCCTGCAAGCGTCCCCGGTATGGAAATCAACCGCACGGACTGCATCAATCATAGGTCAGGGGGCAAGTTGTGAAGAATCTACGTTCCTAGTTTGTCCTGATTTGCGGGTTTCTTTCAATTGCAACATGGTGCAACTTGGGACACGAAGCACAAAGCATGCAGACTTGGTTTCACTTATCAGATATCAGGTACTCAGGTACTCAAACATAAAACATATATTGAAACCGTCAACCGGCATAGTATCACAAAAGAAGCACAAGGGTAAAACCATCAACGCCTCACGCAACCACACCTTGTAGGCCACATTCCTCCTTCTCGGGAGAGATTTCTGGTTCGTTGGTACATCGGCTGTGGTACTGTGTTGCAACCAACTAGCTATATTCCGGCACATCTGATCTTGAACATATAATTCTCATGAAAAAAACAATGAAACATCTGATTTTTAATGATTTTTATAACAAAGATTTTCTTGGTTTATTGTGGTTATAGTAGTTATAGTTATATCCCAGTTCACGTTGCCACAGATTCAAAGATGTGCATATCAGTGCGGAATCATCCCCGAGATTCTCGGCTATGGGGTATCATACAGAACAGGGCCCTTATAAATGGGCCTTAGATGGGATGATATATCATGAAATAAGCCAGCTATGGCCAGTTACGGGCTTGAGGGCTATAACATGCTATAAGTGTACGTGATTGTAGCATCTTGAAAAAGGTGTTAGCGCCTTCTACGATCTAGAAAAGGCATGTCCTTTCTTTGAAAGTGCTTCGCCACTGCAACCCATGCAACGACAAATCCAGTTGTACACACAGCAAGCCGGTGTCACTTGCATCAGCTGACATCCTCCAAATGATTGATGATTTCTGGGTGCTGGATATCTTCTTATTTCAGACTTGAGGGGACATCCACAGTAAACGATTTTCTTTGAAACTGCAAGGAGTTTGCGGTTCTGCCCATCATCCCATTGAAAGAATCTGCTAAATTGGTAGCATCCACGTTCCGGGTTACTGGCTGCGAAAAGGCCTTTTCTTGTCCAGGAAAAACCCTGCTTTGAAGATCAATATATTGACTGCATTAGACACAAGACGCTCTGATATGTGGACAGAATGGGAAACTGAGAAATATTTCCACATTTGCAGTTAAGGCCCGTGAGGTATAAGTCGGTAAGTCACCCTGTTTATGGAATGATCACCCCATTCATAACCATATAGAAATCACTGGTATTTCGGGCTTTGTCTGCGTGCTTAGAATTTCACACTTGAATGTTAGATGGAAACCAGTCACATGGCAATCTCCAAGTGAGAATTATCTTTCAGAGCCCTTGGGAAATTTTCGGGTTCCTTGCGAAATTGTGGGAGGGTGCAACCATCACACCTTGTCTTAAAATTTGGATTTTACCATAATTTCCCATGATATTGTTTTCCCATGTTTTTTCCTATTACAACAAATGGGACAACACTGCAAAATTTCAACCAAGAGGCATCTTTGTCTGTCTCTGGCCACACATGGTGCGGCTTGAAAGCCTTTCCAGCAGCAAGCTTTCAGGAGGATCTATCCACTAACCCAGTGCCCAGGGGATCTAAGTGCCCCCAATGATAATATATACTGATAATGTGATAAAAACCATCATTGTCGACATTTTAGAATATCGCCATGATCATAGTCAGTGCAATGATTATCGTCAAATGGTTTGGCCCTACATCTCAGAAAGGGGTGAAGATTTTGGCTATCATAACCGTGCATGCGGAGACTGATCCACCTATGTGTAGATACGGTAGATACAGGATTCATGCATTGTATATATATGTGTATATATATATGAGTATGAGCCATGTTATAAATGTCTTACATCCTGGCACCAAATAAGGAAATGCCTACGCCATTGCTTACATCTTGCTTACGCGCGCGCACAGGTTTTGCTTACACGCATATCTTGTCTTACGCGGAGCTTACGCTGGCTTACGCGCACCACAGTCTTGCTTACGCCACACCCTTACAAGGGGCCCCTTGCTTAACATGAACACAAGGGTTTAGAACGTGGCTCATATGTACAAAGTACATGCACAGATTGCAGAAGGATGTTCAGTTTGATCAATCATCCATCCATTCTTCAAGAAATGGATTGTACAAAACGTGGGCGATTGCACGTGCAATCGAAAGGTCCACCTTGGTCATTTTCTGCGGATCCCTCCAGTTCAGGGCGACAACAGGATAGAAGAAGCACTGAATCAAAGTTCATGACGTAATCCACTCACATCTGGTTAATATTGGTTATCCAATGGTTATCCTCCCATAAGATCCATGTATTAGTATCTATATATATATATGCTAACATTGGGGGTATATTGATGGTAAATGTTACCATTTATAGCATACATGGATCCTATGGTTATGGTCGTTGCCAAAATTATAGAACGGAAGTTGAGGAGTACTTTCAAGTACGGTAAAATACCGTACCGTCTGGTTCCATACTTCCTGGTTCCTCAGAACACTGGGAAAAACTCAACTTACTTATTCCTAATTTTTGGTTGTTCTATAATTCTTCGTGGGCTCTGGTTGTGTTCCAGAACTGCGTTTTCCCCCATATTTCTCACCCTCACCAACTCTGTTCTATAATTGTGCGTTCTATAGTTAGGTGTGATGTAATTCTGTGTTCTATATTTTTGCGGGGTATCAGCAAGATAAATATATGATGTGTATGTACCCTTCAAGACTCACATAATCTGTGTCTTGCCGCTGGTTTCAATTGGAATTTCAGGACCCTAGAATGGAGGTACTGTACCATATAAGGCAGGCGTTGCCAGAATTATAGAACGGCCAAATTATATAACTATAGAACCGGCATCCGAATCCCCGCAGAGCGCGTCAAGGAGGAGTACAAAAGTGCGGTATTTGAGAGTACTTTTTGTACTCCTAATTTCGTTCTATAATTCTGGCAACACCTGCAATACCTGGATAAACTTCATCAATTTTCATCATAACTCACCAATCTGAACACTTCGACCAGTTTGGAAGACTTTCCTCAATCCAATTCCCAGCATTTACGCCGACACCTGCGACGCCCCGAGTCCGACTCCGAGTCGGACTCCGACTCCGAGGCACATTCGCAACGCCGTAGTCCGAGCAAAGCTTTTTGGCCTCCAAACGAAGCATCCTCAGTGGGAAAAACCATGGCATTCATGGCCAATGAAGCACAAGAATTGACCCTGACACATGATGATTTCTCCAGTTCGCGAACTCTTAGATTACCAAAGATGTGTATATCATTTGGGTATCTAAATTGTTTTTCCTAAAGAAATTAGTTTCTTTGTTTTCTTCGTCTCCTTTGAACAAGAAAAGGTGGGAAGTGGGGGGTAGATCAACCAAAAATACACATAAACCATCTATCTAAAAAATAATTCCTCCGTGACACAATAGACCAAAATGAAAACAACATGTTATCCCGAAAACACCGTCCCCGGAAGACTGAGGAAAGGCATTTCCTTTTCGTTTTTGGTGTCGTTCTGTTGGGAAAACTGGGCAGTACAATATAAACAGTTGTGTTGAACTGTACTTGCTAGCTGCTAGCACGACTTGTCACTTACACCAAGTCACACATAATATTATTGAATTTTCAATTTCTTATTCAAATATGTAAGAAGTTCAAAAAAATCCAAGTATGCTTTCTGCACAAAAAATGCCAAACAATGCCCCAAAAACCGTAAGATACATCCACTCATTTCCCGATGTTCTATTGCTTAGACATTCCGAAGATGTTGGCTTGTTGGCTGATCCCCAGTGATCAAAGTTCTTCAAGTTTACCGCAGTTCATGGGTGATAAATGATGATAAATAATGATAAATGGGTGCTATAAACATGATATCTTCATTTATAAACATGATAAATGATGATAAAGGATGATAAAGGATGATGAATGATAATATTAGAAGTTTATGCATAGCTTTTATCAGCCTCTTCTTTTCAAGTGTCACATTCCTGTTAATTCAGATCTTCCCATCCAGAGTGGACAGTTGGATTTTGCAATTTTCACCCTGGACCCTAAATTGTCCAGTTCCCTACCCATATAGCTACAGTATATAAGTCAATTATAAGTCCCTGATCCATCACCATATGCCATGTATCAGAATTTTCCAGAATGTTCGATCATTTTCCGCATGTCTAATGAGTTGTCCATTTTTCCCACTGATTTTCTCAATGTTTAATCAAGATCACCATTATTTTCCAGATGATTGTTTTCCCAAAGATTTTCATAGATTTTCATTTTTTCCATATGAGTTTCCATTGTTTCCCAATTTTCAGATATCAGATCCACTCCCATTTTTTCCCAATTTCCATTGTTTCCCACTTTCCATATGTTGATAGGTGGGATTCACATCCCATTATTGAGGTTTCAACCATCCTTTTGGTGCAGGATTTCGCAACCATCCACAGCTAGTTGGTGGTATACCTACCCCTCTGAAAAATATGAAAGTCAGTTGGGATGATGACATTCCCAATATATGGAAAATCATAAAATTCATGTTCCAAACCACCAACCAGATCCACAGTATGGTGGTTTCAATGTCCATTCCCCCGAAACTTGAAACCACCAGGGTTCGGATCTGCGTGATCCATGAACTCTGCAGCCTTCCCCAGCACCTCCTTAGACAACCTCGCCAGCAGGGCACCAGCTTCAAGATTTGCCAACGAAACGAAGGTTTTCTCTCTGGTAAACATATGTAACATATGTAAACATACAAGAAGTCTATGGAAAATTGTTATTTATAGATGATACACTTAGAGAAAATAGTGATTTTCCATAGCTAACAGTATACGGCGGTATAACGGAGATGTAAGCGACAAAGTGACGACCAAAGTACAGCTTTGGGTTCGCATCCGGTAATGAAACATGGCAATGGAAAGTCCCCCATTCACAGATTAATTTCCCTTTAAAACCTCCATTAAGACCAGAAGTACCAAAACATCAGTGTGTATAGATTACTTGAATGTGCATCCCAGGAATCGTAAGTGGTTCAGAACCATAATATACTCTGGTTTTATACAGGGGATATAATAGTTATATGTAGGTTGCAGCCCAGACACTAAATGGGATGCACCCCAAGTACTTTGTTGGGGCCATTCACATCATGCAGTACAGTATGAGGATGACAAAAAACTGTCAACCTACCAAGGACTTGCAAACTCGACGATAGGTCATGGGAGAAAAATGTCAAAGCGAACAGCAGCAATCATAAACCACAACAATACGAAAAAGGTAGGCGCAACATTTTGAACCAAACACTTATGAATAACAGGAATAACAATTATCAATTATTATCACCATTATCACCAATAGTGATTCTAAATATGATGGACATATCCTCTTGTGGAAAAAATCCTATTCTCATCGATGAATCCCAGTCAGATCCTAATGAAACATCCCCTGGGCTGGCTTTGTACATTTGACCATCCCAACAAGTCAACCCTCTTTTATCAACTATACCACGATAATTTTTGCGTATCAAGAATCAACATCCCTAGACATGACGCAGTAGTCATTAATAATATTGATGGTCATTATCAACCACTTCGCACATTCCTGAATAATGATATCCTATTTTTTACATACCCGTAAAATGGTTGCGTCTGCACAATTTTTGTTTCACCAAGTTACACTCATATTTTTCAGCACATTGATGAAGCCTAATGCACACCCATGAAAGATATCATCGCTTCGCTGGCTAAATACTGGCTGATTCACCCCAGTCAGTAGGTCAGTTCACCCCACTTCACCCTGCTTGCAAGTGGGGTGAACTAAGCACTTACGATGGGGTCCACCAAGTACCCATCCCATGAGCCTATGGGCGAGTTATAAATAATCCACACATGGTAGGTTTGTCTGATTGGGTTTTACTCATGTTCTTTCTCTCCCAATATCCGATGAAATCCATGGTTCAAGTCACATTTTTTTGGTTTTATACCCCAATCTCGTGAACTTTCTTGGAACCCTTGGATTTCTGGGACTGGGATTTTAGATTATCCTCATATTGAATGGTGGAAAACCCCTGGTTTCCTGTCAAAATGATCTGGAAATGCTGGGTGAAAGCCACATCGAAGTGTGTTACAGGAGGGTATACCCCATTCAAATCCCATGTGGTACCGGAGGGGGTGTCATCAAACGTGGCTGGAAAATCTGCCATTTTTTTCGTTGACTTCCCTGCTATATATAAACCTCCATTGATTCGGGATTTTCCAGCTGGCCATGTTTGATTACGAGATAAACGAATGTTTTTGTCGCAGGGAAAACCCATAAAAACCCATAAAACCCATAAAAAAAAAACGAGAAACTGCATCCCTGGGAAGCTTTCCAAGGTCAACTTCACCACATCTGAGGAGGAATCAGCCAGGCATTGCGAAATGATTCCATCCACGTCTTCCTCGGAAAAACGGAAGCCCGGAGGTCACAAGTTGAACCATGGAATTTGCCAAATTTCCAGGGTTTCATGTAAAAAAATGCCAGATTATACCAGATTATACCAGTATAGGGTTCCTGTAATTTTTGTCTCAAGAAATTCCGCTCATTCTGGTGTCGCAAAACACTTGCATTGATTCATGAAAACTGGGGGATTTGAGCAGTGATAAATTGACATTTGATTGATTTGGAGTTACAAATGAACAATGGGTCTAGAATGGGATGTACGAGGATATCTGATTGGATATCAAACGAATAATGCTTTGATTTGGGCGTGTCCAAAAATGAGGTTTACCACTGATTTACCACTATTCAGTTCTTTTCATGGAGACTATGACGATGATAAAGCATTGAAGATCTGAGCAACCTAAATTTTGAAAGAAACCCGTTGATGTATGATATCAATATAAAATGGTCATACTATGATAATATGACATGGAAAGAACCCGTGAAGGGCAACAAAGGATAATCGTTTTCTCGAGACTGGCCTGCAGCATAGCGTCAGATGGATGATTGCCTTATCGGCCGCCTGCAAACATATACCACCATGCTAGGTGAATGATGATCATCCACTAGAATTGCGGCCACGTTTTTCTAAATGTGCAGACAAACACTATTATATTCAGATTATTGATCTACATTCCATAGTGCCGTATCATTGCCCAATATTGCTGGCTCCCCAAGTTGTTGGTTGTATCCCATTCCCAGATATATCCGCATCCCCCATCATTCCCCATTCTACTGTGGATGGTTGCAAATCCTGCACCAGTTGGTAGATAGGCAAAATCCCATTATAATCCCTTTATTCACAGTTTTTAATAGGAATCCTACTACGGTAACTACATCCAAATATACGGATTTTTTAATATACGAACTGGTATTTTAGACTCCCTCCAGGAAGGTTTTCCTTGGCCCGCCCGGCCATTTAAACATACAGAATCCAATTCATATTTAAACATACATTTAAATCTATGGATGGAAGGTGGTGTTTCATACTACCTCCAGGGCCTTGTGGTGTGGCCCGCCCTCCACTCCACATATTTAAATGTCGTTACTGTAGGCATCCCCAGCGTCGTTTTGCAGCAACTCCAGCTCGATCAAGCGCTTTAATGCAGCTCGACGTACCTGGCACGTTCCGTCGAGGTTGATCACATTAGATCAACCAGCAAACTGGAAAAATCACCCAACAAATTGGGCTTTCAGCATCAAACATGGTGCTAGAATATGGTATCAACATGACCACCAAAGCATAGTCTTTGCCCAAATCGCTGGCGAGATCTAGCAGATGTCTGCACTTATTTTGAAGATCCACTGGCATAGGCATAACTTCCTTAAGAGATATAACTGGCATTATAATGCTTATAGAATGAAATGTAACCAATGTAACCTTAGTGGAGTGATATCCCATTCATGATACGAACGGATCAAGTGGATGCGACCTGTGGTTATAGGATCTTCCAGCAAGCCATGTTTGATTACAGAGTGTTTAATCAATATATATATATATATGTATAGATAGATAGATAGATAGATAGATAGATAGATAGATAGATAGATAGATAGATAGAAAGATAGATAGATAGGTAGATAGATAGGTAGATAGATAGATAGATAGGTAGTTAGGTAGATAGGTAGATAGGTAGATAGGTAGATAGAGAGATAGATGGATCGAATTCCCACAGGTTTCGCGTAAAGTAATTTCTAGTATACATACACCGCCGTATCATACTATTCTATTCTATATATTAAATTCAGTATTTATGTATAATAGAATATAGAAATATGCAAAGGCACACACAGACACAAATGTATATATATATATATACAAACATATGTATACATGATATCCATTTTAGTGTGTGTCAACACAATTCAACAGGTGTCAACAACCATGCAGCCTTTCACCGCCATGGCTCCGATCACCAAGGCACAAAGGGATCTGCGTCGCCCAAACACTTCACTGCAGGATCTTTGAAAGACGTCTTAGGCGAGGTGTATTTCCTGGGTGGCGCCGGGAAACGGTGGATTATTTATGATTATTTCATATTATTTCAAGGAAATTAGAGTTGTACAACACCAACAATTTCAGGGACTATTCAGGGATGGTGAAATACTATAATTCAGAGAAATCACTTTCAAGGTGAAGATGACATGATATGATATGAGTTGATATGGGATGATTACAGTAAAAATATATGGTGCGATAAGACTATGACATGCAATGATATGTTAGGTTTCAACAGGGTTCAAAGAAATGTTTTCCTCAGGGGCCCGAAAATATGATTTGTCAGGAAATGTGTCTTCAGGGGATCTTGCTTGCAGGCAAGTTACACCAGTGATAAGGGGATCTTGCCCAAGGTAGAAGGGGACTTGTAGCACAACAGAAACAAAGTAAGCTGTAGGAGATAGATATGTACGAATGGTGTTCCATGAATATATACAAGGTGAACCCCCAAATTATAAGTTGGTGTATGAAATGTTTTATATACACACCATCAACTATAGTTGTAGTTATATCCTCCATAATAACTATATTTGATATACTATAAACCAACACTATACTTATATCCACCATAACTAGGATATATATCTAACTATAGTTCTATCCTCCTAACCAACTATGTTCGGCAACTTAGCTATTCTTTGGGGGCCTCACTTGTAACCAGAAAATCGCTGAGAGTTTGGCCTGGACCGTTAGCAAAAATCCGGTAAGCTAAAAAACCTGATGCTGTTGGTTATATACCCTATTCCCCCCGAAACAAAATATCAGTATGATATGTATATATATATATATACATATGTATTTATATATATATATGTATATATGTATATGTATATATTATAATATACATATATATATATGTATTATATATATATATATGTATACTATACGCATACAAACACACTTCTTTTTGTTGGTTAAATCCCCCGCATCTGCAGTCGCAGCGTCGCCAAGGCTTCCAAGGCAGCAGTTTTCACTGCGCATTCCTCGGATCAAGTTACATGGGATTTTCGGAAGGGATTTCACCAACCAAAACTGGATGGTGGTTTTAACCATCTTGAAAATATTAGTCAATTGGAAGGATTATCTCATACATTATGGAAAATATAAAATGTTCCAAACCACCAACCAGAAAACGTGCAGTGCATGATACTGTTGATAGAAGAAATATGAAGAAATCCTTCACCACCAAAAGGATGGTTGAAACCCTATGAATGGGATGAACCACCTATCAACTGGTGCAGGTTTCGCAACCATCCACTGTATTTCATGGGTCTGAAAAAAAGGGTGTTAATAATACCCACGTGAAAAATGATTTACATTGATTTACAATGTATGGTCAACAAAAAGCCATGGGAATTCACACATATAACTTTATGTGATTCTCTGTTAATGGATTGACGACCATCCCCCTTTTTGATGCCACTTTTGACCATTGAATATCCAGGAGCAACATCTAGCAAGTCTTCAGTATCCAAGTCGCTGGGCTCTGTAGGAGGAGTAGAAGCCTCAGGGGATGTGAACCCGTGCGATCCCGATGGAAAAATAGTTTAACATATTCTTACATTTGATGTGTATATATATATATATACATACACATGTCTTTACCTATATGATCTTAATGTAACATAGTACCAGTAGTACCGCACAAGGCGGTGGCGGAAGTTTCAAAAATAGGAACCCTATAGGAGAGGTTGGTTGTTGTGAATCCGGGATGGCAGAGCGAAGCCACTGATGGACTGAAAGGTGCTTGAGGTCTCCTCTCTTTCTCTCTCTTTCTCTCTTTTTCCTTCTGTTTCTCTATCTTTCCCTGATTATCTACCTGCCTACCTACTGATCTATCTGTCTACCTATCTATCTGTCTGTCTGTCTATCTATCTCCCTATCTATCTATCTACCTATCTATCTAGCTGTCTAGTTTTCTAGCTATTTGTCTATCTATCTATCTATCTTTCTATCTATCTATCTGTCTATCTATCGATCTATCTATCTATCTATCTGCAAGATCAAAAACGAAGAAATTCTGCGAGACGTCCTTAATGTTTGAACATAACAACATCCAAAACGAAAGAATTCTGCGAGACGTCTTCATTTTTTGAACTTGACAACATCCGAAACGAAGCAATTCTGCGAGACTTCCTCATTTTGCGAAGTTGAAGACATCAAAAACGAAAGAATTCTGCGAGACTTCCTTCAAAAATAAAAAGTTGAGTGCAGAGCTGACAGCCTCGTACCAATGCGCTTTGCGATTTTTCCAGTCCACCTGTCTAAAGTACTGCGCCTGCCACGGAAATTAATGCCAGGTCATACGAAGTGCTGCACCTGTCACGCAGGGTCATCTTAGCAAACCTGCACATCTGATACTCCAAAATATAACCCCTCTCAGGAAATCAGCGCCCTGACCTCCTAACATCTCTCATGAACATGTCTTTTGTACTGCGCCTGCCACGGAAAATGCATCTTTGCGGATCCTCTTCAAATGTCCCATGCCTGCCATCGTTTTTGGAAATGCTACAAAACCCTCACGTTTTGCTCACTTTTGAAGAGGTGCGGAATCCCTTGCGCCTGCCACGCGAAACGACATCTGAACTTCGAAATGTGCTTCGCGCCACAACGGCGTGCACTTTTTTGACATCTCAACTTCCAAAAGTGCTTCGAGACCCAGGTGTTTTGTGCCTTTTCATTTCAAAATCTGCTTCGCGCCACAACGGCGTGCAACTTTTCATTTCTCATCTCCCCAGATGTCTCCGCACCCGCCGCTTTAACGAGCCTACTTTTCGACCCTCCGGAGCCACAAAACATCGAAAAAACACAGTGTTTCGCGACTTTCCTACCTTTTCGCACACCTGCAGCTTCTTTCTTCTGACCTTTTCTCTTCTGACTTTTCTCCCCTCTGACTCTGCTCCCGTCTGGCTCTTCGCACCTCTGCTTTTTCATCTGTCCATATTGTCGGAAGTTTAAATTCTAAACTTCCTTCGGCTATATTTATAATTATATATATATACACACGTAGACATGTTTACATTCCAAGGTCAGATATTTTTTCTTTGGTTTCAGTCATTGAAATATTGTATTTGACCTATGGGTCTGTCTGAACATGGCGGATACCTGAAAATTGTAATTCAAACGCGAACAACGATGATTAGTCCTCAAATTTTGGGGTACCCTCTGGTAAACAGCCACATAACTATAGAAAGATCTGGGTAAATCCACTATAGATGGGCCATTTTCAATAGCTATTTTGACATAACCAGAGGGGGGTACCCTATTATCAGAAAAAAAAATCCTTGTAACCGACATCCCATAGCATACCGAAGATTTTGAAAGTCAAGATCTGTCATGATCGACCAGTCACTTGGTGAGTACTCATTGACACCGGGATGTTTACGAGCATTTACACCAAAAATGATCCCACTCATTGTGAATATACCAGCTGTCCTTTTTCTGGTGGTGAACACGCCCATAATATCAATTCCCCTTAAACAGGCCCCAGAATCCCTAGAAATACGTAGATCCAAAACAAAACCAAGGTTTCGTATTCGTTGGTGGAGGATTTCATAAATGTCATAGTGAGGGGCAGGGATTCGTACAGTTATAGCTTTCAAGCCAGTTGTAGCTGGCTTATTTCATGGTATATAACCTTGGTTACAGGATTTATTTCATCCCATTTAAGGCCCATTTACTATGTTGGACGAACAGATAGAATATGAAAAACTTCTAGGTCACAGATAGAATATGGAAAAAAACCTAAAAACCTAAGACCCCAAACAGCAGATAGAATATGCAAACAACATATGCAGATAGAATATGAACATATGATATATGTGCAATGTTGCATGTGCGTGCAGTACAGTACTGCACTGCCTGCAGCCAGCACAGTATAACGACCAAAAAATAATGCAACACATACAAAAACCATGAAATTGAATGTCACATCCTTCCAGCCAATAGTTTGCTCTCAATTTTTGCTCACCCCTACTAGCGGGGACCAGCAGTTAGAATATGAAAGTTGGATTGTTCTTGCATGGGTTCTGTCCTGTTTTCCATTATGCTGAAAGAAACACATGCAGCAGATTATGTTGGCCAAAGTTTTCCCGAGGTCGGTTGGTACGGTAAAACTTGTCTGTTTTCTTTGTGAACTCTGGTGGTGAAAAGTGCAGTTAGAATATGGATAGGTTTGGATGGTTTTTTTTTCCCTCACTCACTTCGCAACCAACACCAGCAGCACCACACAACCGCACAAAATACCAGCAAACAACTTGCGCAATGCAATTTTCACCATGCTTGTTCTTGCATAGTTTCTCTCCTCTTTTCCATGCTGAAAGAGACACATACAGTAGGTTGTGTTGGCCAAAGTTTTCAATAAAGTTGGTTGGTACCGTACAATTTCTTTGTTTTCTTTGTGAACTCTGGTGGTGAAAAGTGCAGTTAGAATATGGATAGGTTTGGATGTTTTTTTTCATCGCTCACTTCGTAACCAACAAGCAGTACCACACAACCGCACAAAATACCAGCAAACAACTTGCGCAACGCAATTTTCACAATGCTTGTTCTTGCATGATTTCTGTCCTGTTTTCCAACATGCTGAAAGAGACACATACAGCAGATTATGTTGGCCAAAGTTTTCCCGAGGTCGGTTGGTACGGTAAAACTTGTTTGTTTTCTTTGTGAACTCTGGTGGTGAAAAGTGCAGTTAGAATATGGATAGGTTTGGATGGTTTTTTTTCCCTCACTCACTTCGCAACCAACACCAGCAGCACCACACAACCGCACAAAATACCAGCAAACAACTTGCGCAATGCAATTTTCACCATGCCTGTTCTTGCATGGGTTCTGTTCTGTTTTCCATTATGCTGAAAGAAACACATGCAGTGGATTATGTTGGCCAAAATTTTCCCGAGGTTGGTTGGTACGGTAAAACTTGTTTGTTTTCTTTGTGAACTCTGGTGGTGAAAAGTGCAGTTAGAATATGGATAGGTTTGGATGGTTGTTTTCCCTCACTCACTTTGCAACCAACACCAGCAGCACCACACAACCGCACAAAATACCAGCAAACAACTTGCGCAACGCAATTTTCACAATGCTTGTTCTTGCATGGGTTCTGTCCTGTTTTCCAACATGCTGAAAGAGACACATACAGCAGATTATGTTGGCCAAAGTTGTCCCGAGGTCGGTTGGTACGGTAAAACTTGTTTGTTTTCTTTGTGAACTCACTCACTTCGCAACCAACATCAGCAGCACCACACAACCGCACAAAATACCAGCAAACAACTTGCGCAATGCAATTTTTACCATGTTTGTTCTTGCATGGGTTCTGTCCTGTTTTCCAACATGCTGAAAGATACACATACAGCAGATTATGTTGGCCAAAGTTTTCCCGAGGTTGGTTGGTACGGTAAAACTTGTTTGTTTTCTTTGTGAACTCTGGTGGTGAAAAGTGCAGTTAGAATATGGATAGGTTTGGATGTTTTTTTTCCCTCACTCACTTCGCAACCAACACCAGCAGCACCACACAACCGCACAAAATACCAGCAAACAACTTGCGCAATGCAATTTTCACCATGCTTGTTCTTGCATAGTTTCTCTCCTCTTTTCCATGCTGAAAGAGACACATACAGTAGGTTGTGTTGGCCAAAGTTTTCAATAAAGTTGGTTGGTACCGTACAATTTCTTTGTTTTCTTTGTGAACTCTGGTGGTGAAAAGTGCAGTTAGAATATGGATAGGTTTGGATGTTTTTTTTCCCTCACTCACTTCGCAACCAACACCAGCAGCACCACACAACCGCACAAAATACCAGCAAACAACTTGCGCAATGCAATTTTCACCATGCTTGTTCTTGCATGGGTTCATTTCTGTTTTCCATTATGCTGAAAGAAACACATGCAGTGGATTATGTTGGCCAAAGTTTTCCCGAGGTTGGTTGATACGGTAAAACTTGTTTGTTTTCTTTGTGAATTCTCCTGATGAAAAGTGCAGTTAGAATATGGATAGGTTTGGATGGTTTTTTTTCCCTCACTCACTTCGCAACCAACACCAGCAGCACCACACAACCGCACAAAATACCAGCAAACAACTTGCGCAATGCAATTTTCACCATGCTTGTTCTTGCATGGGTTCTGTTCTGTTTTCCATTATGCTGAAAGAAACACATGCAGTGGATTATGTTGGCCAAAGTTTTCCCGAGGTTGGTTGGTACGGTAAAACTTGTTTGTACTCTTTGTGAATTCTCCTGATGAAAAGTGCAGTTAGAATATGGATAGGTTTGGATGGTTGTTTTCCCTCACTCACTTCGCAACCAACACCAGCAGCACCACACAACCGCACAAAATACCAGCAAACAACTTGCGCAATGCAATTTTCACCATGCTTGTTCTTGCATAGTTTCTCTCCTGTTTTCCATGCTAAAAGAGACACATACAGTAGATTGTGTTGGCCAAAGTTTTCAATAAGGTTGGTTGGTACGGTAAAATTTGTTTGTTTTCTTTGTGAACTCTGGTGGTGAAAAGTGCAGTTAGAATATGGATAGGTTTGGATGGTTTTAGTTTCATCGCTCACTTCGTAACCAACAAGCAGTACCACACAACCGCACAAAATACCAGCAAACAACTTGCGCAACGCAATTTTCACCATGTTTGTTCTTGCATGATTTCTGTCCTGTTTTCCAACATGCTGAAAGATACACATACAGCAGATTATGTTGGCTTGTTTGTTTTCTTTGAGAACTCTGGTGGTGAAAAGTGCAGTTAGAATATGGATAGGTTTGGATGTTTTTTTTCCCTTTACTCACTTCGCAACCAACACCAGCAGCACCACACAACCGCACAAAATACCAGCAACCAACTTGCGCAATGCAATTTTCACCATGCTTGTTCTTGCATGGGTTCTGTTCTGTTTTCCATTATGCTGAAAGAAACACATGCAGTGGATTATGTTGGCCAAAATTTTCCCGAGGTTGGTTGGTACGGTAAAACTTGTTTGTACTCTTTGTGAATTCTCCTGATGAAAAGTGCAGTTAGAATATGGATAGGTTTGGATATTTATTTTTCATCACTCACTTCGCAACCAACAAGCAGCACCACACAACCGCACAAAATACCAGCAACCAACTTGCGCAATGCAATTTTCACCATGTTTGTTCTTGCATGATTTCTGTCCTGTTTTCCAACATGCTGAAAGAGACACGTGCAGTATATTATGTTGGCCAAAGTTTTCCCGAGGTTGGTTGGTACGGTAAAACTTGTTTGTTTTCTTTGTGAATTCTGGTGGTGAAAAGTGCAGTTAGAATATGGATGTGTTTGGATTGTTTTTTTCCCTTTACTCACTTCGCAACCAACACCAGCAGCACCACACAACCGCACAAAGTACCAGCAACCAACTTGCGCCATGCAATTTTCACCATGTGTGTTCTTGCATGGGTTCTGTTCTGTTTTCCATTATGCTGAAAGAGACACATGCAGTAGATTATGTCTTGAAGTATGGTACAGCACAGTACCTGAAAGTAAATGTTGCCTCCAGCAATTGAACCAACCAAATGTGATTATATCGCATTCTTGCAACACCTGTGGTCATTTCCTGCAGTTAGAATACAGGTAAACGTATCATTCGGTCTTGCTTCATTGAAGTCCGGAGCATGATCTTTGCGGCGCGACGAACATGATATTGGTTCTTCTGACATCATTGACCATATTCTAAGTGCATGTGCCCATATTCTAAGACCAAGGTTTTCGGCTTAGGTCCAAATACCCTATACCCCGAAGAACGGCTTAGGTCAGCTAAGCAAATCTTAAGGTTTTATATTCTAACTGTTGGTCCGTCATTGTATAAAGGCCATAACTGTAGCCATATCGTCATCATTGGCGTTCCAATCTTCCACCAAGATGCCTGTCCGTCACCTCTGGTTGATTGGGAGGAGCCTGAAGGGTGGGGCGTGAGTTCCCACCAACTACAGTTATGGCCATTTATTAGTTATAAATGGTTACAACATGTTATATATATTTATAAATAAGTTATACATTCTATGAATGGGGTTTTGTTAGTATTTATAACCGGTATTTCGGGCCATAACTGTAAGAGGGATGATCAGTTGCTGTTGTTCAAACATGAGGTGCCTCTGAGTTTGGTACCCGAGTCTCAGACAAAGCCTTTACTTTAGCAGGATCTTGTGGCTACCACTGTTGTCAACGCTCTATCTAACCTCTTGGTTCTCGCCGTTCTCCGTTCCCCGTTCCCCACTTGAAATGGCTCTTGGATCTGCTCATTTTGGGGGCTACTCTGGACCCGTAACTCCTGGCAAAGTTGTATACACTCCAGCGGCCGACGGCAGTGAATGTGGTACGTTTCTGAAATGTCAATCATGAAAGTATCTGCATAGAAAATCATGTCAAATGTGCCAGCGCATCTCTCTGCATGTGAACATCTCAATCACACCATTCCAATCTCACCAAGTACATTCCACAAACATCAGTTTTTTTCAACGAATAAAGCTGCGGGAAATGGCTTCTGCTGTCATGGTGCTGTGTGCAGAAGCGCATCAATGGCTGCGCAGCAGGCAAAAGCACCTTGGATCATCAACTACAGGTTGGTAAAACAATCATCAGCCAGCAATATTTTGATGGTTTATGTCCAAAAAAAATGTAAACTTGGGGATGATCGGATGGTTTACCAAGCATTGCTTTACTCGCATCAATATATATATATATATAATCAAACATAACTTGGGTCACTTCTCATTTGTCAGAGGGATCGTCATCTACAGTAGAGATAGAAAAACAACATCCTCTTCCAATACTATCAATAATCTTGAATGCATCCCAAACTAAGCCATGGTTTGCTATTGGATCATTGGATCTATTCACTTTCGAGTCCCTCTGGAAAGAGTGACTTATCGTTGGGATTCGGAGGTTAGTGCACCGAGTGCGCCCCAGTTATAGCTGGACCATAGTTCTACTTGCCCTACTGAGTTCACCAAGATTATTTGGATTTGCTGAAGAGGAACCCCGTCTAATGGATTTCCCATTGAGAAAATCAACACATAATCTTAAATAACCCCAGATTTTCCGCCCGGCAAGCCATTCCTGACTGCCACCGTCCTTTGCTGGTGTAGGACGGGTTCAGCAACAACCGATAGCAGAGACATATTCAGCAACACCTTTTTTTAATCCTTCCGACCGATGATGAGCAAATCCCATACAGTAGTTTTTCATTCACTGAAACTAAAAAACAATGAAATTATCATCCAGAACTATGAATTTATGTAAAAGAAACACAGAAATCATCCAGAACTGATTACAAGAACTTCCCAAATCCCAAGTGCCAAGCTGCTGAAATTGTCATCCAGAACTTTGAACGCAACAAAGACCGGCTGCGCCTCAAGCTTTGAACAAAATCTCATCGCGACGGAAGGTTTCGTCATCAGAAAATTGATATCGAACAAATAACCGAATAACTGAACTATCTAATATCTGGTTGGTGGTTTCAACCCCTCTGAAAAAATATTAGTCAGTTGGGATGAATATTCCCAATATATGGAAAAGAAAAAATGTTCCAAACCACCAACCAGAATAGTAACCTAATGTAAAGTCGCTACATCCCAGAAAACAAATAGTAAAAAAAATACAGGGTCACGTTTTACCATTTAAACATTTTAACACATAGCACATATCTCATATCTCATGTTTGTCATGGAGTTACATATTTGGAAATAACTTAATTAAATGTTACTTCCTAATATGATATGGGTCAATAGCAGTTTTTAGGGGGAACAGTTAGGGCGTCACATTTTGATATTCTGACAACTTCCAAATGCTTTATTTGGAGCTGGCTACGGCATGCTTGGAATCTTCACCCACCAGGGCATGGCCAGCCCAACGACACAGCGATCCATATATCTCACTGCATCACAGTGCGAAATCCATATGACTTGGCTTCCCCCTCAGTCACCTGGCTTACTGTTGGGCAATGTCATAAACTACCCATGAGCCCCGATGGTTTTTGTTAGCACGAAACAACGACCATAGGGTATGGTAAGTCATGGGTCATCCCATTCATCATATGAAGTACCCATCAGCTCAATCATAGGACCATAGAATCACCATGGTTTTTCCAGTAAGATTTACATATCCCATTCTTCCAGTAAGAAAGCCATGTTTGTATTAGGTGGTTTTTCATTGTTTTTTTCAGAAAAAAAAGGGATGACCCGGATGACTTCCATGAGTTTTAGGTGGTTACATGGTTTTTTTTCCAATGGGAATGGGATGACTTACCTACAATGTGGGGCCCCCGTTCGATAGCTAAGTTGGTGCAAAGAACTACAATAACTGTTGGGTTTATGGTACTTATAAGGAACTAGTTAGATGGGGTTGTAAACCAGCAAACATCACGTAGAAGGGGCCCCACATTGTATGACATATCCATGACTTACCACTGACTCGTGAACGGTGTGCCTCTGGCGACTTCGAAATCTTTTTGAAGATCCTGAGAGACTCAAATCCTGGGCCACGGGGGGAAAGCTTTGCGGCTGAATCCTGGATATTTTTGGGAGGGGATTAGCTATCCTTCTTGATTCTATATATCTCAATATATATATATATATAAATATATATATATACATATACACAGAGATATAGATACATAGACATAGATATAGATTCAATATATATATATATATAGATAGATAGATAGATAGATAGATATGTGAGTGTGCGTGTTTCTCTTTTCTATCTTTCTGTACCGTTCCTTCTTTTTTCGACAGTGTCCGTCTTTGTGTTTGTCTGTCCCACAAAATCAATCCCATCCTAATATTGCATTCGTCTATATAGGCCCAGATCCCACACTAAACCTGAGGTTCCTGGGGGTTCTTTTTGAATCGCTTTTATCATGTTTGATCTATTTAAATAATATCAGGGACACATAAAACAAAAGCCATGGGACGGACATCCGTGATAGTGCTGCTGAAGCCAGAAGCGATGTTCCACAGCTGGATGTTCTTGACACCTCCTCGTTTCCTTGCGAAACAGTCTGGTTGATGTGGAACTTGTTGAAAGAAATCAACCATAAATTCAGATAAGCTGGGTGATCTTGGTGTAGTCCCCCTCTGCTCAGTTACTAAGTATCATTTATGGTGATGTTGTGTTGCAATTTACCCATTCTATGAGGCCATACATGGTGTAGCATGTAAACCCAGATCAAGATGAAAACTTTCTGATGTTTGGAGAGAACTCCGGATAGAAATTGGAATGGCCAAATGAAAAATCTATACACTACAATTCCAAAAGCAAAACTGCATGCATTCTCTCACATGACCATCAGTTGGCATGCTGAGCCATGAGGTAGAAAATACAACTGAATTTGATGACCAGTCGCGAAAGACTTGTCGGAGCCAAGGAAACCAGAGCCACACAGATTTGTTCTCATGTTGAAAATTCTGGAGTGCAAAGAAAAGATTGGCAGAGTCATTATGTTGACATGGACCTACTATGACCTACTCAAAAATCTTAGATTGGCAGAGTCATGATGTTGAAATATGAACCTGCTTCGGTACCTACTTCAGTAGACATTGTTTACACACTTTAGGCATTTTGAGATACCCTCTGGTAATCAAACATGGCGTGCTGGAAAATACACTATTTAGTTCGGTGATTTTCCTATTGAAACCACCATTTTTAGTGGATTTCCAATGGCCACGTTTGATGACACCGGAGGGTACCCTCTGGTAATTTAACATAGCTATTGAAAATGACCCATTTATAGTTGATTTGCCTATTGAAGATTATTAAAGATGGTTATTTTCCATAGCTAAGTTAGTTTACCAGAGGGTATTTTGAGTACGTACCACCTTGGAATGAACTCGTGCTACGGCAAATTTTCTTTTTGGCCTTGGCGTTTTTCAGTGCGGATCATCATCCTGTTTCCGGGGGTGGTAGCTTTTAAAAATTGATAAAGCCATCTCCGGTGTCATCAAACATGGCTAGCCGGGAAATCCACGAAGTAGTCATGGAGCTTTTTCTGCAGGGTAAAAGAAAATCAACCATAAATTGATATTTAGCCATCTACCTTCCGGTGTCATCAAACATGGCAACTGGAAATCCACTATAATTCTTATAGCTCTTAATGGGAAAATCAGCAACTCAAATTGGTGATTTTCCACGCCACGTTTACACCGAAAAAAACGCCTACTGGATTGATGGTGGATTGCATCTGCATCCAAGCTGGTAAGCGATGAACTGAACACCACCATAAATGTTACAGTTCTAATAGGCCTTAGCAGTTGCAACTAGCCCCCTTAACAGTTTCAACAATTGCAACTGGTTTATTTCATTATAATCAGCTAGTTATATAACGTTATATAAACTCATAGCTGTTAAAGGCCAAACCTGTAGGGGTTGGTAACTGTCCTAGTTGATCGAATAACCACATCGAACCGGAGAAAGCATTTTCCCATGCAAGTGAGCAGTGTTCAAAACCCCAAATGCCCGGTTGGTTGAGAACGGGATTCCCAGTTTGTGGATAATTCCCCAGTGTATGTATATAAACATATGCATGTATATCTATGTCTATGTATAAAAAATGCATGCATATATATATGTATGTATGTATGTATGTATGTATGTATGTATGTATGTATGTATGTATGTATGTGACTATATATATATGTGTAGATGTGTGTATAGTTATATATATATATAGATACATGCATGTAGGTACATATACATGGCAGTTGAACCCCATAATGCGATAGAATTAATAAACCAGATTCAACAGGTCACAGCTCAGGTCGTTTCTTCCCTATCCGATAGGAACTCCAAGCATCTCTGCTACCTCCATCAAGAACATGTGTGTTTTTGACCTGAAAACACCCGTCTTGCGCTGGTGCCACAATGGGTTGAATTGCTGTTTTTATTCACAGGAAACCTGGTTTGTATCCCCAAGCATGGGGTTGTCTTTTTCTGTATATTTTTTTTGCATCCCAATGCTCGAACACTGCTCCCGTTGCTTCAAAAATGCACAGATACAAACGCCCTGCAGTCATGTTCAGACCGATCTCCCTGCACCGCAACGAGTCACTATCACATGCATTTTGTTTTTTTGCAGCACACTAGGAATTCCATCCAACTGAAGGATATTATAACCAGATGTTGCATCTTTACCCTATACATTGCCAATCTTAGATACCCTGCGTTCTGAAACGCGCCCAAAATACTGTCACTCCTAACGTCACCATCGATGGTGAAGTGATGCCCTCTGTTGGTCTCGGGATAGGAACCCACAACAATCCACAACGTTGGTATATACCCGCGCCCAGAAGGATGGAACAAACATGGTGGGGGTAAATTCATATCCTCAGGAAATTCAGAAGCGGCTCCTTTATGAATCACTGCGTTCTTTGCTGACCTTGAGTCTGTGAGGACCGTTGTTTGATGATAAACATCAAAAAACCAAGAAAAAGGTGTGATAGTATTGCCAAGTCAAACATAGTGTTGTCGACTGTATTTATATATATAAATTATTTATATATAGATATACAATGATATACACAATTATATACACATGTAGCAGTCAAATCTGGGAGCATCCAGGTTTCGGATGTAACCCCAAAATGGGTTCTTCCCCACTGCCTGTCCACAGAAGGCGAAAAGGGTTAAATCACCAGATCTCGGCCAATCTTTCTTTGGTCCACAAAAAAATCATCTTTTGCTGTGCTGATGTGGTTAAAACAAAAATTAAAAAACAATAATAAACCATCCACAAACTCACCATAAATGGAGGGTATAAACCATTTTGAAATGGGCGGTTCGAAATTTTGCATTAGCAAAAAAAATAAAGGTTTAAAGTAGACATCCAAGGTTGGACGGATGTGCATCTACCCTATGGTAAACTAACACGGCAATCGAACACCATTTGTAGATTCTTTCAGCCATAGCATGGACATGGTATATTTGTTCATCGTCCGCACATGGCAAAATCAGTACTTCCCTGGGTAGTGAATCTTGACCCACAGCCATTGTTGTTGGTTAAATCCGCAAAGTTTCGAGCTCAGAACCTATTTTTGATATTTGAACCCCTTCCTTGGTGATTGATGTTTTTCTTTAGCAAAAGACTACATCTTGACTCTTCAATCACATAGTCCTTTCTTAACACAATTTACTGATCTAATTATATAGAAACATTCACATAAGAAAAAATGTTTGATTGCCGAATCCCAGTTGGATCAATATCCACATTGAAAATCCAACTCTCAAATCATTTCCTAGTGTTTCTCACCCTTTTTTCAGATCCACATTACCTCAGGTTTTTTGCATATTTTGCACAAATGATATGTGTACATCTAGAAATAGAACTGGGATTGCAGGGTACGAAATTAAGTATGACTATGTACGTATGTATACATAAGTGGGACTATTGCATATACATCTTGTGTATATGTATCAATATGATTCAAGTTGCTTGTAATTGTGGGCGATTTGTGATCACTCCCAAATTAGACATTAGGATTTAATGGGAGCATCCCCTCCAGCAAACCAAGCATTACTGTGCGGTCCATGATGTGCCGAGGCACGGTCTCCGGCCTCGCTTGACCCAACCATAGTCCATGCCGTTGGCTGCAATAGAACCTCCCAATGGCACAGAAAAGGAAGAATGTGTGTGTGTGTGTGGGTGTGGGGTCAACCCCTGTTTCCAAGGGATTTACGAATTGCTAAGTTCTTCAGTTTTGAGGCAGGGGGTGCAAGCAGCCCATCTAGTCTTGCACCAACGAAGACTCTGGATGAGTGCTGGTGATATCTGACCTGATCAGTCAGACGTACCTGCCATGATACCATTTCGATGTTTGATTTCTGTGATTCACTTACAGCGGCGCCCGCAATCAATTTGTCATTCTTAAACATGTTTGGGTACAACGGCCTATAACGAGCAAACTCACTAATCGATACGCGCCTCATGAACAGACATTCTGTCTTACACGTGTGCGTGTGTGTAGAAGATCAAATGTGAAAGCGGATAGAATATATTGTTTGCATATCCAATGGTTCGATATGTGTTTGTATGTGCTCATGTCTAGGTCATTTGTTGTGTATATAATTACATGACTTAACATGAGTATATTTAAAGATGCATAGAATCATAAATAAGACCCCCTAGTTAGAAGTTGGTTTAGAACCCCATGGTCAATATTTCGTAGTCCAACAAAAACATTCTGCTTATGATTGTGTTCCATTTATATACAGCAAGATAAACTAACATATGTCGATCTTCAAAATATTCACAAGCAACAAGATTGGTGTATTTCAATCAAATTTTTCCATTTATAGCAACTACTCATCCAAGACCACATGGGGTCTGGTAAAAACCCCGAGCCCTTTCAAATGTTTTTTTTCACACATTATCGTTTTTTGCCTCTTATCGTTTTTCCAAGCGCTGGCTTCACACATTGACCAAAGGATTCACATGAGCGAGCAAAGGGAGAAGGAAAAGGAAGAACAAAGGAAGGGAAAGGAAAGAGTAGGAAAGGGAGAGGAAAAGGAAAGGGAAAGGAAAAGGAAAAAGGAAAAGGAAAACGAAAGGAAAAGACAAGGAAAGGAATAGGAAAGGAAAAGGGGAAAGGAAAGAAAAAGGAAAGGAAAAAGGAAAGGAGAAGGGAAAGGAATGGAAAGGAAAAAGGAGAGGAAAGGAGAGGAAAGGAAGAGGAAAGGGAGAGGAAAGGGAGAGGAAAGGGATTGGAAAGGGAGAGGAAAGGGAGAGGAAAGGGAGAGGAAAAGGGGAAAAAAGGCCGTGTCTCACACAGACCATTTTTGATGCCACAAATTATTGTTTTCGTTATCGTTTTGCTACCGTTCGTGAATCCTGTGTACGTTTCTTTCTTCTGGAAATGGCTGCAATCATCAAAAAAGGATTGTAGCGACCACCTACCAGGCACCTCCCTTGTGCAGAATCTGCCACGCATTCGTTGGCGCACCATTAAGACAACAAACAATGAAATGAATACACCAAAAACACTAAATAGCTGCAGAACGACGGGCAATTAAAAAACATTGGAATTCAAGAGCCTGGACACGGATCATTAACAGAACCAATGTTCAATGTTATCGTTGTTTTTGTTTTTCCTCTTATCGTTTTTTCGAGTGAAAGCTAAAAATGGCTCATGGGGGATCATGGAAGACTAAACGAATAGGCGCGGGGTGTTTACAACCTCCCATATGGCTATGATAATATGGCTATGGTAATATGGCTATGATCATATGGCAAAGATGATATGGTGTGTTAATATGTTAGAAGTTGGTTTATGATTACATGGCTATGACAAATCATTGTCTCCAAAGCTTGAAGAGCAGGCAGGTAAATCATCGAACTACCCTCTGGTAAACTAACATAACTATGGAAAATCACCATTTTTAGTGGGTAAATCAACTGTAAACGGCCATGTTCAATAGCTTTTTGTATGTTTACCAGATGTTTTTTTTCCATGCAACCCCATCCTGACTAGTTCGATAAATCCCCAAACATCAAGTCTAAGGACTAGATGCTTATCCACTACGTCACCCGCTTCCCCTCCACAACGTTTGTTCACATATGCTCACCTGCAGCTATGGCCCTCAACAAGTCGGAAAATAATGTGACCATATTGGAACATATGGGGAACGATTAGAACATGATGGGGAAATGGGATAAACATACAAATTGGATTAAAACTAACTAGTTGGTTATGTATCATGAAAGAAGCCAGCAACACTACTGGTTTGAGGGCTATAACTGCATTGACATATATCCTCACCTGACATATCCTGATAAGTACATGGAAACCATTGGGAGAGAAACCTGGTATATCATCACCTCATCACTTACAGCATTTGGATTTCCATCTTTCACCAACCAAAAAGAACATCGCAGCCATTTTGGGAGACTTTGGTTTAATGGATTGAGACACCAGGAATTGGATTGGGGTATACATGGCTTTAATTTGGAATATATCCCAATCAAAAAAAACATCATTCCAGTGAAGTCACGTGTGTTTTTGTTCGGTCATGATCAAACTTCTCCAGATGAAACATGAAAAATCCCATTACCCTCTGGTAAACATACAAAAAGCTATGGAAAGATCCACCATTTTTAATGGGTATATCCATTATTTCTATGGCCATTTTCTATGTCGCTATGTAACAAATCAGCAGAATTTAATGGTATATCCACTATTTCTATGGGACTATCCACTATTTCTATGGCAATTTTCCAATATTTTGTGTATCAAACCCCACCATAGCTATGGCGCCGTCTTTTTGTTGATCTCCGGGATACGGGGATGGATCAAAACCGCTGCTTGGTGGTATACCAACCTAGCCCTCTGAAAAAGATCAATGGGAAGGATGACATCCCATATATTATGCATATAATTTATGAAATGGCAAATAAAATTCATCTTTGAAACCACCAACCAGGATAGATACCATATATCCATATATTAGCTATTCTAGGCTTCACCAGGGTACCACACCTTTGACCCATCCCCATCTACCAAACCCATGGGCTCCTGCGACACGTTTCTCGGTGAAAAAAGTATGGTTTACGACGGGATGTTGATAAAACTATGGGTGGAAAAAAAAACGAGAACACAAGAAAAGCAATGTGTTATTGATAAACCATGATAAACCCAGGGTTCATCCACTAATTGCAACTGAACTGATTTGACCATGCAATCTCTCCACAGTTGTGGCCCTTAACAGTTATATATATTTTTGACTCCTACAACTAGTTGACTATATATAATAAGCAAGTAACAAAAAAAAACACTATTTTGTGATGTCCCATCATTTACCCATCTGTTGGGGGCTATAGTTCCGATGAAAATCGAAGCCGAGTGGCCGCAGCAACGGTGGATCAGCACGTTGATGAGTCTTTCGTAGGCCTTCCTGATGCGCAGCGTTGATCATGGTCCATGGTGAGATGCTGGCCGTACAGATGCAAGTTCCGTTTTCGCAATATTAGATACACAAACGTATATTTATATATAGATATAATTCATGAACAAGTACATATAATCACTTAATGTATCTAGATATAATATATATATAGCTATGTAAATATATATATAGTGTGTATAAATATAAATTGTATATATAGTGTATATATATATATAGTGTATATATTTATATAAAGTATATATATATATAGTAAATCTATAGTGTATATATATAGTAAATATATATATATAGTATATATAGTGTATATATATAGTATATATATATAGTCTGTATATATATAGTATATATATAGTATATATATAGTATATATCTATATATAGTAAATATATAGCATATATATATATATATATATTGAATACAGTATATAGTATATATAGTGTATGTAGTATAAATAGTGTATATATTATATTAAATGTACATAATTAAAATACAATTGTATACTTTCAGGATGTCAAAGACCAGCCCTAGATCAGTAGGGTCTAGATCAGTAGTTTTTTTTTTAAAAAAATAGGAAAATCTATGAATATGCTTTAGTATTGCCTTGATTCCCCAAAAGTCAGAAAGAAGATGTTTCCTGAAAAAAAAGAAGTTCTTGGAAACATTTGAGAAAATTTAGGGTAGGCAAAAGAATTTAAAATTATCAAGTGATCAAGTGCCAAGTGCAGGGAAAGCATTCCAGCGATCAAGTGCCCAGGGCAGAAAGTTTGCCCATACCAGACCTCAGTCAATCAGGAGAATTAAGGCAATCACACTTAAGCAAAATGCAACTAAGCACTTCCACAAGCAACGCGAAAGCACTGCAGGATTATTTCAGGAACAATCTCAAGCCCCACCATCTTTCCCCAAAACAAAACATGCTTGGGCGCACCCTCTGGTTTCCAGCTGCAACCATCTGCTGCTCCAAGTCTTGCTCCAGCAAGTGATACAGGAAAAGGAATTAAGCCAAAAAAGCATCTTGGAACCACACATTAATTAATATTAGCAATAGTATTTTCCAAGGGGTTTTGCAACAGGCACTTGGTCAAGTGGCAAGTGGCAAGTGCTTGTTACAAGAGAGTTTACCTACCCCGCATTTTCTCAAATGTTTCCAAAAACTTCTTTTTTTTCAGGAAACATCTTCTTTCTGATTTCTGGGGAATGCTAAAAAACCCTACTGATCTAAAACCCTACTGATCTAGGGCTGGTCTTCGACATCCTGATACTTGATATTACTAAAAAAATATACACAACTTTATACGTATATATCCGCCGACCCTGGCTTTAGCAACAGCCAGGGCAGCGCCGACAGGTCACAATGAAACAAGCCAGTTATAACTGGCTTGAGGGCTATAACTGTATGCTTTGATTGGTTATAATATGTTAAAATATGTTATAATATGTTGTGATATGATACAATATGTTATAATATGTTATAATCTTTTAAAATATGTTGTAATATGTTAAAATATATTATAATATGTTGTAATATGTTATCATGTGTTATAATATGTTACGATATGTTATACTAATGTTAAAATATGTCATAATATGATATAATATGATATGTTATAATAAGTTATAATATGTTATAATATGATATAATATGTTATAATATGTTGTAATACGAAATAATATGTTTTAATATGTTATAATATGTTATAATATTTTATAATATGTTATAATATGTTATAATATGATATAATTTGTTATAATATCTTATAATATGTCATAATGTTAAACTGATCCATCGTTCTTGGGCGAAGTGCATAGATGTTTTTCTTCGGTCAAACATTATATGCTATATATTTCCACATCTACAATAATGTATGGATCAAGATCAAGTAATATTCACCATCCAATCACCAGTCTTTTATCGGATGCTGGTCACAACCGGGTATCCAAACAGGGCCAGATTTTCCAGCGTTTCGGCCTTCAATTTTTTGACCCATACCCAGATCAAGATGACGCCAAGTGCAACCATGAGAACATGGCATGTTACTTGACATGGTGAATCCTAGATGCCAAAAAACAATGCATCTTAGCTGGTTAGTACAGTTTAGCGTTATTGAAGCACATTTTAGCTGTTTTTTTTGTGTTTACCAATGATAGCACCTGGTATCCGTAGCAAAGCATCCATCCAAGGATGACCCAGTTACCTCATTCCCATCAGTCCCAGCGCTGCCCCCCGGCTCGCCGAAGTCGAGATGCTCCACAAGCGACTGATCCGAGGCGACTTGTTCCAAGCACTGCACCGCTGCTCTCACCACCGCCTTGAGATTTTTAGGGTCATCACATCCCATCTCCTTGTTTGGATTCCATACTGGTTGGTGGTATACCTACCCCTCTGAAAAATATTAGTCAAATGGGATGATTATTCCCAATATATAGAAAAATAAAAAATGTTCGAAACCACCAACCAGCATCTATTCAAATCGTATTCAAATCCATACATCCCATCTGGAGCCAGAACCTCTAATTTCTATCTGGGCAAAGGAATAGACCTAAAATAGGAAACTAGAGCTTCTGGGCCGCCTATTTGGGCAGAATTTGCGGGGGATGGGATGATAAGAATCTACTTGAGACCGGAGATGATATAAGATTCATACTACAACAGGACTACATATCATATAGCAAACAAAAACTCCTGCATGTTCCAACTGGATGCAACTTTTTTTACACCATAAACACATCTTCTCCCCTCTGAAAATAATGTGATTCCTGGTCAAAGCGCGTAGCATCAAATGGTGACTTTGTCTTTCGCATTCCACACTAGAAGTTCGAAGTGTTCTCCATTTTGAACTGAAACCTGACCTACCCCAAACCGGAGGATGCAGCGATGCTTATCCCACATGTGTTACAAGAGGACATACCCTCCAGTAAACGAACATAAACTAACATAGCTATGGAAAAGGGATGAAAAGGGCCCATTTATAGATTAATTATTCACCTATAAAACATTGTGATTTTCCATGGCTATGTTGGTATACCAGAGGGCAACAGGTGTTGTTCCATCCCAGGTGAGCAGGTTTCAAAGCCTCTGTCATTCCTACTGCTTTGTTAAGAGGGCTTCCCACATATTGGACTATGATAATCCCAAATATATAAAGGGTATATCCCCACCATTAATCACCAACCACCACTATGATAATCCCAAGTATATAGTATAACCCCTGCACTAATCACCAACCAACCACCATGTTTCAATATGTTTCAATTATCTCCCCATATCTTTGATGTCTCAATTCCATTCAAAAATCACCATATAGCACCGCCCACAAAAAAGATCGGAAAAGCAAAAAACAACCACTACACGTAGTGGGAGATTTCCCTTGTCAATCTTTTTTTGGGGGGCTTACCCTCTGGTAAACGTTTACATAGCGAACTGGAAGATAACCATCTTTAAGTTCGGTAAATCAACTATTTCCATGGGCCATTTGAAAAATAGCTATTTTTTGACATAACCAGAGGGTACTATAATCAAAACCCAAAGGCCATCACTTTTGCAGCGAAAAAAGCCGTGCTCCTCCAGTCCAGGAAGTGGATCCAGCCAAGGTGCAGGGCCATCGTAATGGATCTTCTCATGAGCCTCTCTAAGGTACCTGGCAGAGGTTTCTGGGATCCAAGGCTCAAGAGTTTGCCCAAAAACATCAAGTTCATTATTCATTATAACAATAGCTACAATCATGTATAATCATTATATATATATACAAATATGCATATATGTAAAATACATTGGACACTGATTTTTAATATACCTGGATACGTGAAAAACAATCGGCCGCCACTCTAAGCTCCAAAGGTCGGCCACGTGTTTTGCCATCATAGACCTGGACCCAGATTTTTTGATCATTTTGCGTGAGGATTCCTCAGAGGCTACGAGGTCATCCCGGTCATCCCACGTCCGATGCCTTTGCATTCGCTTGATCACCTTGGATTCACGGCAATCTGGGGATTCGGTGATCAAAGTCACTAGGATCACTAGGTGCGAAATCTACAGGAACTCGATTGGTTTAGCATGGAAATAAGAATGTGGGATACCTGAAACAAATTTATATAATCCAAGCCTGGCATAGTGCCAAAAAATCAGATTCTTTGATCATGCTGAAAGTTATCAGCTAATTTACTAATGTACCATTCTCTGGCTCCATCCCTGGAATCCGGGCGAAATTCTTGAACATGGTCAGAAAAGACACTGAATGTATCCCATTCCCCCCAATATCCAGTACCTCCAATAAGGGGCATAACAATGCATAACATGCATAACGTCAGGCAGCCGTAGTTCCGATACTAAACCAGATTTTTTCATATTAGGGGGATGGGAATTACGAGTGTCTCTCAAACGGCTCTTACGGGATGTTCAACATCTCAACTCTCGATCTGAATCCTTTCAAAGCTTCCGTCTGGTTGCAAAATTCTGTCAGATGGTTCACAAAATGCATCGTTTTGCTGGTGACAGTCCCGTTTCATGGCTACCAACATATTTCATGGCAACTCCTTCATCGTGAAATCTGGTCACAGAAAGGGTGAAGTTCCCATGTCTGCTGCAGTCAATACCAATCCGCCGGCCTGTTGCCATCGGTTTGCTCCGTCGCTTCTTTCCAATACTTGCTCCACTGGCTGTGCCGAACACCTTTTACACGCATAACCTTTCTAAGTATGGCCTTTTCCCAAGCCTTTCTCAATACGGCCTTTTCCAAAACCCTGCTTTACACACATGCTTTGGTTTAAACTTAAAACCGTGGTTTGAACAAAACCAATGTTTTTGCGTCCAAACCCTCTTTTACACCAAGAGCTGTCTTACACAATAATTGTGTTATCCACAAAGATCATGTTTTACAAAAACACCATGTTCTTGCTGGGCCTCTGCAAGGGCTGTTCGCATCTTGCAGGATAACTCTTTCCATGGTGGCCGGCCGAACACGCCGAAGGCGGTTAAATATTTCTTGGTCAAATCCGCACACACACATGTATACTACAACTACATTCTGGTACGAGTACATATATGCATATGATGTTATATTTGCATCATTTTGCATCCCAGCAATTTTGCAGACCATAGCCCTAACCATGTTTCTCCCACTTTCCAGGGTCTTTTTTTGGCGTCTGGCTATCGTGGTTTCGAGTTGAAAAAAAGGCGCCCTGGGATGTCAACTTTCGCTGCTTAGCGAAACTTAGCTGCGTTTCGCACTGATTCATCAGGAATTAGCCTCTGGTAATTCAAGGTAGCAAACTGGAAAATCACCATTTTTCATAGGTAAATCATGGTAAATCATCATTATTATCATCGAACTTTTAATGTGCAATGGCTTCCACAGCTCTGTTAAGTAACCAAAGGACAGCTGAAGTGAAAAACTCAGAAACCATCGGAACCTTTGACCAAGTCATTTATATATATATAATATTTAACTTTCAACTGTAAATCTCAGATGTCGAATTTAAAGTATTCGTACGACCAAGACTAAGACCCAGCACTTACAAATTTACCATATCCATGCATCAAAGCATTGGGCTTTCGCTGGTTATATATACGCAATGAAATTAGCAAATTGTATATCCAAATACCAGGAGAATCAGAGGGTATATCATGGTATATCCAAATATCATATACTGTTGGTTATACATCTCAATCTAATTTTCTCACAACATATCCCAAAGACATATCCCATGACACATAGTTGACATATCCCTATAACTGTTAAACTTAAACTGTTTAGTGGTGCCCCCGATCCTTAGCTGAGTTGGTTTGTAACTTGGATTTCACTTGGGCTTTGTGAACCCACAAACATAGCTCACTTGGGGAGGAACACCCACCTGTAAGACCTGTAACTACTTCCACCATAAATCCCAATTCGCATACATGTTTTTCATGATATTCATGGTGTCCCCACTAAATACCCATTATATCCCCATGATATCCCTATATTATTCCATATTTCCCTATTAAATTCCTAATATATTCCCATTATATCCCCATGATATCCCTATATTATTCCAGTATTCCCAAGGCAATTCCTAAAATATATAAATATATTATTAGGTCCCCATAATATTCCTATATTGTTCCCTATGATATTCCTAATATGACTATATAGGAAGCTTATCCATATATGACTGATATCCAAATTCCGTAATATATCCCATTTAATATATATATATATGACTAATACAATATTACTATATAGGGAATGTGATGGGAATATCATAATTATCTGTCTATATATATATATATATACATATTATATTATATCATCCTAATATTAATATTATCCATACTATATAATAATAAATCCCAATGAGTAGATTTTTCATGACGTCGCCATGATATCCCAATGATATCACTTTAGAATTCTCTAGGGTATTCTTAATATGACTATATAATCCATTTTGGCGGAAAAAAACAACAAACATATGTTTTCAGATTTTTTCGGAAAAAGAAAACTATGTAATATCTTAAATTACTTTGTTATCCCCTCCCCATGGATATCCCTTCGTTTTTACGCCCAGTCGCTTCCTCATGGTCTTTTGGCGCCAACTTGGCCAACAGATCGATGGCAATCGCCTCCTCACCTGAGTTGCAGGACATTTTATGGGCCCCAAAAAGAGATGGAAAACGGTCCTTACAATGGGGATACCATATCTTCGGAAATTATGATTCTTTATTATTTTTTCCATTTAGATCAATAAAAACTCAAGGATATAGAGAAAAAACATCCAAAGTTCGGGTGGAACTTACAACCAAAACCAAGCCATTCACCGGCAAACATTTGGGCTAAAATTCAGGGAAAGCCTAGGAGGAGTCTCTTTCCTGGAGGTTTATGAAGCTGCTCATTTGACTCAAGGACAGCCAAGTGATCTGAAAACGGGCCCTCCATTCTTCAGAAGTCTCCAAAAAATGCAAAATCACCAGCAAAAAATGGGATTAACGACTAAAATTGGCGAATTTTGTAACCACGAAGCCACAAGAAATGGGGCTTTGACTTGCAAACAAAAATGCTAATTGGCAATTTTCACTGGCTGGGTTTGATATTCTTATTTCCTAAGAATGTGGGGCCCTGCTTCTATGTTTCTGGGAGGTCTCAACAAGCTGGTGTCCGTTGTCTCAATTGGTTTACTGTAGTTCAGTAGCTCAGGATGTATGGTAGATATCCGTAGCTAATTTAGAAACCAATAAAAATCCGCCCGCACCGAAGGTGCTGGGGCGTGATCTTCCGGATGGCACTCGTAAAAGGTTACAGGTTTACCTGGGGGGGGGGGCATTTTTCGGCCAAAACCTCCTGTTTTTGATAGGTCGTGACGCTCGCCTTCAAAAAACACTGTAAAAAACAGTACGGAAGACACCTGTTCGTGAACGCGCCCGTCCAAAATCGGCAAGCGAAAAGTGAAAAAACCCCGTGTTTTTCAACTTTTTGACCTCAATTTTTTGGTTTGCAACATCTTTTTTTGCGGTTCCGCAGGTGGCCGGGCCCGGAGGCGGATTTTTGAGTTTTTGGACCCGTTTTCGGACTGATTTTCGTCGTTTTGTGATAGCAGAAACACTGGTTTTTACAGTGTTTTTCTGTTTTCTGCATGCTTGACGGCTAGCTTCAAAACTTCCAAAAACCTCGTAAATTACGCTGTTTTATGTTACGGTGTGAATGAAAACATCGTAAATACCAGTGTTTTTTGACGTTGGTTTAAAAAAACACTGTAAATTACAGTGTTTTTGGCCACCTGACCCTCAAAAACCATGGTATTTGCAGTGGTTTCTGCTTCTCACCGCGCAAAAACATTGTAAATAACAGCAATTTCGCCGTTTTTTCATGTTTTTCGTTATTTTTTGAACTGCGTTGGTCCGCTATACATGGCTATCAAATTCTTCGCATTTTTTTTTCCGACAATCAGTACTTTCGGATGTTTTTGGTCTCAATGGCCGACATCATTGGCAGTTACGAGCGGCTGCCCAACGATGCGGTGCGGGCGGTTGCCGTCGCGAAGCGACGTGAATATCATCACCTTGGGGTTTACTAACCCAATCCCCACATGGAATTTATAGATGATTTCCCATTGCAATGCCCAAGGTGTTTTTTTCCATTTGTTTCAAGGGATTTGAGGTGGATTGCCCATTTAGTTCGATGATTTCCGAGCCAATCATATCAAAACCAATTTTTGATCATTGTTGGTTTCAGATCCCATACGACATCCCCTGGAAATCCCATAAATCGTCATTTTTAGTGGTTAACCCCCCTACGCTAACTACATTCAAATATACGGAGTTGTAAATATACATACTGTAATATATATATATATATATATACGAACTGGTATTTTAGACTACCTCCGGGAGCCTCCGGGAAGGTTTTCCTTGGCCCACCCGGCCATTTAAACATGCGGAATCCAATTTGTTTATATAAAGATACATTGAAAATGTACGGATTGAACTGGTGTTTCATACTACCTCCTGGGCGTCGCCCTCTTGCCCGCCTTCCACATATTTAAATGTCGTTACCGTATAAATATCTAAAGGGAATTCCCTGTAGATTTGCTGAAATCTCTATGGTGAATTCTTATTTATTCTGAATGGTTGTTATATGGATCATTATTATGCTTATTGTTATTATATGGATCATGAATGGTTATAGTTATTATATGGATCATTATATGGATCTATAGATCCAACTTAAATCTTCAGCAACAGAAAAAGGGCCAGGTGACTCGGCTCCTGGCCCAAGAGTTGCAAGATCGTTTCGATCTCAGCGGCGATGTGTTCCATTGCCATGTTTGACTGTCAGAGGGTAAACCATGTAATACATACATATATATTACATGGTTTATACATACATGTAATATATATATATACACATTATATATGGTTTATACATACATTGTTTATACATATATTGCCATGTAATATATATATATATATACACATACAGCACACATGCATGACCATAGTGAAAATTTGCAGCTTGCAACATTCAAATAATGCTACTTAAGGTATAGTTTTACTTTCTATCTTGTCCAGGGTGTGAAATTCAATCAATGTAGACAGATTTACACATGTTTGTATCTGCTCATAATGGGATAACATCGGGTTAAACAAATGAGATTATAGGATTTGATTCAGGGATTGGATTGGTGAAAACCTGTTTTTTTTTCATATTTTGGGGGGATGAACATCCATCATTTGCCAGTCACTTTGATGTGAACGTGTATGTATATACATATATATGTATACATACTATATGTGTATATGACCTGCCTCCCTCTCGACATTATGCCCATATGTGCTTTTCAGGGACCCGGAAAACAAATCAAGTCGTCTCAAGACAACATGCCCAGCACGGAGCTCAAACCTGGCCGATCCTTGAGCATTTGAAGGTCACTTCCAAGGGCCTGGATGTTCGCTGGTTCATCTGCTCGAAATGGTATGGTATCTATAGGTATTGATCCATATACCCTTTGGTTATTTAACGTAGCTATGGAAAATGGCCGATTCACAGATGATTTATGATGAGTTACCTATAAAAAATGGTGATTTCCCATAGCTACGTTAAATAACCAGAGGGTATCTTTTTCTGCCCTGGACTGGACCCAACCGTTGTTCCACCTGAAGCACCTAGTTCACCAGCAATCATGAAACTTGAAACACGGAAAAACATATTGGGGATTTCAGGGCTAGAGCCCATCATGTGACGAGATACGAAGGGAGAAGTGGAGGCGGAGATCTGCTGGTAGCTTTCGGCCACGACGATCAAATGAGGCCTGTACCGGCAGAATCGTTTCGAAGGCAGCAGTCCTATCTGCTTCACTGAAGTCATGCAAAGGATCATATTTGGTGAAACAAAACAATATATGCCAATATGATATTTTAATCAGCAAACAATAAAAACGAATGAACTTGATGTAATTGCATCTGATGTAAAGAAAAATAATGCCAGGTTGATGGCTAGGGCCTTCTGTGACAGTTACCATGGGACTCTTACAATTCACAAACCTCTACTGCTGAGCTGTGTGACTTTGTGACTTTCGCACAGATCACCTTGGAGAGGGGGGTCGTTTCAATTTAAGAACTTGCTGTGCTCTCATCTTTTGCGATACGCTCCAGTGAATTCACGTATATCTATAAACCATGTAGGTCATGTTCCTCAAGAAATCATGTTTTTCTCAACCGTATCTATCTTAGTCTGACAGCAAATAGATCTTTGGAACCATCAACAAACTAGAAAGTGGGCTATATCCCCATTGATTCCATAGGTTTTGATGATCAAGAGGGATTTCTTCGCGTGGTATACCAATTTTCCCCCAGCGTCGCGTGTCCTCTAAAAAGATATACTCTTAGTATCGAAATCCCATGGGTTTAGGCTATCCCTACATGGGACCCATAACCAACATTCTGGACACATTGTAATCTGAGAAGTTCCAACATTTTGAGAAAAACCCTCGGATTTTTGTTTCACCTGGCACTTGAAAATCCTCGTTTCACTCGGCTTAGCCATGTTTGATGACACCGGAGGGTCGATTCCCATTATATCTCAAATACTCCCCCAATGACATTCCCTATAGCCATTTTCAATCCCTATGAATGCCCTAGAATTGGGGGTTTTAATGGGAAAATCATACATTTACACCGACCATGTATTGTTTCTTCCATTAAGAATCCCCAAAACTCCCCCACCCCCAAGGGCATCCAGAAAGCTGGCTGACGAGGCGCATCTCCCATTCTATCTCCGGATTTTGGGCGCAGGCTGCCAATGCTTCCTGGCGACGTCACAAAAAAAGAGATTTTTGTGCGATCTTCCTATCAAAACCCTCCAATTCTAGGGCATTTATAGGGATTGAAAATGGCTACAGGGAATATGAATGGGGAGAATAGTTGAGATATAATTATGGGAATAGATCGGTGTCATCAAACATGGGATGAAATTGGGGGATACTCAGAGGATCATCCCAACCATAGTGAGTTTACCCCTTTATGCATGGAATAACCCATTGCAGGGACTTACTACCAGGCTTATCAACCACTTTCTAAGTGGTATGATCCTCCAAGTACCCCAAAATAGCAATTTTTGTAGGTGAAAATAATGATGAACCATTGCACTTGGGGGAACTCTATTTTCAATCCAACCAAACAAGGCACAACGAAAAAACAGGTTTCAAGAGGCCAGGTGCCCAAGAAACAAGGTACGACGAAAACCATTTGGTGGTAGCTGAAGGGACCACTTTTGGCCTTGTCTTAGAATTTGTTGAATCCAACCAACCTGGAACTTGTCCAAACCTTGCTGCCAACTTGGGTGTCTCCTTCAATATCTGCCATATTTGTACCCTAATTGGTGGTTTCAATCATTTTTCTCCATAATTTTGCACATCAATTCAATTGGCCCCTTCTAGAAGATGATACACCAGTTCGGAGACGCTCAGTTGGTGCTTAGTTTATTCCACTGATCTTGGGTTTGTGGTAGATGTATGGAACTAGTTGCTGGGGGTTATAAGCCACTCCAAATCTGGGGCACTACGTTTGTAGATACCTCCACCACACAGTAAATCCTGAGTAGCAATTTGTTCATGATGTTCCTATTATATCGCAATTATATTCATATCCCAATTATTTATATTTATATCCCACTTATCACAAAAATTCCCTATTATATTCCCCAAGTATTTCCTCGTTATATCCCTATGGTTGGAAGTATCCCTACCCCATCCCCATCCCTACACCAGCTCCCGAGTCCCCGGGTCCAGCAGCTTTGGATCTTCCTTCTGCGCGAAGCTGCTGGCGGCTTTTGTGGCGCTGGACACTAAGAGCTTCTGCGGCCTGGGTATCTATGAATCTAAACTCAGAATAGATAGATAGATAGATAGATAGATCGATCGATCGATCGATAGATAGATAGATAGATAAGAGAGGTAGATGGGTAGATAGGTAGATAGGTAGATAGGTAGATAGGTAGATAGGTAGATAGGTAGATAGGTAGGTAGGTAGATAGATAGACAGATAGATAGATAGATAGATAGATTCGGTAGGTAGATAGGTAGATAGGTAGATAGGTAGATAGGTAGATAGGTAGGTAGGTAGATAGGTAGATAGATAGATAGATAGACAGACAGACAGATAGATAGACATGCAGACAGACAGACACACAGATATATAGGTAGATAAGTACATAGGTAGATAGGTAAATAAGGTAGATAGATAGGTAGGTAGGTAGGTAGATGTGTGTGTATACATATATATATATATGTATAGTGTGTGTACATTGTATTTATATATATATATATTGTGCTATGTATATCACATACAATATATATATATATATTGTGCATGATGGACCGGACCAATGTGTGAAGCTCAAACCATTCAATGGTATTTGAACGTGAATAGCGTCTATCCAATTAAGGGCTAAAAACAAGATCCTCAACATGGATCAAGATGGATCAACGGTGAAGGAAAAAAACTGTGACACTAGGTACTGATCAGAAAAGCTGCGATGTTCCCACCAAGACTGAATACCCTCTGGTAAACTAACATAACTATGGAAAATCACCATTTTCAATGGGAAAATCCACTATTTCTATGGCCATTTTCAATAGCTATGTAAACGTTTACCAGAGGGTATGATGATGATCGTTGAACAATTTTGCCAACAGAAAAAGGGTACATGCCTCGGATCCAATCTTAGTTTCCGGGAGGGTATCTTAGGATGTAAAAAGGGACTCAGAAGTAGAACAGCCTATCTTTACCAGCAAGAAATATTGGATAAGGAAGCAATCGATGCCTTTGGTGTTCATCCTATCTCATGCGTTCATGGCTTTCCTGGTCATTTCAAATTCATCAGCAACAACGGTTGCAACATCTCACGCAATCAATCCTCAACGAAAAAGATCTACTCATGAGCATTCACCTGATACGGCCCACCATCCTGCGGACCAGCCCTTGTGAAGGATCGCCCTAGCTGCAAAAAATGTCACCCATACCCTCTGGTAATGTAAGAGTTCGCGGTGGAAAATTGCCCATGTAGTTCCATGATTTACCGACTCAAATAAGATAAGCCACAGATCTTTCAATCCAACTTACCTGGCTTACCTCGGCCACAGAAGATGCTTCAAAGGATCTGCCCCTCAGAAGGATTGATCCTGTTCAAGACCAGAGACAGAGCCTGGGTGTAGTGACGAACATGGGCAATGGCAGCAATGGAAATGGCAATTCAACAGTTTGGTACAGGATGGTGCCCCCCAGCTATAAGTTGGTTTGTAAACACCATGAATTATCATAGTTATCTAAAGTTTTATCTACCATAAACCATAGTATTCAGCCACTTATATGTCAACTTAGCTATCTTGGGGGCCAATGTCAACTTAGCTATCTTGGGGGCCACATCCTGAATGGAAAGTGGACCGTGTTTTCCAAACTGGTGAATCACCGAACTCAACAAGCACATTTTCCGTAGTGAACTGTTCAATAATATTGCATATTAGATGTGCCGTGGGCATTCATCACCTTAATCCGCCCTAATCCTATTCAGTGACAACCATCCTCCACTGCGCTTCAACACCACAAGTTGAATCATGTCACATCTCGTCCAGATACAGTTTCTGACGTGAAAAAGACATGCCAGGTCCGCAACCTCATCAACCTCATCATGTAATTTTTGTAGCATAGCGGGAAAATCATAAGCACCTAAACCGGCCATCAGGCCTCTGAGTCTCATTGCGACCGAATATCCTGGGGGCTTTATAAGGCCTATACATCCTATACACTTTCATAGATGCTCTTTAGCAACATTTGTTGTGATATGCTCTTCGTCTGGTCAGTGGGTAAATCTAAGGACTTTGGCCATGCAGCCGTCAGATTAAAAACAAAAAACACATCTTCCCATCGTCAGATGGACGTGACACGTAGAATAAATATTTAAGCACCGCTTCTAACGGCCATATTTAAAAGCATGCACATACATATACATCATATACATAAATCTTATATATATATATACATATGGTTGGTGGTTTCAACCCCTCTGACAAAAATTAAACACTTGGGATTATGAAATTCCCCCCAAAAAAGGAAACATAAAAGTCATGTTCCAAACCACCAACCAGATATACAATCTATACATAGCATTCCTGGACAGGTTCAAGATCCCATGGCTCCAAGTGACATAGTCATAGTTGCGCGGGGCAACTATTGCTAATGCGTCCAGCACTTCCTCAAAGGTCGACGGTCTGCTTCAAGACAGGGTCAAGGGCAATATTCTCCAGTTATGGCCATTTATTCGTTATAGCTGGTTATAGATGAGATTCTACATGCCATAAATGTGGTTATAAATACTTACAACTCGTAAAAGGCCACAACTGTATCATTGCCAATCTAAGATCCCCTGCCAAAAAAAACAAAAAACATGGCTGGTGAATGAAAGATTTTGTTTTTTTACCATTGGTAGCAACTGATTAAGTTGTACTTTTTAGTACCGAACCAGTCGGTTGACTAAACCATGATTTGCTGATGTGCCTTTTTCACTCGGAATATTTTCCAGTTGCAAAAATAACAAGTATTGAAGGCACGCAAAGCCAAGTAGTAGCTGTGTATGTTGTGTGATTGTCCCAACTAATAGCTCTAGTAGCCCTGGCACACCGTTAGAAAACCATAGAAAACTTACCAAATAGATCCCAATAGATCCAAACAGTTGGCGATTGAATGACCATACTTACTAGCTATCCTGGTGTGGCCTTGTTAGAAGATCATCCATGGTATCTACAGTTTATACGATTTATAACCGAAGAAATCTGTGATGGTCACCTGGCCAGGTAGGACTTGGTCCTAAGGATTGAAGACATGAAGGCGAATGATCAACCCTGAAGTCTCTCCGAGAATTGTAACAGCATCTTCATGATTGTTTCACTGCCTCCTTTTGGCAATGTTTGATAGCTTCCTTGTTCGTTGTCAAGTGTGTTTCGTTACAACAATTTCCTTTTGGGCGTTTTGGGTAAAAGTAGAGGGGCGGAGTGGGCACACGTGCCACTTACCTATATTGGTTGCGAAACAAATGGAGGTGACCCCTCTCTGAATCGACGACGCAGTAGGAACATGAGTCTACACACACATACATATATATATATATACTTGGTGGCTCATCCAACTGGCTAAGTAGGATATATAACTGATAATAAGTGGGATAAGTAGAGTTAGTCCACTGACAAAACAGGGTGATTTACTTACTAAGTGGAATGAACCACTAAGAAGATAACTCCGATGTGTTACAAGTGGTGAAATCGGAACAATTTACCCCGCATTGTGTCATTGCGTCGGGTCCTTCAATAGGCGCAAATGCTTTGAGCCACAAAGTAGAAGGAACCCTGGAAGCCTGGAACAGAACATGTCAATATGATGTTTCGAAAGTTTCAACCATAATTCCTATCCCAGGTAAATCGAACTGAAAACACCTTTTTTCGATTTTAAAACAAAAAATCAGGCTATATCCGGCTTCGTTTCCCATTCCTGCGTGCCAAAAAGGTAGATCTCGAGCGTCTTTCTGCATGCCCTCGGGGGCACCGCGGGTTCCAAACTTGATCTTGGTGCCCTCCACGGCGGCTTCCATGACATCGTCAATGACCTTTTTTCAACTTACACGCGAAAACAACCCAAAAAAGGTGGAAGACGGAACATGCCAGCAATTTCGCAAAGCAAAGTGGGCTTAGATTCACTAGAAGAACTGTTGTGCTAGAGTGTGCTAGATGGATCGAATTAGTTAGATGGGTGAACGTAAACCGGCAAACAATTCACTGGCTGAAAAGGTCTGAGCTAGTTTGAAGAAGATTTATCTGGGATATATGGACCTAGCTAGACGGGTGAATACAAACCAACAAGCATTTCACTGGCTCCTAACTAGATTAAACAAGACTTATGTGGAATATAATGTATGGAACTAGTTAGACGGGTGAACATAAACCAACAAACATGTCACTGGTTCCTATCCACAGTATATAATTAGGAGCTTTGTGGTGGAGATTCGCTTCGGCCCAATAAAATACACTCTTATACAATTAATTGATTCCCCACATTGGTGGGGATTTCCGACAAAAAACGCCGGAAAAACAAAGCCAGGATTATTGGTACCAATGTCTAGCTACCTATGCATAAATATATAATTATAAACATACATACATATATATATACATGTGCATATATATATATACATACATATGTATATATATACACATATAGATACGTATATAAATACACATGTATATATATATACTCATACACATAAACACACACATATATATATAATTATGTATAGAAATACATCGGTATACTTCATTTAAGAGTTCGTCTTTTCTTGTGGTTTCAGAGTACCAAGTTGGGACGCAGTTGAACAAGAACGTTATTAGGTGGATTGTGAAACATGCCCAACTCGTAAAAGTGCAATACTCCTACGGAACGTGCATAACTTCTATGAAACGTGCATAACGTCTATGAAAAGTGCATAAGTTATATGACACGCGCACCTCTACAAAAAACTGCAAAGAACTCGTGTGTATTCCTAAAGCCTCATCTGTGCGTTCTAAAACATTGTCACGCGAACTCTTGAATGGAGTATATCCATATATGCAAATATACATATATACATATATATATAAACATATAAATACATATATATATACATATATACATATATATATATATATAAACATATATATATATAAACATATATATATATACATATATATACAAATATACATAAATAAATAAATAAATATTTATATATACATATGTACATATATACATATATAAATAAACACATATATATATATACATATACACATATTTACATATATATATATACATATATACATATATATATACATATATAAACATATATATACATATATAAACATATATAAACATATATATATACATATGTAAACATATATATATACATATATATATTTACAAATATACACACATATAAACACATATATACACATATACACATATATATATACATGCAAATATACGTATATACATATATACATATATACATATATACATATATACATATATACGTATATACATATACATATATACACATATTTACATATATATATATATATACATTTAGACATATATATATATATATATATACAAATTTACATATTTACATATTTACATATTTATATATATACATATATATATACATATATATATATATTTACATATAATGTTGACCTACGATTTTTAAATCCCCCTTAAATAAAGCTAAATGTTTCCAACAAAAAAATATTAAATGACCCCTAAATAAAGCTAAACTTTTTTGGCCCTTAACCCAGATTTGCCCAGATGGGGCTGACCAAAACCTTTATTCAAAAATGATAGCTGGAAATTGTCAAAAATGATGGATGCTCTTTCTATTCAAAACCTTTACTTAAATTTATCCAAAATCAACTCCAAATCAATTCATCAAGGGTACCCCCCATGAGGTGCCTTAGCACCAATTAGAGTTTGACCCTGAATAAAGCTACTGAGCTTCCCCCTCCCGCTGACCAAGAAATGAATACTAAATCAATACTAAATCCATGATATGAATACTAGATCAATACTAAATCCATGACATGAATACTAAATCAATACTAAATCCATGACATGAGTACTAGATCAATACTAAGCCCATGACATGAGTACTAGATCAATACTAAAACAATTGCTGGATTCCTTTTTTTTTGAAATTACATTTTATGTATTTGCTTTCAATTGTGGTAATTTAAAACCTTTACATACAAACAAGTTTGATGGTGGCTTTAAGTTTATTTAGGGGAAAAGAGAGGGGGGGCCTATTTATAAATCATAGGTGGACATTACATATATATATATTTTTTAAATACAAATATATATATATATATATACATATATACATATGTAATATACATATACATATATACATAGTTCGAAGGCTTGCTGGAAAATTCCCGGGATGATTGGATACATTTACCATTCCAAAAATCCATTGATATAGGATTCTCCAGCTGGCCATGAAAGGAGCCAGTTATACTAGTTATAATACTATGTTATGCCCACATGGTTTTCTACAACAGTTCTACTCCTATAATATTATACTCCCAGTTATACTGCTCTACTCCCATGATTTCCTGAAAAACGAAACAAGTTTTACTGTTATACTATGATATATTCCCATGATTTTCTGATTTCCCGGGCATTTCTCTCATCTTTCTACAGCCATAACCCTTGCCTCATTGGTGTCGAGTTCTGGCTCCACCTGTTTGAAGATGTCCAGGCACAACTCACCTCAACGAGGCCCTGTTGGACGATGTGAAGAAAACAACACCCGTTTTAAGCCGCAAAGGTTACTGACGGATTGTAACATATTATACTGGTTGGTGGTTTCAACCCCTCTGAAAAATATGAATCAGTTTGGATGATTATTCCCACTATATGGAAAAATAAAAATGTTCCAAACCACCAACCAGTTATAATTGTGGAACTATTCACCCTTTAAATGGATTTATAGATGTTTACAGCTTATGAATTATGACATATATGGTTATTGATTATGGATTCGAAGTATGGTTAAGGATGGTTATCCTACTGTATCTCGGGATAAACCATCTACCAACTGGTGCAGGATTTCTTCCATCCACAGTATCCCTAATGGATTGTAACGATTCGTGGGGTGATCCTCCAAGTATAAGTATATGGTTCAAACTGAACATGTAGCCATTCCCGTGGTGATACTTGAGAATGTTGATGTGATATATAATCGTTGCTGTTCAAGCTAAAAAAAACTGCAGTGTCTGTGATAGTAGAGCTATGTAACTGCGGCGGTTATATGTAGTTTTGTTTGAGAATCTGTTTATATTTTTTGAATATGGCAAATTGCTAAAATTGAAGGGAACCAATCGATTTGGTTTTTTGCAGAGATGTAAGGCCACAGTGGGTAGGCTGGGTCCATCTTTAACCACAAACCTAGGATTTAAATGTTGAATTTTTGTTTATCTTAAGGATTTCACACAGATTTCCCAGATTTTCCCAGTCAAAGGGACGCCCTCTTGGGAGCCTGGTTTAGTATTGGATCGATTCACGACTTGGGGTCCCACATTGACAGAACTGGTGGTATTTTCTATCATTCCTTTTCCCCGAGGACACCAGACATAAACCCATTTGAGTTTCTTTTGGTTTGTATTTGTTTGGGATGCTTCGCCTTCGACAAAAAAACTCTTTGCAGAGATGTGTTGGAAGAGTGTTTGTTTCAGCAGGGCTTCCTCATGGAATAAAATTCAATATGGATATGTACACATAATTGACATACAAAATGTAAAACTAATGATTTGATTTGGAAATGCTAGATAGACCATATTGTTTCAGCGACGGCTGATCATGCTTTGAGAGAGACACCGACTGATGTGTGACACTGGCACTCGATAGCAGCAAAGTCGCGAAAGGCATGACTGTCATCTGTGTCGTCGTATTTCACCTGACACGGAATGAACCATGGCATGGGAGTTGGGACTACTTGGATGTTCTTACCGGAGGGTTTGTTTGGGGGACTCTTAAGTCATGGGGTATCCAAAATTAGACAACTCTAGTGGAAGGAAGTTTAGAAGTCAAACTTCCGACAATATGGACAAATGAAAAGCAGAGATGGGAAGAGTCAGAGAAGAGAAGAGAAGAGAAGAGAAGAGAAGGGAAGAGAAGAGAACAGAAGAGAAGAGAAGAAGAAAAGAAGATCAAAAAGAGAAAGTCTCCAAAGAAAGAAGATCCAGGTGCACGAAAAGGTAGGAAAGTCGCGAAGCACCGTGTTTTTCCAATGATTTGTGGCTCCGGAGGGTCGAAAAGTAGGCTCGCTAAAGCGGCGGGTGCGGAGCAATTTGGCCAGATGAAAGATTGCACGCCGTTGTGGTGCGAAGCACATTTGCAAGTGAAAAAACTAAAACCACCTCACATTCGAAGCACTTTTGGAAGTTGAGATGTCGAAAAGAAGTGCACGCCGTTTGTACAAAACACCTCATGTTCGGTCCACTTTTGGAAAGATACATTTTCCGTGGCAGGCGCAGTACAAGAGACATGTTCATCAGAGATGTAGGGAGGTCAGGGCGGAGATTCCCTGACAGGGGTTGCATTTTGGAGCATCAGATCTTCAGGTTTGCTAAGGTGATTTTGCGTGACAGGTGCAGCACTTCGTATGACCTGGCCTCACTTTTTCGCGGCAGGCACAGTACTTTAGACAGATGCAATGGAAAAATCACAAAACGCGTTGGTACAAAGCCGTCAGCTCTGCACTCAACTTTCCGTTTTTGAAGGATGTCTCGCGGAATTGCTTCGTTTTTGATGTTGTCAACTTAGAAAATTGAGGAGGTCTCGCAGAATTGCTTCGTTCTTGAAGTTGTGAGGTTCAAAAATTGAGGAGGTCTCGCAGAATTGCTGCGTTTTTGATGTTGCCAAGTTCAAGGATTGAGGAAGTCACGCAGAATATCTTCGTTTTCAAGCTTGCAGATAGATAGATAGATAGATAGATAGATAGATTAGGTTAGATTAGATTAGATTAGATTAGATGAGGTGAGGTGAGATGAGATGAGATGAAATTAGATTGATTAGGTAGATAGACAGATAGATAGATAGACAGTTAGAACTACAACAACTACAGCTACCACTACACTACCACTACAAGTGCAAATAAACTATGCTACACTACACAACACTAATTGCACTACAGTACGCTAATTACATTTAACTACACTACACTAAGCTAATTACACTACAACTACCACAACTACTACTACCACAGCTACAACTACAATTACAACTACACCACATAACACTACACTGCACTAATTACACTGCAGCTACGAATACAAATGCGACTACAACTACATTACATTACACAACACTGCACTACACTAAGTACATTACATTACGCTATAACTACAAGCGCAACTGCAACTACAATTGCAGCTACCACGAAATTGCGCTACATGGCACTACGCTAATTGCACTACACTACACTACAACTAGAACCAGAACTACTTTACACTACACTTCACTAGACTACACTACACTATACCAAGCTACAGTACACAACACCACAGTACACTACAATACACTACCCTAATTACACCACACCATAACTACAACTGCAACTGCAACTACACTAATTACACAACATTGCAACTACAACTCCACTACGCTACGCTGCGGCTACGACCACAACTGCAACTGCACTACGCCACACTACATCCAGCAGTTGTGGTGAGGTGACCACTGCAACCATTGCAACCACTCCAAAAAAAACACAGCTCCAACCACCTTTCAGTCCATCAGTGGATTCGCTCTGTCATTCGTGATTCGGCATTCCCACCACCACCACCACCACCACTACTACTACTACAAGTACTACCAGTACTACCAATACTACCCAGTATAATACCAGTACTACCAGTACTACCAGTACTACCAGTGACCGCTATAACTTTTTAACCAGTACGACCAGTACGACCAGTACGACCAGTACGACCAGTACGACCAGTACGACCAGTACGACCACTACGACCACTACTACCACTACTACCACTACTACCACCACTACCACTACTACCACTACCACTACCATTACCACTACCATTACCGCTACCACTACCACGACTACCACTCCGACTTCCACTACCACTACCACTGCCACTACCACTACCACCACTACCACTACCACCACTACCACTACCACCACTACCACTACCACTACGACTGCCACTACCACTACCACTACGACGACGACGACTACTGCTACTACTACTACTACTGCTACTACTACTACTATCCTGCTACTACTACTATCCTGCTACTACTACTACTACTACTACTCCTACTACTACTACTACTATTACTACTAGTACTACTACTACTACTACTACTACTACTACTAGTACTACTACTAGTACTACTACTACTACTTCTGCTACTGGTACTCCTACTGCTACTGCTACTGCTACTGCTACTGCTACTACTGCTACTACTACTGCTACTCCTACTACTACTACTACTACTGCTACTGCTACTGCTACTGCTACTGCTACTGCTACTGCTACTGCTACTGCAAGCAACACTACATTACACAAATTACACTACATTACATTAGTTACACGACAATACACTGCAGCTACAACTACACGACGCTACATTACAACTACAACTACACTACTTCACACACACTACACTAGAGTAATCTAGACTACACTGCACTATGGTACACTACGTTGCACTACACTACACGGCACTACACTGCACTACATTGACATTACACTACACGACTTTACAACTACAACTACACCTACAACTTACAACTACAACTCCACTACACTACAGCTGCACTACACCACACTACATCCAACAGTTGTGGTAAGGTGACCACTGCAACCATTGCAACCACTCCAAAAAACACAACTCCGACCAGCTTTAGGTCCATCAGTGGATTCGCTCTGCCATCCATGATTCACAACAACCAACCTCTCCTATAGGTTTCCTATTTTTGAAACTTCCGCCACCGCCTTGTGCGGGACTACTGGTATATTTAATTAATATTGAAACCCGCGGTGACTTCGGGATCATCCAATTTTAGGAAACCTCTGTGCATGTCACCAACCATGGTTGCATAGCAAGTTCCATAGGAATCATGCCCCCAATGAATGAGTAGCTACAACCAAGCTTGTGCACCGGTCGCCCACTAACATAAAGATGCAAAGAGAGTATAGCCAAGTTGGCCTTCAAAAAATACTTTCCTCACTTCTTGCGAACCACTGAAGGGGCAACTCCATCCAGCCTCGTGTTGCGGGTCTGAATTTTCTCCACCCCGACTATGAAATAATGAATGTCCACCAGGGGACCCTGATTTAGTATTGGGTCAAAAAACGGCGTTGGCCCATGAAATTGATTAAATATAGTATATAGATATATATAGTTGGTATAGAATCAATGTGTAACAACATAGGACAGACTTTCTTTTTTTTGGTTGAACATTGAACACCTGTGAGCTCAGCATACTTTGAGGTAATTCGTGTGCTGCACCTCACAGAAGTCTTTGAGAACCAGTACTTTTCCGTTGCTCAGCAGTGAAGTTACTTGTGACATGTTTTTTTCGTCAAACACGAATTATCCATTTAAAATCATTTAGGAGTATCATGTTTGTGATTAGATCACTGTTTTGTTTTGTTGGCACAGTGTTTTCTGGTTCTGTTTTGTGAACCAAAAATATGAACAAGCTGAACTGGTTCTTCATATATATATATGTATATGTTGGTTGTAATCCATATTCTGCAACATGTTCCGTTCATTCTGCTCCCCTAAATATGTACAAGGATTTGATTCCGGATCCTTCAATCCTTCGACAGCACGGCGCCCCAGTCATCTCCCAGTCGTCCAGTCGGGGGACCTGCGGCTTGACCCGTTTGATTTTCCGTCGAGGTACATATGCCCTCACTTCCCTGGACCAAGCCGAGGTGTCTGGGATCCGGGGGAGGCACAACGGCTTGGAGCAACCCTGCATATAAATAGACATGTGAGATATAATGGGGTAAACCCAATGCCATAAACCAGCCCCAAGTCATCACCATTCTATGGGTGGGATTCAAACCATCCCCAAATGCTAGGCTTATTAGGGTAAACTGCTCACTTGCGCCTCAAAAATTTTCTCACTTGTACCTCCTACTCACTTGCGCCTCCAACTACTCACTTGCGCCTCCACTCCTACTCACTTGCGCCTCCACTGCCTTCTCACTTGCGCCTCCACTAAAATCTAACTCTTTATATAAACTTCCCCCCCTTGCCTTCCACAACGCCATGATCTAAAATCTAACTCTTTATTTAAACTTCCCCCCCCGCCTTCCACTATGCCATGATCTAAAATCTAACTATTGATTTAAACTTCCCCCCCTTGCCTTCCACAATGCCATGATCAAAAATCTAACTCTTTATTGAAACTTCCCCCCCTTGCCTTCCACAATGCCATGATCTAAAATCTAACTCTAGTTTTAAACGTTGATCTAAATTCTAACTTGTTATTTAGACTTCCCCCCCTTGCCTTCCACAATGCCATGATCTAAATTCTAACTTGTTATTTAGACTTTCCCCCCTTGCCTTCCACAATGCCATGATCTAAAATCTAACTCTTTATTTAAACTTCCCCCCCCTCGCCTTCCACAATGCCCTGATCTAAAATCTAACTCTCTATTGAAACTTCCCCCCCTTTGCCTTCCACAATGCCATGATCTAAAATCTAACTCTTTATTGAAACTTCCCCCCTTGCCTTCCACAATGCCATGGTCTAAAATCTAACTCTTTATTTAAACTTCCCCCCCCTTGCCTTCCACAATGCCATGATCTAAAATCTAACTCTAGTTTTAAACTTTGATCTAAAATCTAGCTCTTTATTTAAACTTCCCCCCCCTCGCCTTCCACAATGCCCTGACCTAAAATCTAACTCTCTATTTAAACTTCCCCCCCTTTGCCTTCCACAATGACATGATCTAAAATCTGACTCTTTATTTGAACCTCCCCCCCTCGCCTTCCGCAATGCAATGATCTAAAATCTAACTCTTTATTTGAACTTCCCCCCCCTTGCCTTCCACAATGCCATGGTCTAAAATCTGACTCTTTATTTAAACTTCCCCCTTTGCCTGCCACAATGCCGTCGTAGTAGTAGCAATAGCAGTAGTCTGAAAGGTAGTAGCACTAATAGTACTAGTAGTACTCATAGTAGTACTCATAGTAGTACTCATAGAAGTACTCATAGTAGTACCCAAAGTAGTACTCATAGTAGTAGTAGTAGTAGTAGGAGTAGCAGTAGTAGTAGCAGTAGTAGTAGTAGTAACTATAAGAGAGGCACAAGCGAGAAAAAAACGGAGGTACAAGCGAGAAAATTTTGGAGGCACAAGCGATGCGGCGGCCGCTTATTAGTGGGTTTACCACATTGATGGGAATATCATGGTGATATGATATGGGATATACTGTCAAGGGAATGTTGAACCAGGCTGTAGAACGTGGCTCAAACAACTAATCAAGTCGTTCCAAACAAGCTGCCCTGACATCAAATGATTTCACGGTGGAGCAACTTGTCGTCCTTCGGATAGTAATCCATACACTTGCGAGATTTGCTCTTGCTAAAAAGAAATACAGAATGCGAAGGCATTGCCACAACGGAAAACAACAATTCGAAAACGAGAACATCTCAGACAAGACTCGTTTGGTGTCTAAGCATGGGTTGTATAACCCCTATAGTTTTTAGGGAACATGATCATTGACCGTCAATTTCTTTGGGTACCCTGTTGATAGCTCTACTTATTCAAATGGTGGTTTCGCAATGGTTTTGGGGTCCCCATGTCCAGGAAAGGCCAAAATGGGGATCAAATAGCAAGCCATTGGCTCTATGAACCCAGTTTCAAGTATGGTTATAATTAATCAGTAATGATTGAACTTGTCCACAACGTTTCAACGTTTCTCAATTTATTTCCAGATTCAAACACAAAAAACACCGAATTCATTGGGTTTCTAGGTGTCTACGATGCCCATATATATGCACCTCAGCATGGCTGACCCAGGTCAAGTCATCCCATGCCATCTGGGAGCTCTCAACACAATCATATTAATCTTGATATAGTTTGATACCATTTTCCCCAACTTTCATATGCATCTTCTGGAAAAAAAATATCTATATATATATATATGCAAAACTCAGCCTAGAGCTTGGATCCTGAGAGTCTTTCAAATAATGTTCCTGCGAACCCCACACACATTCAAAACTGATGCCAGATCTCATCTCATTGAAAGGAACATTATTTCAACATTTCAAAAGAAACACATGGTTTCCAGATTTCGTGCCCTTGAATCAGTCCAGCGAACAAAACATTTAACTTCATACTTTAGCAAAATATTAGACGTTTTTCGGAAACACGCGTCATGTTCTCTATGGACCCAAATAGTTCCTGAGAAGGCACGACTAAGCCCGAAAATCATCCCCCAAATACCGCCATGTTTGTATTCCATGATTATATTCCATGATTATATTCCATGGATTTCCATGATATTTCCATGGTTTTTCCATGTTTATCCATGGTTTTCCCCCATGTCACGGTCCTTCCCTGGCGCCAGCTGCCGGAACCTTCGTACGCAGTTCATGCCCGTGATGATGCACTTCATGGCCCGGCGATTCGCGGGCCCCAAGTGCTCCAGCGCCTGCCAAGGAGCTGCACATCATGGTTGCTTATGGTTAGTTATCGTTAGTTATGATCCATACTTGGTGGCTCATCCCACTCACAAAGTAGGATATAAACCCTCATGTTTGAGTGGGGTAGGTCGGCTTAATCCACGTACTTAGTATTTACTAAGTGGAATGAAACACTAAGTACTTATGATAAATTCAAAAACTTATAAATATGATCCAAAATTGCGTGTTTTATAGATCCATTGCATTATGAATCTATGGTTCATTTTTCAAAATATGGCATTTAGTTAGACGTCACAGAAATATGGCAACTAAACAAATGCCATGGCAACTAAATAAATGCCATATTAAAAAGGATCAGCCAATTAAATACGATCAAATGTCCTTTGGGCTTCATCCCAAGGAATCAAGTTGCGATGCCTGGCTGTTGATTTTTCCGGTAATAAAAAAAAAGGTATATCACAATACATCCACACACAAATGTATATATTTATATTCATGATGGGATACATAGAATATAATATAGAATCGATAATTTCGGCCTCAAAAAACATCTTCCGGGATCGGTAAAAAAAACTAATATACATAAAGACATCTTCCGGGATCGGTAAAAAAACTATACACAGAATACAATATTTTTGGCTTTTGTTTTGATCCGGGAAAATAATCTTACAACATTGTTTGTCTACATGGGATGCGAACCTGAGATGAAAATATCGAAGTTGATCCCAGGATGAGAACAACATGTGGTTTGCCATGATTTAACACAACACTACACTAAGATAGAAACTGCTCAATTGGTAAGACCCCTGTGCGTGCATAATCCGGGTCCAAAAGTAATTGGTGCATTGTCTTTTTTTAAGGTGTTCGCTTGTATTCTCTTCTCTTCCTATCATTGCTTTTCTTTTTCTTTGTTTGGGTTGCCATCAGTTATCAGCTGCAGAAACCCAAACATAGAATATGAATGAACGTGGTACATTTGTCAATGATTGCCTGAAATTTGGCAACTTGTAGGTGGGCGTCCCTTTTGTGAACTTCAAAGTGCATTTTTGCAATGCACAGTTTAGTCAAAAACGTGTATTGATTTTTTGCAGGAATTCGCTGGCATTCTCTTCTCCTTCTCCCCTTGCTTTTTCTTTTTTCTTGGATGTTTATTTTGGCTGCCATCAGCTATCAGCTGCAGGAATACACACATAGAATATGGGTAAACATGGTGCATTTGTCAGTAAATTTGGCAATTCGTGGGGGATCCTTTTGTTCAAGTCAAATTGCCTTCCTTAATGTCAAAAGTTGTCAAAACCTGGTCAATTTGGGAACCCCATTTCTTTCCTCAATCCTGGTTCAAAAGTTACCCAAAACCAAAAAACAAAGTTTAATCTGCTGGGTTTCACACATGTTTTCGATATGGAAACATCGTTATTCCGATGGTATTTGCTTTGGCCCTGCTTATGCGCCTCAAAATTCTACACCAAATATTTCTACCCCAAATATTCTAAGTTTTTCTTCTCTGTCCACACCCGAAGGATCGAAAAAGTGCATATTCTATGTAGTCAATCATGATTATACATGTATACATTTCAAATGATGAACATAGACCAACTTACATACATATGTATTCAATAATATAAGTAAATGTATATATATATACATATATATATGTATGTATTACATGGACCAACTTATATATACATATGCAAATATAAATAAATATATATATATATACATATATATATACACATTATATTACATTATAGTCTATACAAGAGGGGCCGCACCGTGGCCGCACCGAGCCGTATCTTTGCACCTCCAAAGCCTCCTCCGACTCGTTCTTGTAGAAATTCTGAAAGTGCTGCGCCAATGCTTCAGCCACTGACCTCAGCCGAGTCGAAGGTGTTCAAAATCGAAAAGGATCAAATAGGAATATAATCGATTTATATGGGATTTATATGGATTTATGATGTTTTACACGAATGTACCACACCTTGCCATGTTCTATCCATTTGAATCACCATCTTCCAAACCGCTGCAAATTCAGAGTTCCATGTTCATTATGTTCAACTTGAGAAGTACAAAACGTGGTTCTCAAAATCGAAAAGAGATAGCTTTGCAGAACATGATTTCTGGATGGGGTGGTCTTGGCAGGTCCTCTGAAACAGTGACCCATGTCCAAAGTTGCTACATTGCTACAAGGCATGTTGCAGAAATTGAGGATATGAGACCAAATTTCAAAGGCCCCCAAGACACAGGGAATATTCGCTCCTGACATGTTCCAAGAGCGGGGATCAAGTCACCAATATTACTAAAGGCTTTTAGGACTGAAAATGACAATGGAAAACTACATTTTACGTACAAGTACAGAACTGTTGGTAACGAACAAAATTGGGTATTTGGATATTTCACGCTTAAATTAGATTGATCTTTGGTTTGTTGGCTCCAAACCCGGATATCTGGATGATATCTCTCATTTTTGTTGCTTGGCCACTTTGGCTGGTGAAGTCCTAATCTCGACCGAAGAGAATCACCCTTGTAGCCGGTGGAATTCCTATTTGCACTGATGGTGATTAAACAATGTTGAATGGACATGGCGAATAAATAACACAACAAAGTGTTGCCGGTTAATGTCACCATTTGTGGGCCCCTCAGAATTTTCTCGAAAAATGACCAAAGGAGCTCGAGCTCTCACGTAACGCTGTTCAGTCAGGGAACAGGTCGCCTTCCTGGAACGCGCCCTTCACGACCTTCAGTGACTTCTCTCCTGGATGTCACGGAAATCCCTCACTTCGGCGAGCTATGAAACTTACAAAAAAACTGGAGGAAAGTCAAAGCACGTATAATTGAAATATCCTATATCATACTTTGATTAAACGTCAATACCGGTAGTACCGCACAAGGCGGTGGCGGAAAATTCAAGGATAGGACACTATAGGGGAGGTGAGTTGTTTTGATGCATGAATGGCACGGCGAACCCACTGATGGACCGGAAGGTGGTTGTGATTTTTGGAGTGGTTGCAGCGGTCACCTCTCCCACAGCTGCAGGATGTAGTGCAGTGCAGCGAAGTGCCATGTAATTGTAGTTGTAGTCGTAGTCTTTGTTGTAGTGTAGTTGATGTTGTTGAAGTTGTAATGTTGTAGTTGTAGAAGTGTAGGAGTTGTAGGAGTTGTAGGAGTTGTAGGAGTTGTAGTTGTAGTTGTTGTAGTTGAAGTGTAGTGGAAGTTGTAGTTGTTCTAGTTGAAGTTGTAGGGTAGTTGTAGGGTAGTCAGAGGGTAGTCAGGGGGATGTTCTAGTAGTTGCAATTGTGGTTGTAGTTGTCGTGTTTTGTAACGGTAGTTGTAGTTGTAGTTGAAGTGTAGTTGAAGTTGTAGCTGTTGTAGCTGCTGTAGTTGTTGTAGTTGTTGTAGTTGAAGTGTAGTTGTAGTTGTAGTTGTAACTGTAGTGTAGTTGTAGTCGTACTTGTACTTGTAGTTCTAGTGTAGTGTGGTTGCAGTTGTCTATCTATCTGTCTATCTATATATCTGCTTATCTATCTGCCTCTGTCCATCTAGCCATCTTTCTGCCTATCTTTCTATCTATCTCTCTACCTATCTATCTATCTATCTATCTATCTGCAACAAGCTTGAAAACGAAGATATTCTGCGTGGCTTCCTCAATCTTTGAACTTGGCAACATCAAAAACGCAGCAATTCTGTGAGACTTCCTCAATGTTTAAACTTCACAACGTCAAAAACGAAGCAATTCTGCGAGACCTCCTCAATTTTCTTAGTTGACAACATCAAAAACGAAGCAATTCCGCGAGACTTCCTTCAAAAATGGAAAGTTAAGTGGAGAGCTGACGGCCTTGTACCAACGCGTTCGGCGATTTTTCCATTCCATCTGTCTAAAGTACTGGGCCTGCCACAAAAAAGTGAGGCCAGGTCATACGAAGTGCTGCACCTGTTAGGCAAAATCACCTTAGAAAACCTGAAGATCTGATGCTCCAAAATGCAACCCCTCTCAGGAAATCTCCGCCCTGACCTCCTAACATCTCTGATGAACATGTCTCTTGTACCGCGCCTGCCAGGCGAAATGCATCTTAGCAGATCCTCTTCAAATATCCCACGCCTGCCATCGTTTTTGGAAATGCCACAAAACCACCATGTTTTGCTCACTTTTGGCAAGGTGCAGAATCCCTTGCGCCTGCCACGTAATGCCACATCTGAACCTTCAAAAGTGGTCCGAGCATGTGGTGCTTTTAACATTTTCACTTGGAACCGTGCTTTGCGCCACAACTGCGTGCATTTTTTCGACATGTCAACTTCCAAAGTGCTCCGAGAATTGTGTCTTTTTTGTGCGTTTTGACTTCGAAATGTGCTTCGTGCCACAACATTCTATATACACTTTTTCAACATCTCAACTTCCAAAAGTTTTCTGAACCTGCTTCGCGCCGCAACGGCGTGCACTTTTTTGGGCATTTCAACCTAAAGTGCTCCGAAGCTGAGGTGTTTGTACATCTTGACTTCGAAATGTGCTTCGCGCCAGAACGGCGTGCAATTTTTCATCTCTCATCTGGCCAGATGGGTCCGCACGCCGCTTTAGCGAGCCTACTCTTCGACCCTCTGGAGCCACAAATCATTGGAAAAACACAGTGGCTCGCGACTTTTCTACCTTTTCGCGCGCCTACATCTTCTTTCTTCTGACTCTTTCTCTTCTCTGATCTTCTCTCTTCTTCTCTTCTCTTCTATTCTCTTCTCTGACTCTTCCCACCTCTGCTTTGCCATCTGTCCATATTGTCGGAAGTTTGACTTCTAAACTTCCTTCGACAACACTAGGGTCGGTCACTTAAGACATGATTTTGACCTGGGTAAAAAAACGCAACGTATCAAGCTGGGCTAGGCATCCTATTCACACCCAACTGGGCGTGGCAACCTGGCATGTTTTTCAACTGGAGTAGGAGATGGGGAAACAACACAACAAAACGGAACTAGGACTCGGACTGGGTCATTGTTAGCTAAATTCAAACAGCACTATGTTCTTGGAGTTGACGTGTTTCGTCTATATTAACTATAGTATGTAATCACTTCTTTTAGCGATTGTTAGACCCAAAGGTGAAGAAATGCATTCAGCTTGGAACCACAGCTTGGAACCAATAAAAGGCTATATGTTTCCCTGGTTTAACAATTTGCTATGGAAAATCACCATGGCTAGATGAAAAAAAACTATTAAATATGGTGTGAATAATGAACATTTAGTATAAATCATGGTTTTCCTCATGGAAGCAAATCCATTTTTTCCGCACCTGGGACGCCCAAACATCTTCCAAAACCATGGCTTTTCCATGTGATGCTATTTTTCTGGCCGTTGTATATTTATTTATTTTGCATTCATTTGGGAATATAGGAATAGAATGGAATAGATATAATAATATGTAGGTATTACGTGTATATATATATACATATAAGTATACATACATATTATATTTTATAGGTACACATTATCTACAGATATGTTATATGTATGTATGTACGTGTATGCAAATATATATATATATATGTATATATGTATATGTATATGTACATAAATATAAATATATATATACAGGTAAAATGTGATATTTACTCAGCTGAAATAAGGTCATTTGGGGTTAGTTGTAAGTTATATGCCCCTTACTAATCATCATTTCACTGAAGTCACGACGTGAGGTCACTATAATTTACCCAGAAATACACTTGCTGGTTCATCCCAGTTAGCACATCTATAGGGTGAGCTAACCTACTTACTACGTAAGTATAAAACAATGGATAGCGGTAGCGGGCCACCCAAAAAAAAACATCCCGAGCGTCGGTAGCGCTCAGTCTCACTCCGCAGATATTTTGCCAGAGCCGGTAGCGACCTGGGTGGGTCCCAAAAAGAATCACCAAGGCTTAGATTCCTAGGTGACCTAAGGTAATCTATAACCTAAAATATGTTTATATATGTTTCATGTCTATAATCTGAAATCGTGTTTTTGATATTACCATATTATATGACCTTACTCTGAAATCATATTTCTTTGGTAGCAAGATTTCGCCAAGCTTGGACTCCAGGAATTATAAGTTGGTTTTCCAGTCACAGCTATTGCCCTTACTGATTCGTGACCAACGAATTAGATTTACTTGCGATACTGAATACTGAGTCAATTTGTTTTTTCATAAGGGGACATGTTCATGATATTCCATACATGGAACATGGAGCGTTTTGGGTATCTACTTGGTGGTTCATCCCAGTTAGTAAGAGGGGTTATCAGTTCTAAGTCAACATTGCCCCCACTTAGCCAATCTATAACTAGGGCCATAACCTATTTACTAAGTGGGATGAAGCACCAAGTATTATGATTTGTCATCCGTCATCCTGGGGAAGATCTCAAATGGACCATGGAAATGTCCAGCACTCCTGATCCTAATGTTTTGTTTTCTGCAACTGCATTCTATTTACTTCAGTATGTTAACTGATGTTGATTGTATGTTGTATATGCATATACAGATCATATATATATACATATGGATATGTATATGTGTATGTGCATGCATGCATGTATGTATGTGTATATGTATATGTATATGTATATGTATATATACATATATACATATGTTTTTGGGTGATTGAATGTTAATCTAATACAGTTTCTCTTGAACTCGCGTTGGACTACGTTGCGGTTTAAACACGCTCTCTCTCTCTCTACATATATATATATGCATATGCAACATATATTTGGTGACATGATTGCATTTGGTGACATGATTGCATATTTCATCCTCTTGAAAAAGATTATGTGGGCACAGTTTTCTGAATATGATGTTGCAGCGAGCTGATTATAATCAATATACATGTGATATAGCAACATAATATACTAATGCACTATATATATGTACATACACACATGTGCCATGGTCAAAACATGGTACATGTCCCATGGTCAACCATTCCATAAAAGGAAATAATGGGAATCCTGGTCATAGGTATACAAATACCCATTCATGGATTGATGACCATCCCCAAAATGGCTAAACCATCAAATTTGGGATTGATTTCTTGACCCGTCAAAAGATGAATCAAAAGACAGAGAGAGAAGCAATACAACGTATCAGAGAAGAAGACGTACAGAGAAAAGAGAGAAAAACATAAAGGAAAAGAACAGCTATATGAAGGAAAAGGGGTGAAGAACAGGAAGAAATACAATTCACATAACTGAAGAAACATCACTCGAGGAACTCTTTTTCACCAGGTGGCCTCAGCCACCCGAAACAGTCGGAATTGTTTTTTGAGCCTTGGTGTTATCATGTGTTATCCATCAATAGATTTATATATACACTGGTGGTTAATCTATACATATATATATATATATTGGTCATCTATATTAATTACACCAGTAAATCTAAGATCTTTTCTGAAACAGGGAATTCTTAGCCCAATTTCGTAAAACAAATTCGCATTTCTTGTATAATTCCAAGCAATCCGACTTTTTGAGGCACGCTTGCGGAGAGCCCCAAGAATTCTTGCAGCGAGAAGGGCTTATCCGGACATTTCGGTGCAATCACCTGGATTTGAGGTGCACCTGGTGCACCTCCCATAGGATTTTAATTCAAAGCAAGGTGATTCAACGAGAATCATTTTCCATAGCGAACTGTACGATACTACTGGAGGCTACTACTGGATTTATCTGATAAGACCAACAATAACGAGGATTTATATAATGGGGATATAATCGGACATATCATCAACGACCAGAAAGAATGGATTTGTGGGAAAACAAAGTACCGTCACAATCCAATGATCATCATATTATTCCCATGATATATTCCCATCATATTATCATTCCCATTATGTAAATGAATTTAAATGATTTGTTTCATGGTTGCTTGGGGGCCTACCGGGCCTACGCTATTTTCAGACACTCCGCTGGACACACCCAGGCCCACAACCAGTGCAGCGTCAACCAAATGTCGATTGATGGAACGACCCAGTTGTGGGACCCACACTATGCCATCAATGTGCTGTCATTATCCCACTTTACCTCTACATATCAGTTTTATTCCCTGATGTTTTCAACCATTGGTGCACGAAAATTGATGGGAAGACCCCAAAACCTAACGGATGGATTATCCTGTTCCTTATGAAGTGGACATTGATGGGTATTCCCCATTTGCTGTTGCTTGTACAAACCCTTGTGCTGCTTGAACAACAATGGTCCCACTAATGGCTCTTTGTTGAGGTACCTCCATCCTGGTTTCACAGCATCCTCTGTGAGTTACCCAAAACAGATTTCCGATGATCCAAAAAGCCAGAACCATGAACGAACTGAATTGTTTTTGTTCAAATTTGGATGTTCTAGCTGAATCAGCAGCCTAAAAACTTTGGCGATTTTAGGATACTGTAGTTCAGTGTATATATATATATATTTATGTAAACAAATACCCATATACATTCCACAATAAACCATCATTGGATGGGGTTTCAACCCCTGCGAAAAATATTCTCGTCAATTTGGGTCATAAAGACATCATCCCATTCCCAGCGTCAAAACTAAACCATATCTACAGATATGTCACGTTATGTCCCCTTACCAGCTATAAGTCAGTAAGCCATCCTATATATGGAATGATACCACCATTTATAAGTACAAAAATACCATAACAACAGTGATTTCCAATCATTTTCCCATCATTTTCGTTGGGCCATACCTTCCAGCGATAGCCATTGACCTAAAATGTGGGGCCCCCGTTCGATAGCGGTTCGTTGGTGCCAACTAGCTGGATGGGAGTTGGCACAAACATCACATTCGCGGGCCTCACTAGCTGGAACATGACCCAGTTAATTCGATGATTTACCTTCTATCTTTCGATTTGTAGATGATGATTTTTCATAGGCATATGATCATCAACCACCTTCTAACACATTGTGACAGCCATATCCTAGCCATATTGAGTCATAACCAATATTGATTCATGGATGGCTAGTTGTTAATCAATATTGCTCTAAAATGTTATACATAGAAAAACATGTTGGAATATTAAACCAACCTGTGTATAGAATATTGGAAAAGTTTGTTGCTCACCAAATGCTATATATATATATATATAGATGGAAAAACATGGCTACAAATACAGTATTATTGCTATCCAGGATTTCCTATAGATATTTAAATCATCTTGGATGGTTTGGTTCCTCATATATGATACATAAATTGATATACATATATATATATATATATATGTGGGCCATGGCTATCACTTCCTTCTTATTTTTTGCTTTATTTATATCATCTTATATCCTTTGGGGAAAATATATTTCTATCATGTCCAGTCATTTCCTCCTAATAAACGGTAGATTCTATAGATTCTATAGATTCTATAGATTCTATAGACTCTAATTTTCTATAGATTTTCATCTCCAGTCTATAGATTCTCCACTTTCCAAACGGTCGGCCCCTCAAGGCATCTCACCTCCAAGGCGTCCAAAGCATCGTCCACCTGCGAGCCCGTCTGGAGGCGCTGGAAGACGGCCTGCCGGTCACCAGAGTCCCCAAAGAAAAACTGAGGGTTTTGGTGGGGGTTTATAGGGGTTTATAGGGGTTTATCGTTTTTTTTGTGGGTTTATGCGGTTTTTATATTGGTTTATATGGTGTTCAATGGTTTTTTAATGTTCGTATATATGGTTTTGTATGATTTTACAATGTGGTGCCCCCCGAAAAGGAGTTCTTTTTTAAAGTAAAATCCAATCCTACAATAGTGGTAAATTGCTTTTCTATGACTATAACTGGTTGGTGGTTTCAACACCTCTGAAAAATATGAAAGTCAGTTGGGATGATTATTCCTAATATATGGAAAAAATCAATCGTGTTCCAAACCAGATAAGTTCATATGGAAGTTTCCTAAATTGAAGATACCCCTAAATCATCTAGTTTGATGGGGGTTTCCACCACAAAATACGGTCATTCCAGTGATACATGGCAGCTCCCAAGTTGGTAAAACGGGTAATTCAATATTAAGTAATGGTTTAATGGCTTGGGTGATTTGGGGTAGCCCTATCTTAGGAAAACCCCCTTTGGCACAATAGACTTTGATCCATCCCCGCATGTATACCTTGACCCCAGTGGATGTATGGACCAGCAAACAAAAACTTAAAACTCAGGTGATTGGGTGAATACTTGTAAATACCAGCTTTTCTGAGAAGTATGGGGGGTCTAGGTATAATCTGCATATGGACCCACAAATAGCGGGTGATTATTAAAACACATTCAGGCATCCATTCTTGGGTGTCCAACAAATTGTGAATCATCCTCAAACGTATCAAAGCCATTTACGATCCGTTTTCATGCATTATTTGCAAATTCATATATCATCCGAGTAGGTGGCTTTGCCTGTTCACAGCTACGAATCGACCCAATGTTGTATGGCGTTGAATCCTGCTTCATCACCAACCTGTGGAACTAGTGTCAAACAAGTTCCAAGATCTCTGGTTCTTGCCATTCCTCCGTTTATTCCATGAGGCTTGGAGGTTCTTCCTTGGCTGCTTAAGTACGGACATGCTTTTAGCCACCCTGGAGATAATCAAACATCCTGTCCTGCATTTTCAATGTTTGGACTTGTGTAGCACATCTACCCACTGCCACAAAGGCCACAACTATTACTGGCCAATCTTACCCTGCGAACCATGAATGTTTGGTAATTGTTTGGTTGGGTATGGTATATTCCAAATAAGACAACATAAAACACACAGAAGACTCGGTTGTGTTGGACTACACATCCAAGGTTTCGCGATTGAAAACAACATCATAAAATCACCAACCAAGTCTATTGCTTGTATAGTTATTGTGGGGCGCCCTAGCAATGTTTGTTTTATAACCTCATCTAAGTATAGTTTGAAGTGCCATAAACCCTAGTTATTGTAGTTATATTCACCAACTTAGCTATCGCACGGGGGCCCCACATTGTAGTTATTGCGGTATATTGCGGTTAATTTCTATTATGTCGACCCAGCGTTTCCCAAACCATCGGCGAGACTCGTTGTAGTCAGCCACCAAGGTGACTTGAATCGTCGGTTCTCCATCATCACCTGGGACAAAACATCTGGGCAAAATAGAAACATGTAGATGTTGGGAATATATGGGGGGTTCCATAGTCATGGAAGATCCCCAATAGGTGGATGGTTTATAAGGGGAAATCCTACTAACATGGATGATTTGGGGGTACCACTGTTTTAGGAAACCTCCATATCAGCGATGTAAATCATCTTGGTAGAACCTAATATAGAATACATATATTGGTAGAACCTACTATATATTCGCGATTATTGGACTATCGTTTTGCCAAATCTTGCTCGATCCTGAAATTTGTCAACATCATCAGCATCCAAATATCAGATTATGTAATCTTGGAGTTTTATTTTGTTTGTTTTATCATCACCTAATTCTTGTTATGTGCTTAAATTTTGACAAGACTTGTTATAAACTTGGCAATGTTATGCAAGTCTACTTGATCCAAAATCTTGTGCCCTCTGGTAAACATACAAAAAAGCTATTGAACATGCCCATTTATAGTTGATTTACCAATCAAAAATGGTTATTTTCCATAGTTATGTTTGTTTACCAGAGGGCAGATGAAGAAACCTTGCTAGATGATTGGATCACCTCGGATCATTTACGAGGAGGTCAACTGGAACCTATGGTGTAAATATCTAGGATTCAACGGTGTAATCAAACCTAAATATATCATAGATAAATCATAGATATATCCACCATACATCCTGTGAATTTTGATTGCACAGCTGCAATGTAATCCACCATAAACATCCATAAACTATTCGACAACTGGGGGGCACCACCACTGTAATTCCCAGATCTGGAAGAAATCACTTCTCGGGATACCCTCTGGTAAACTAACATAGCTATTGAAAATGGTGATTTATAGTGGATTTTCCCATTAAAAAATGGTGATTTTCCATAGTTATGTTAAATTACCAGAGGGTAAGTTTACTTAACCGCTCACCATCCTTGGATTTTGGTCGGCGAGAGCTCGATGTTGTGGATTTTCCCTGGAAATGTCGGGAATGGCTATAGGAGCATCTAGCAATATTATGTTCGTCGATTGCCTGAAAACACGTACATAATATATATATATATATACCTGGACTCTCCAATAGCCCTATTTTTTAGGCCGGGACCAAAAAAAATGCAAAGGACCCTTTTACTATATTATGTACCTTTTTTAGATTTGGGGGGATATCAAAGGTATATTGTAGACTCCAGGCATTATATCATCTTAATATCCCATTACTAATCACAATCATCTTAATATCCCATTACTATCATCTTAATATCCCATTACCAATCTCAATCATCTTAATATCCCATTACTATCATCTTAATATCCCATTACCAATCTCAATCATCTTAATATCCCATTACTATCATCTTAATATCCCATTACCAATCACAATCATCTTAATATCCCGTTACCACCATGAGCCCAACCACCAACATCCCGAAGCTCTTGTATGGATCAAGAGTTGGAATGCTGCCCTTGGTGCAGCTTCTACATCTCCAGGTGCCAAACTAAGGTGATGATTTCGAGATCTTTTGAGTTTAGGAGTGCTGCAAGATTTATGTGCTGATACTCCCAGCTTTTTTTGGCTCTTGGCACCCAGATTTTTGTTTAGCCCTGACATTCTTGGTCGTTACTGGCTATGGAGACGTATTTGGAATCCAACGAAGCTGCCAAAAAGTGCATTGATGACCGAGGCTGGGCCCCAACGATTGATTTGCTAAAAATCTGTGATGTACACTTCCCTTGGCCATATAAAAATTAAGATATCAATCCCACTTAATAAGTTTTTTCTGTCCTGTATTATATTTATATTTGGATGCCCTATACTACATATATATATATGTAGTATATACATACCTGCATGGGTTGCTATATGCGTGGTTGTGAGGTGGTCACCTGCCCTAGCCCAGTGGAACCCATGCCACCAGGTCTGGGGAATGTTCCCAAGGAGCTTTGGTCTGAGATTTTCAAGATTCTGTTTCCGGAAGCTGTATCATGGTTGCATTGAAGACTATGTAGGCATCCCACTATTCCCTGTTTAAACCCAAAACACTCATCATTATTTAACAATCTTATTCACTGCCATCCCAGGCAGCCGATACCAACGTGAACGTGGACATGTTTGAAAAGGTGCTGGCAAACTATGATGCTGGAGGGACTGCTTCCCAGATTATTCGTCGTTTCCATCAAGGACATAATTTGGCAGGGGTTGGGAGTTGGGGACCATATTGCTGACTATATTGCCCACTAATGTTACATTGTTATTATTGAATCTTGGTTTGTTGATTGGGGTGGTTCCCATTAACAAAAATGCCATTAGAATGTTAGCCCCCGGATTCTGGTTTATAGGTTTATTGTTCTGGGATTTACACTACCATCAGAAAATTGTTGTGATCCTGCTTTGGCAGGAAAGTCCTTGGAAGTTCCTTGGCTCAAAAAAGTGGATTCAACAAACATTATTTGTCTTGAATGGGCATACCCAAAACCAATTGGTAACTATCAAATGAATTTGAATTATATATGGTATTGATATTTAGTTGGATATATCCCAGCTAGTAAGTGGCTTATATACACCCATTGAAATGCCACAACAAACTTGGGATATTTGTACTTATGAGTATTTTGACAATCTTCCATTTCCACCTGTTTGCGGTCGTGCCCTTTTTGTCTCGCTGGCCGAGGATTGCACTTCCGGATCGTCTTTGTCTGACAGCAATCCTTAGGGACACAATGGGTAGAGCTGTTGCAAATACTAGAGGGGTGGGCCATCAACAGGTGAGCTGCCAAATAGAAAAATTCAAGGAATAGTAGAGCACACACATGTTGCCTGCACAAAAGAATGCAGAGCAAGTCAACACGGGATTGACAGTTTGGAAAAATAGCGATCAAGACTTTACTTCTTGAAAAAACTTCAGTCAAATCTTTCCATATATATAGATATACATGCATATATATATATTTGTAATACCAACTACTGTACCCTGATGCGCCTAGGTGCTGTGCTGTGCTGACTGGGCACACTCCGCAGTATGGCTGGAAACTGAATGGGCGTTTTCATTGTGGAGGAAACATTTGAAAACACATCCATCCTCTGATTCCTTTTTTATCCTGATGTTGATTCACATCTATGGAATTGCTTGGTGTAAGACCCGACTTGGCCCCACAGGATTCAAGTTCAGACTAGCTTCCATCCGTAGAGGCTGCATAGGCATAGACATGGCAGAACCTGACCATGGGGCAGGGTTGCTGGGACTTGCTGAGCGCTGGGAGTCTGTTAGCCTTATCCGCCAACGAGCTCGCCGAACCAGCTCTTTGTTGGAATGGATGAGTCCTGAAACTACTGGAGTCCCCTCCATGACACTTTCCAGCAATATGAACCAACCAATGGTTTTAAATAGTGATTTCAAAACATTGCACTTTAAACTTCGGTATCTGAGCTTGTACTGTATCCACAAAAGTATATATATACACATAAGCTACACACAGTATTGATTTATCCCCAAAACTAAGGAAAGCTGTGGAGATGAACTGTGAAGTGTTGTGCTGTGTTGCGGAGTTGTGGGTGAATGTCTTCGACTTTGAAGCGGCTGGTAGTGTGCCACGGACCCCGCCTCTCAACATGATCACTCCCGAGGTCTTTTGACATCCATCAGTGCTCAACATGATCACATTCCTGGGCAATGGGGGAATTGATTGGGAAATGGTGAGCCGTACATGGGTTGAATAATATTCCAGAGTCCAATCCTCTATAGAACAACTATATATTATATTATGCAATATTTTTTTCAGGGTCCATAAGCCTATATGTCAAATGCCTTTGACCTTTGGTTGATCTTAGGTGAACAAGTTCTGGGAGATCATGAAGGAAGAGGGCCAGGAGTTGCCGTCCAAAACCCAAAGGTATGTCGACTCTTGGGGAATTCGCAAGCTCACCAGTCATGCTTTGCGCAATCTCAGACAGGATCGCCTGCCTCGTGTGCCCTGGTAACAAAAGGTAAGTCATGTGTGTGTGCATGTTCATATATGCATACATTACATGACCACTTAATACCATTATATGGATGCATGTATAGACATGTATGCAATCAAAGTACCAGAAATCAACACATATTTAAGCTTGCATTTTTTTGTGATGGAATCCCATTGGACAGTTTACAACTAAGTCACGGGACCTCCAGCACTTGTTCATGATCTACATTCGGGCCTGGTATGTGCAGACCGATCCACTACCACCACCCGCTGGTGTACTTCCAGACTTGGTCCCTGATGATGGAGAGACATATGATGATAGCGAGGACTGTAGGGCCAATGTAATGCGAACAAGAACAACCAATCAATCAAATTATCAAAGAAACAATGTAACATTGTGCCATTTATAAATATTTTTCATGATTTATGGACCATAAAAAGGACATTTCATGGGGATCTTTTAAAATTATGTGGCAGGATCCAGTGCCTGCCTTGGAAGATGGAGAATATGAGGAGGTCAAGTCTGTTCACTATGATGTGGATTCCCTGCCCTTGGACAACAATCTATTTGGTGATTCCATGGGTGACTCTGCCATGCCTGCCCCATCTGTGGAGCCCCGTTGTGATCCAAGTGCAGTAGATACTCTTCCCTGTGATTTGCCTGGGGATTTTTCCCTTGCCATGCCATCACCGCCCCCGGCTGAATCAAGCTCAGCTGCCAGCAGCTCGCTTTCGGAGCTGGATCGTCGAATTCTTGAGTTGCAGCTCCTTGGCTGGGACAAGGGCTGGCCACTGCACCTGTGTGTGTGTCATGATGATGTGGGCATGGGTTTCTAGATAATATCTACCCTGGTATATCTTATGCCCACCCTAGTATATCTTATGGTAATTGTCCTTTATTGTTTTGCCTAGGCAAAAGCTAGCGCTCAATCCTCCTCGAGATCCACGGGAGTCTGAACTTCTTCAATGTGAAGTTTGGATTGAGGACCTCGTTGAATATGTATATTGTGTTTTGATGCATAAAGTATTTGATAGCATTTGCTTTGTGAATGTTTGTTGGTCCAGTGGCCACCCATTGGCACTCACTATTATGCAGGGTATGTCCAAAGCTTCTATGGAAACATGTTGGTTTATTTTATTGAGTTCTACCTGCTAGGATACACAAGATGTTGAAGATCATGGTGATGCTACCTCACCACCCCCGAGCAAAGCTATGACTGACCCTGATGCACCCGAGAAAGTCCCACCAACGGTGCTAGACACACCAACCCCAGCCAAAGACTTTTCACACTTGCAAGTGAACCCAAAGAGCCCTGAGCAGTTGGGTGTGGAGCCATTGGCTTCTGACACTAGCAAGGCAGATAAGGACGATGGTTTGAAATCTGAGGAGTTGGAATTCTCGAGTGTTTGCCCCAGCCCAAGCCCAGCAAATGAGGAGCCCTTGAACCCTGAGGATTTAAATGAGGATAGCATCCCCCCTACCCAACCAGAGCCTAAGGAGATGGAGGAGGAAGCAGGGGAGGAACACCAACATCACATCTTGGATGAGCTCTTGACACGCCACAAGCAGGACATGGCACTAGGCAAAAACCCAGGGAAAGGTCGAAAGAAGAAGGACACAACTGAGGTGAAGGCAACCCAGGCCAAGACAAAGTCTTCCAAGGGACGTGGACGTGGACGTGGGAAGGGCAGGGGGCGAGGATCAAAAAAGGCTGCAGAGGAGGAGGCAGCAGCGGACATGAACCCGGATGAAGAAAACTTTTCCCTTTTGAAAGCTGAACCCAAGCTTTGGATCGACAGCGATGCTGAGGCAGAGCCAGCCAGCAAGACTGACAAGCAGCAGCAGCAGCAGCAGCAGGCAGCAGAGAGCCCAGCAGTCAAGCCCAAGGCGAGGAAAGGCAAAAAGGCAGTGAAGGCGGAATCTGGTGCATCAGCATCTTCCCCAGCCCCCCGAGCCAAGGCAAAAGCCAATGCAAAAGGCAAGGCTAAGACGTCCAGCAAAGGTGACAAGGCAAAGGAAGGTGCAACACCCAAGGAAGGTTTGACAACCCGCAAGAGGAAAGCACCAGAGGCTGGCACTGACACACCCAAAACACCAAAGGCTAAGGCCAAGGCTAAGGCCAAGGCCAATGCAGGCAAGTCCCCAAAGGCAAAGGCAGCTGCCAAAGCATTGGCAAAGAAGAGCAAGGCAGGGCCCAAAGCAGACCCGGAAGCACCCAGCTCACCCAGTGCAGCAGCCCCCAAACCCCCGGCCAGAAAGCCCAAGGTGAAGATGAACCAACCGTTCAAGCACAGCACCATTGTTCCTTACTGGTCTCGACAGGCAATTGCCTTGAAGGTTCAGACTGGCTTGGGAGTTACTGGCTTGACCCAGGCCTGGTACATCTTGGTAGATGCTATTGCATGTTATTGCAGGCTTTAAGTATTTATATAATACTTAGGGTTTACTGTAATTATATAGTATAATTATAATGTTATGAGCATATACCCTTTTAAGTGCCCACCCTATCACTATTCCCAGTTTTTATCTGGCCCTTTGGCAGGTGTACTATCTTGCAGTCCGTGGCATGGAAACCCAGGATTTGGTCGCCCCGATTTCGAAAATTGTTCCTTGGCATGTGCCCTTTGGGTTTATGTATGCTATAGTGCTGTTCATATATAGGGATAACTGTATCAATGGTTTATCATTCCAAAAACTATTCAGATATGTGTCATCCCATGTTTCCACTGTTCCCCATATCATAAACCTACCACAATGAACAATCCAACAGCTAGCACTATGGGGCTAGATTGGCAGCAAATGCGTTCAGTAACAGTTGAACTAACCAGGTTGGGATTCCCATCCATAACCGACCCATGGTTGACCTATGCCCTTCTTTTTTAGAGTTCAGGCCCTCAAACTGTGCCAACTAAGGCGACTATGATTGATGAACACGGAGGATGTTATGATCATGTGGATGTTGTGCGAGCATTCGACTCGATGCGCAACGAGCTGCAAGGTGTTGTCCCGCGAAACCGTGGGTGAACTAGTCTGATTTCTTTTCACATGGGATAAGGAGAGCTCCATATGTATTTCATCACTGTGGCAGTTGTAAAAACCATTTCTTATATCAATGTTCAGTTGTTATAGTTGTGTTGTTTATTTGTGTGGAGCTATATCCAGCTTTTAGCTTAGGGGATGCCAGATCACACAACCTGAAGTGGTTGCAACCTGATCGGCTTTGAAAGATCATTGGTCTTACAGGGAACATTTGAGACCCTGAAGTGGGATTACCTACTTTAGGTGGCAGAGTTTGCAAACTGCTGTGGCCACATGGAAGAATCCTGCTTAGGAACCTGCGGCTTGGAACAAGCACGGGCGTGAAAAATCCTTTGACCTTTTCCCAGTGTTTGCTGTGGTAGGATCAAACTTCAGAAAGAATCTTTGCCTATTGAAGTCCCTTACTATCCCTCCTTCCTTTCCTGCTTCACCATCAAAATCTGATATTATATATAAAGATATTATACATATAATGTCCTTGTAGTCTGTAGATTAGGATTATATACAAATTAATTATATATAATATATAATATATACATAATATATATAATCGCTAGTGTTCTTGTCTTCTAAGGCCACGCTCTTTGCCCGGATTCGGCTGCAGAAGCAGTCCAAGAAGACTGGTACATCTGACTATTTTTTCTTTTGGACCTGGTGTGGACAAGTGTTGATGAGACTGTGTGCACGTGTGCAGTATTGACTATTCATAAAACTCATGTATGCAAACCAAATGATTGTTCTTCTGTGTGGAGCCTTTGGCTCAGGGGTATCACTAGGACTGCAACGCACATCCTAGTGGGATACTGGGAGACATGGTTGGTTGTCCGATGCGTGTCGATCAATTGCTGCGTACACTCATGTGTATGCGGGCTCCGAAGGTTGGACCCCTACCAACACATCTAAACATGTTGTTTATGGTCAGTCAATCTATATGTTTAAGGGATATATGTGCATGGATATACAGTCAAGTCAAGAGAGATCAAATATTAATCTATACTGTTATTTGTTCTGTACCTATGAATATATATACAGCAATGGCAGCAATGATTGTGCTTTCTCCTTCCCATAGTTGCCATCCTACAATGGTTGGTTGCTGGAGGTGCTGCTCACCCTTGTACTTTTGGTTCATTGGCTGGAACCACTTGAACAAGGAGCTGGCTGTCCTGAAGCACATGTCCTGGACTTCTTTGCTGGACAAGCTAGGTTAGCTAAAGCGGCCCGAAGGATTCCTGGGATCCAAGCATGTGCTTTTGACATATCATATCGTGATGAGCCTGCTGCTTTTGATTTCAATAGTGCTCCTGGCTTTACGTTTCTTTGAGGCATAAAGGTGTGCACACACACACATGTCACTATATACACATATGCCTGGTTGTGTAAGGGCTGGGTGTATGCAATGGCTCCTTCTTTGTTTGGTTTGATATGGCAGAAGCCAGCTGCCTGCCCAGGTTGGTGGTCTATGCGCTACTTAACTCAAAGCCGGATCTCTTTGCCAGTTTTGGTGTTTGCTGCTCGAGTTGGGTGGTAGCAAGTCGTGGATCGACAGGTAGATCATTTATAACACCAATGGGTAATACTGCGCACCGTGGTGTGAAGGTAGCAAACCAAATGGTGAGCAGGACTACATTCCAAAAAACATGTTTGACTTACAAGGGCAACCCAAGCGATTTGCCAAGGCTCTCCATCAAAGACCCAGTAGGCTGCAAAGACACCAGAATTCCACCATCCCAAGTGAGTTCCTTGGGGCATGGGGCTTTCAGGGAGATAACCCAGTATAAAGGTACATAACCTTTTCATGGGGAAATATTGGGAATGTACATGTGGAAGTCTTATGGCATAACATGGGGTAAGGTATGTAGCATTTACTGAATCCCCGATTACATCCGTGACTGCTTGCAGGACAATTATGGCACTGTTGATTGTGGCTGGACTTCAGGGAGTGTGGATTGTGGAGCAGCCCCATACATCTATAATCGCTCGGCATCGTCGCTTCCGATGGATGGTGAGAATGTGGCAAAAGATGGGGGTGAGAGTTACTTGGGACAATGGTAAAAGTTTGGAAAAAAACATCGGTTGCCCCTAATACAAGTTGTTCAATATCATCAACACATGGGGTCTGAAGTAAACTTGAGTTTTGTCCCAAAAAAATAATTACCAGCAGCTTTAGTTGGAGGATCATACCATTTAGTAACTTGTCAGTGGGATATGTTTTTGGTTGGGGTACTTGTATTACCAGTGCTGTTGAACAGTTACAAAATGGGATGATCCTCCAAGTGCAAAATGGATTGGTTGCCCTAGATATCGAAATACACCGAGCTTTTATAACCATTTCATAAAACCAAGAATACCTTTTGGGCAATGGTTATCCTAAAAAACCGGTTAAATTGGAATCCTTGATTTCACAAATGGCCCAGGAAAATTACACTGGGGATTGCCTGAGGTGTTTTACCAGACCTTCTGGATGAAGGCATTTGGATCAGCTACAGCGAAGAGAACGATAGTATATTCAAATTCTGCTGGCATTGGAAAGCTAGATGCTGGACCAATGAAGAAGGCAGAGCTCCAGTCAGAAATCCAAACGACAACTCGATATGTCTCAAAGGATGGGCGCAAGAGATTCTGTGGAAATGAAAATTTGAAATCGACACAGTTTCTTGAAAACAAACCTGTACTTTTTGGATAGTGGTCCCCAACATCAAAGATATTCCTAAGTAAATCATTGCAATACCATTTTTTATGTTGACTGGTGCTGAGGCTTTATCCCTGGAGATACATTGGGAAACTACTTGAAGTGCAAGAAGCTGCACCATCTGAAAACAGAGATCAATTTCCTGATGTGGCTGGATCTGTATAGGAAAAAATGGTTCAAACCAACAACATTTTTAATACTAGTCACCCAATCTCATTTGAATACCGTGTGAAAAGGGTACCCAAACTAAAACCAAAAGGGTCCAACCTCACTGCAATCCACTCAGGTAAACCAAGAGGCTGATCTCATCCAGCTCTACATGGACTATCCGTGGGGTGACCTTTGGGAGGAGTCAGGGATTCTTGAGGTCCTACGCTATGTGAGAGGATCTAAAAGGCTGAGAATGCCACAGCCATGGAAGGAGATTTTCCCCAAAACACTTCCACCTATGGATGTCACTGACAGTGACATGGAAATCTAGTAGTTAGCGTGGCTGGGTTGGCCCTTTTTTTGGGGGTCTGTACCTTTTTTTCAGTGGGGAATCCAGCTGGACATGTGGGAAGCGTCCGAAAAGCGTATTTTTGCGTCCAAAAAGCGTATTTTTGCGTCCGGGACGGATGCGTCCGAGGCGTCCGAGGGCGTCCGGGACCTTTTTTCAAAACAAGGACTTTTTTCTGATTTTTCTGGTTTAACCAGGGGTTCGAACAAAAAGAATGATGGTAAATCCTAACTCCTTACTTGACTCCATTTATAATTTATGTTGGTATGCCATGCCTACTTGACTCCCTATCATCAGCTAAATTGGGAAGTTTGCTCAGAAGGTATTTGGGAAATGGTAACCCCATTGCCAAAATGCAAAAAATGGATTGATTATTATTGTGTTGGGAATGTGTACTTTGACCAGTTATGATTCAATACCAGCTTGGAATAGAGTGGGAAGTGTCAAATGTAATTGTGGGAAATTGTAACCCCATGCAAATGAAAAACAGACCTCGATTGGTGGTTGGTTTGGGAAAGCTACATTTCGATTATGTATAAATCCACCATCAAATATATTGGGGACACCTTGAAGCCATTCTATGGGGAGCCTTCCCTTTTAGATATGGGTTGAGAATATATCCCAACAATTGTTGAAATTGTCATAAACTGTCTCAATCTGCTGGGTTCCTCCGATATGTTTACAAGGTGATTGTAGAGGTGTAAAGGTCACATACCCTGCACAGGTTCCAGCTGGAAAACCCAAGGTATAATTCGGAAGGTCTTTGGCTGCAAGTTCCATGTTAATAGCTGTTGTTGGGCGATGCCATGGGTAAACGCTTAAGATCATTGGCATCAGTACTGTGGGATTCTGATACTGAACAACCGCAGAACTACTTTGGTGTCGAAAACAATCAACATGGGCAGCAACGGGAATTGCAGCTGGAGAATGACTCCCTGAAGTCCCAGGTGCATGATCTAACATGTGAAGTCGAAGATTTGAAAAAACGGCTTGCAACTATGTCGCAGCTCCAAAATGACATGGTCCCTCCTTTCACTTTGGAAACCATGAGTGGTACTGATGAGTGGGTTTGCAAGCTGAGAAAAGATGTAGTGTGCCTACCCCGACTTCATGTGGAAATATTACCAGAGCTTGCCGATAGTGGGCTTTGCAAGGGGTGCATTGAGTTTGACCTCCCGGACTCCAAAGCGAATGCCAGCCAAGTCACTCGACACGGTGAAAGAATCGTTTCCAAGTTGTCCAGCAAATACCCTGCAGTGTTCAAAGTTGGAATCACAACCAATCCAGTCAGAAGGTGGTTACACCCAACTTATGGATACAGTAGGGACCACAGAGAACGTTGGCAAGGAATGAAAATCTGGTCTGTGACAGCAAGTTCTTTTAGTGTAGCTCTCTTAGAGAGTTTTGTGATTTCAAAATTCAAAGGTACCCCTGGATGCAGGAATGAAAATCCTGGTGGGGAAAGTGCATGTCCAGGTGATGGCCCCCATTTTGCATATGTGGTGTATCGGATTTTGGTGCCACCACCACGGGTTCGCTCACGGGCCTAGTGTATAGAAATGGAAATCATTCAGTGTTTCTACTCTTACACAATAATGATATTTAAAATAATACAGTTATGGTATAGGTCAAAGGCGCATGTGTCTGTGAACCAAGAGTGGCTTGGGCTTGCTACCTGCCAGTGGTGAAAACCACCACCAATTAAAACATTGTTGCAGTAGCAGTGTGGTTAGCCACACAAATTAAAGCTGATCGGACCATACAAACATATGACAAAAAATGGTTTGCCGAAGTGGAACGAATAATGTTTGAGTTTTTCTCTCAAATTGATTTGGATGAATTCTCCAACCAGAACAATGGCTTATCATACTATTCAAACTTACAAGGGAAACCTTTGATTCCGATGACTTTGTTGATTGCTCCAGTATATACATCCGTTCTTTGTAGGCCAGAAATTTCAATTTGCTGGAAGTACAAATGAAAATCCAGAAGTCTAGTGTGGATTTGTGAAAACTGAAAGCTTTATTTGTATATAATATACATTATATATATAATCCTGTGGCTCAAAGGTGCTGTCACGTGCCTGTGTCGGCATTGTGGCGAAGAACTTCCATGTCCTTTGCTGACAGCCAGGTTTATAGTTCCGAGACTCTAGCGGCTGGGGAAGAAACCCTAGCTCTCCAGGCTGTGAAGCTTGAAAACATGGATGACCGGGACCCCATGCAGAAAGAACTGAAGGACAATCTCAATCAAACATACCCAAAATGTCATTTAAAGATCATCTATCATTTTGTTGCCCACTGATTGTCCATGGGTTTGTGTGGTTTTGAAAAGGAACTACGTGAGTCCCAAATATAAATTCCATGGAAACTTGATATGATGACCCTTCACTATTTCCAACTGTTGGGGGAAAGTGAGTAACTATGGGTATGTTATGCTTTAAGGATTCCTGAAGAGTTTCAAGAATTTCTCCCAATAAATCTACTGCAGTACTAACAACATGAGTTTGCATTGACATCTGTCTACAGTATATAATTATTAATGCTGTGACTTAGGGGCCCTATGATGTCAAACATTTCAAAGGAAAAACATGTTCTTATCAAATCCTAATTGTCCCCTGAGGATCTCCTCTCACGACGTGCTGCTATGACAGCAGAATCGCAGTCGACCCCGGGAAAGTTGGTGAAGAAATTACGTTTGGAGAAGGCCACCCCTGAGCCTGAAGATAAATGTGCTATGCCAAGGAATGGCAATCCAGCTACTGATGTAAGGCGCTCTCTCTTTGAGGAGGGGTTGAACCCAAAGAAAACATTGTGATGTTGAATTAATAACAACTAAAAAGCTGGCCATTGTTTTCAAACATATCAGTAGACCCTGGATCGATAAACCCTTATTTGCTAATTTTGGTGGGTAGCTTCCAAGAAAAATATGTTCTGATCTATCAAAATTATTTCCCAAGAATTGAGCAGCCCAGTTATTTAGACATGTGGGGATACTTCTGATATGTTTGCCTGAATGTTAAGTATCATGTCGGAAACCTTGGTTGTCCATTTTATCTTTATGTTATAATATTATATATTCATTGGGATATCTATATATATGGAAAAGAACCTACTTATAGTATCGGGGATGTGTGGAATATATGCATGCATGTATTTAAAGCCTTTGAAATCAAGGGTACAAGAAACATAATGATCCCCAACACTGAATGAATTTGTTGGTGACTAAGGTCTTGTTTTGTCACATACTCAAGCCTGTGGTTTTCCCAGGAGCCAATCCTCGAGGCAAGCCACTTTGGTGACACTGGCCAGTGCCCAGATGATCCTTGGGCCCGGCTTCAGGCTTTGGAAAGGGAGAATGCTATGTTGAAACAAGAGAGGGAAGCCCTGGAAATGGAACTTCGGAACCTCAAAATTGCTCAAGACTCTGGTGATACCCCCCATTTCCAAGAAGGACAGCAAGCACATGATATGGATGAACCGCTTTCGGAAGAAGCTGCCCGTAAACGGTTGGAACGAATCTGCAAAAAGAACACTCAAGGGCACCTGGGACTATATTGGCACATATTGCAATTGAAGCCTGTGGCATGTTTATCAGCAGCCATCCACCAAAAAAAAGTGTGTGGTACGGTATGTCACCTCAATACTTTTGGATTGGATTATGTGTTTCAAAACAATTTTACAAGGTACATATATGTCACCTGCGGCATGAACCAAAATGGTACTTAAAAATACCAATCTTGTTGAAACTGAGGCATCTTCAGGTCCCAGAATCTATCCACCTGGCTTGGAAGAAGGGTGGTGAATCCCGTGCTGCACTGCAGAAAAAATTGCAAGAGGCAAATTTTGACAAGGATCTTCATAGTGGGTGGGAATTGGTAGGCTTTGCAATTTGTTGCTCAACAGTAGGTTTATCCTTTCCCCAGACCCTTTTCAGAGACCAAGCAGCTGTTGGGTACATAGGGACCAATTGCAAAGAAACAGCTGGTAGGTCATTGCCAATACCTCAGCGCAGGAAGAGTTTGTGAAGCTGGTGACCCTTGAGGAAACCAAGCAGGAGCAGGTTGAGATGAAGTGCTGGGCTGGGTGGGCAAGCGAGGAGAAGATGCGTGACACCCTCAAAATCAAAGAGTGGGAATCTCAAAGAGCTCAAGGTTGAAATGCAGGTTCAATGCAAGCATCTTTAAAGTTCATAATTTATGAGAAAACCATATTAAGTGTTCAATGTTATCCAGAAACATGTGATGTACTATAGAATGATGCCGAGTGGTAGTCCTGCTTCAATCATTGCTTCCAAATGTTCTATGAACATGTTCTCACATTGTCCCTATATTTATATTATATACTTATTTCGAAGGTTACCTGCCTACTTTGATAAGATAACACATTTGCCTGAGGTCGAGGATCAAGGCTATCAAAGAGTACTGTGCCCAGCGCAAGGGATATGTGAAGAACCTGGGATGCAATTATGTTGTGGTTTTTTACTTTGTTGCAATACACTAAGTTGTCTTGCAAAAAAAACATATGAGCCTAGGAATGACAAGTATGAGGGAAAACCCATCTATTGGGTGGAAGAAGAGATCGAAGCTGAATGGTCGAAGACAACCGCACGCAAGCGCACTGAGACCGGTGAGTACCAAGTTACTGGTTCTTTGGGTGACGCATTGGCTGATGCTGATATACCCATGACAGTGGACATGGATGAAGTTGGTCAAGGTAAGGGTTTTGAAATTACAAAGAACTTCAATTTGATCATCTTACTTAACAACATTACACCCCCGCAATAGCCACATCGAAAGTAATAAGTGATACGATGTCAAAACACTCTCTACACTGGGGGAACCAAAAGTCCCAGAAGAGTATTTAGTGACATTGGTGGGATGCTTCCTTCTCTTCTAGCAAACCTTTGGGGCCCATTTATTGCCCATTTATCAACACTTCAGAATGCCAAGAATTATCAGCAGAATGTTTTTGTAGTCCCCTATGATGGCCCAATTGTTTTTGAGGGCATTCTCCAAATCTGGGAACTCTTATGGCCCAGTAACTTCCGCTCCGCTGCATCTGCACATTTGCAGGACTGAAGGCATCGGACACCGCAGGCTCCGTTCCTGGGAAGCCAGGCAACCAGGGTGCTGTGGCATTTCCACCGGTCTTGAAAGATGAACAACCGAGTAGTGTGATTCTTCGCTACATGGAAGGGATCACCAAAAAAATCCAGAAGATTGCGGACCTTCAGCTGGAACATGAAATCAAAATATGGATGTTCCTGTTTATTTTTGCTTTACACTATAAAGCATATATACAATCTACTTATTATTTTGATGTAATTTGGTTACTGTTCCTTGTGCCAGCCACTTAGGATCTGAAGAACAAGTACGAAGCCATCCCCCAAGCAGATCGGACGATAGTCCACACCGGGTTTCCAAGATGAATTCAAGTTTTGAAACCAAAATTTGTTCTGAAAAGATTTTCATGATGAAATTCTAGTTTATATCAATGTTTGGAACCCCCAGTCCCATCAATTGGTTTTAGCTTGTACATTGTCATGGGCAATGGGCATAGCCGCTCCTAGGTTCATTGGGAAGCTGGAGATCAAGACCAAAGAGATGGAGAATTTGATGGCTTCTCTCACAGATGTCTACTCCAGTGGCGCAGTCGAGGGCTACAGTGATGCGATTCTTTTCTTGAAAAGGTACCATTGTTCATATACCAGTGGAAAATAGCATATTTATGGTTATCTATCCAATTTAGTCCCATATAATTGACTATATATAGACACATTATCATCTATCCCTGTCATACCCATCATATATACAATATATAACGAGAACAGTTGTAAGGATAAATTGAATGCATTGCAGGCAATTCTATACAAAGGTTTGTTATTTCCCTCACAACCTGTAGTGGGGGAATGACGTACCCGAGGAATGAGGCCACCCTGCGTGACTACTACAAGCAAGCGACCAAACTGTCAGATCCCAAGTATGACATATGAAACCAATTGTTTTTTTTGAAACCTAATTGGTGATGCATGGGTTTGTCTGAAAATGGGCTACATCAATCCCCAAAGGAATTATGTATATAATTAGGATGGCCCCCCATGATGACCATGGCATAAAAAACAATGGCCAATTTCAGGCAAACCCACCTATATTGAATATACCCATCTCATTTCCTACTGGTTGAGCCAAGGTCGCAGGAAGCCTTGACCCTGGAAACCAGATCCAAGAGTATCCCTTTGCCAAAAGCCAAAGCGGCTGCTGGGAAGGCAAAGCCCAAAGTGGCTGCAAAGGCCAAAGCGGTTCCTGAGCCGGATGGAGCTGCAAAGCGGCCAACTGGTGGGCGAAAAGCCAAATAGGCTATGACCTATAGATTTTATATGGGTTGCTGCAACGGTGGCAGGGTGTGAGATGGTATAAACAACTAAAAGGATAGTAAGTTTATAAGAGTTTATAATCTAGTTGTGGAAATTGTTATTTTTTATAACTCAACCAAATGATGTTGATTGAATTCAATTTCAACTGGATGTATAATATTTTTTTAGCTGTTTGGGCACCCAGCTAGCTGAAAAACAGCAAATTTTGGGGAAAACAATGAGTCCAGCGATGCCTGTTTTGGGCTGGCAAAGACCAAGATTGCCAGCCCATGCCCGTTCACAATCGGGATTGCGATTTGGATGTCAAAACTTGAAACACCACTGGGGAAAAAAATCGAGTGCCTGACCACTCTTGGAAAATATGTTCATGTTTGTTTGTTACATTGTTTGTTGATTCATTGTATTGTTCTTCAGCAATATTGATACTCATCCATCATTTATAATATATATATACAGCATATATGAAACCTGTAGGGTTCTCTACCTGTCCATGCCAGGAGATGAGCAGTCTGCTGTCTTGAAGAACCTAGCGCTTTCCCTGGCTGATGGTGTCATTGGCTTACCCCTAGTCATATGAAACTTTTCACAATTCAAGAGTTCAATCAAGCAAGAAATAACAGAGATTGGATTTTCAAATGATAGCTTCTCCACAATGGCATGCAGTCGTCCATTGGAAATCCCCTGAATGAATGCAGCCAAGGTGACTGCAGCTCGTTGCAAAAAGTTTGCTGCCAGCTGCCTCCATGAGACTGAACCGCACCTGAGCCCGGAAGCAGCGGCTTCTCTGCGGAAAGCTGCCAACACAGGTTCCATCAACAATGCAGAACGAGATCTTCATAGACTGTTTCGCGAAAAGGGTCTTACGTTACCCATCTGTCCCAAGTCAGCTCCGGGATTGGAGAATGTGCAGTACTTGAGCCTACCCACATGGTTTCAGTTCTTGCTGAATCGGTATCCCTCTTTGCTGCTTGGGGGGTTTGCCCGGAAGGATTGGAATGCTGCCCTGTTACTCAACACGTTCTGGTCAAACTTCCAACGTTGCTTCCCCCAGCATGAGTTCTTCACCATTCATGATGAAAACAAATGGTGCCGATGCCTACCTTTTTTCCTGCACATTGACGAAGGTGTGGGGTTGAAGAAAGGTGCTGTCTTAGTGTTGAGTTGGCAAGGTGTGTTTGGAAGGGAGACATCTGAACGCTTTGCTACCTACCGTGACATCGAGGACGAGGAGACCAGAATAACCCAAGCCCAAATGCACAATGCAAGGGGCAGCACTTACCTGACAAGGTGGTTGTACACAGCCCTTCCAAAAAAAACATATGGAGGGAAAACAAACAAGACCTATGAAAAAGTTCTGGATCTATTGGCAAAAGAATGTCGTGACCTCATGCTCAATGGGGTGACCATACAGAATGAGACCTGGTACCCATGCTGCCTAGGGATGAAAGGTGATCAACCAGCAGTGATCAAGTCAGGAAAATTCCGGAGAAGCTTCATGAATCTAGGATTCAACAAAGGCTGTTGCTGGGAGTGCTGTGCAGGCATTTCTGACCTGCCCTTTGAGGAAGTTTCACTGTTTCCGAAATGGGAGAAAACCATAGGACTTTGTGATCCCTGGACAGTTGATGACCCGTCACCGTTGCTTCAAATCCCTGGCTATGGCATCAATGCTCATCAGTTTTGGAAGCGAGACCCGTTCCATGCTTTCAAGCAGTCCATTGGGGGACATTTCACGGCCAGTTTGATAGTGATCTTCGCTGTTGACTTTGGTTTGTGGAAGGTTCCAGGTTTGAGTGGAGCTGCTGATGAATTACTAGACCGAGCATTCCAAGACTTCCGGTACTGGATTTGCTTTGAGTGGCATGGAAGAACTACCAATCACGTCATTGGTTTCACCAGGGCTTTGCTTCACTTTTCTGACATGAAACAGTTTCCATATTGCCGTTTCAAGGGAAGTGACATGATGTTGATTGTCAGGTGGCTCCGTTTTGTCATCCAAAATGGTGTCTACTTACCGGGAAGTGTGCTCCGCACTGAAAAAAAAATCCTGGATGATACCTCGGATGAATGGCAAAAAAAACTTTTTGAAGCTGCTCTGAAAGGGTGTGAAGGGAGTTTGCTTTTTTTCCACACCTTGCACAACGAGGGCATTTGGCACTTTCAGCCCACTGCCAAAAACATGGCAATGGAATGTTTCAAGTTTTGTTTAGCCTACCAATCCTTAGCCACTCTGTGTCATGAAAAGCATATGGCCCGTTTTCACTTAGAGCCGTCACTCCACACCATGATGCATTTCTATGTGGAGCTGGCTCGGGCTGGCCCGGTCAGTCTGAGCCCTGCAATTTCGACTACTGAAATGGATGAAGATTTTGTTGGGAAGATTTGTCGAACTTGTAGGAACACCCATGCTTTGTCAACGACCCGTCGATGCATCGACAGGTACTTGCTTCGTTGCCACCATGAACTGGAAGGTTTGTGATTAGACCCCTGTTAGATGTTGGGACATGTTGGCACCACTATATACAATCACTAGAATATCACTAGAAAGTGAAGACCAAGGATTTCACAAGTAGATATATGATGATTTGTAGTTCACATCCAGGCAACTCAATTCACCAAAGTTGATTCGCAACTTGATGGTGCAATGCAATGCACAATCAGCTGAGATCTGCACGTCATCAACTGGAACCAGTTGGCATGGAAAAAGTTGAGCCGAATCAACTCTTGGGATGGCTTGCGAGCAAGGGATTCCCATTCAGTTCAACTTGTGTACCTTTTTTGCATCTTTGGTACCTTTTTTTCTGAAAAACGCGAAAAAAAGGTACATATTGAAAAACGCAAAAAAAAAAAGGCCGAAGGTTACTCAAGGTATATATATAATCTAGATTAATCATGATTAATCTAAAAACATCCTGACTTTTGCTGAGAAGGTCCTGAATTCAACAAAACAGAACGCCCCAGACGTTCCGTCTCCACAAGCCATGTTTCATGGGGGATCAACCCTGGCATCAGCTTGTGGCGAGCTTCCTAGGTAGGTGTCCAAGGTCTGAAAGCCTTCCATTTCAATGGCACTGACATCTCCTGGAGATACACCCAGAGCTATCGAAGCAGTGCTTGTCACTGGGGAACATTGGATCATCATCACGCTTGGTGGACGGTTGGATGGTCAATCTTTGGTAGTCCACAATTTTTTTCATCCTTTGCTGGCTATGGTGATGTTCCGCGAAAAACTATGAAGAACTAAAGGATTAAAGATGATTAAACTACCTATCCAAGGTTGGGGATGTCTGTCTGGTTGAAAACAACGTTGGCTAACGTTAGGATCGTCCAGGTGGGAACATGTGGCTTTCTCTAAACGGCGGTTTTTGCGACGGCGTATTGTAGGAACACATATTCTAAAGCCAAAACATCTTGGGAAATTTCAAGAATATCACGAATTCTATCAAATTCTGGGATCTTCAATTTTCGACTTGTCCAGCAGCACTTGTTCATGATGTTTTTTTTTTCCAGCGGTAGGTGGAATACCTTCTCCAATACAGAGACAAACAATCCCGCAAGCCGGTGCCCCTAGTGGTTTTTAACTAGACTAGCCAGGCTTTGTGATGGCTAAGGCTTACGGTGTAGATATATCTACACATATCTACACTTCGTGGGATGACTTATAAGCCAACCAACCTTTAACTGAAGAGGCAGCCATATTCTATAGGTTAGACAGTTTGCAGTAAACAGCTGATCTTTGTTTCAACTTATGCGTGGGTAGTCAATGGTCACAATCCATTGAAATTGCCAAATTTAAGCAACTCCCTCATAATCGGGCAACTATGTTTACGGACAATCCATCAACTTCGAGATCAAACAATGTCGAACCTGATTTTTTTTGTTGGGCAATTGATGGCAGTTTTGCCTGTTGAGATCTCTTTAGACAGCGCATATGGGCGCGCAAAAAGGGTCAAACAGTAATCTTGAGCGATGCCCAGACATATAATATAATTCTTCGTAACGATACCCTCTAGTAATGTAACATAGCTAGGGAACATGGCCCGATTTTAGATGATTGACTATCAAATAATGCTGGTTTTCCATAGCAAACTGTTCGACTGTCAAATGGTATGTACAAATATCATATATTGCTGGTTGATGTTGGTTGTGCATCCCATGTAGATATCCTGTTATACCCCATGATATCCCTTTTATATTTTCATGTTATGTTGGATTACCACAGTTATGGCCCTATGCCTATACCAGTTATAAGTCAGTGATAACCCCATTTATGGAATGATAACACCATTTATACCCACAACAAATACAGTAACTGGTATTTAACGGGCTTTAGCTGCAGAGGGTATCAACCCAAGCGGGTTTTATTTGTCCTTACCCGTCCTGGGTTGTGCCACATCTTATGCATTGTGAAGGCCAACTCCACCCACTCGTAGAGGATGGAGCAAAGCATCTGAAAGATGGAGATTTTGGGTAGCTGTGTACACACCAATACACATGCAACATCATGCAACCATGTATTCCTATATCTATCAAACTAGCATGTACTGAATCGACCATCGCGGGGTGGAAACCATCTCAGGAGTTTCAATAGTTTCAATTAAATACTTGAGTAGGGGAACATAACAACTCCAAGAGATCCCACACATATTTCAATAGTACAAACATGAAATAATATCTGCCACATTCGTGAACGTTCATGGCCCTTGTGCTAGCTGTTGGCATTTTCCCCATCATCGGTGTTCAATTAGGTCTGTCAGAAAATGTAAGGGGAGCCAACAAACAAAAGTAGGAACTCATTACAAAGGACATGTATAATAGGGACAGGCAGGGCCCTGATAGGTAAGTTGGTTTAGAAGTCGAGTGGTGGATGCATGCTGGATTCTGGATATCTCACATATATAATAATATCTAAATACATACGTGTATATATATATGTAAATAGATTTAGATATAAATGTATATATATAAATATGCATACATATATAAATATAAATGTATATATATATATGTATATAAAAAAAATAATATGTATATATACATATATATATATATATACGTAAATATAAATGTATATATATATAAATATATATATAAACATATATACATGCATATGCGTATATATATATATATATATGTGTGTGTATATATATACTGAAATGTTCCAGTTTTGACCCACTAGCATGGACACCTGGAAGATTTTGGGGGTTGGCTTTGACCCGCACGTGGGAACCATTTCAAAGGTCAGCAACCTAAAATCAACCAAAAAGGTTTTGCAATTGATCTGGGGTCTCTGGAAATGGATTCTTGGGTCTTTCCAAATATTTTATAGACGGTGGAATTGAATTGTATTAGAGGTACCTTATTATTTCCCCTATGAGGTAGCCAATTGGTTGATTAAATGGGTATCATCTTACCATTGGTTATTTAATGTATCTGTTTGTCTTTTACCATGCTCATGGATAATCATATGTGCATTATTATTTTCACTCTTAGGCAACCAATTGGTTGGTTAAATTGGTATCATCCCATTATCGGTTACGATTATTTTTTCTATCATATTTTTTGGATTAACTGGGGTCCACTACCATTTCCTTGAAGGGTACCCGACCAATTGCTGGATTAAAATGGAATAGGTATCAACCACGCTCTTGTTTCTTCTAGGGTGGTGCCCCCATATAACTTTGGTATAAAGCCACCAATATTATCCCTGATGATCACTCTGTTTTTTTCAAGTACTAAATTTCCCCCATTATTTCTACGTCTACATCATATATCCTTTAAATGCAATGTTCAATTATGACTTTGCCGAACTCAGGGTGCAGAAATCTGCACCTTGACTTAGGCCAAAAAAAATATGACGATATCCTAGATATCCTAGATGCTTGGTGGGGTGTTGCCTAAGTTAAGGTGCAGGTTTCTGCACCTAGACTTGGGCAATACAGAAGTTGTACCCTGGGATTTAGGAAAAAACATGCCGATGTCAAGGTGCAGAAATTTCCATGTGGACGTAGGAAACAGCCTCACTATTATATTCTACCATGATTTTTCCCGCAATGGATTCGGGGTCCTTCATTTTGAGATTTAGGGAAAAACAACATGTTTTTGCCGATCTTTTGGCTCGGGGGACCCCAAATCCATCGCCACCGCAAATCCGTCGCATAACAATATTTTACTGTATCTTAATTTTATATTTTATCGAAGTACTCAACCAAAAAACAACCTATCTGAACTACGATCGAATGGTGATCGTTTGTCCTGACTGGTACTTCCAGGAGTAGAAGGGTAAATGGATGGAGAGGCTAATTATCAATCCCCATCTTGGCAGGACTACCGAATGACGGATAAGAATTAATAATATTGAAACATCCAAGGGACACCAACCCAATACGATTTTTCCTTTGGGATAAATTTCACTAGTATGTACCAAGGCCACTTTCTTTGATAGATAAGATAGATAAAGAAATAAATAAGGGAAAACATATATCACACAATCAGAGGTAGAACTAAATCACCAAGGACCCCAGAATCAAATTCCAAAGACCCTCTATCGGCTGCAAAACCTTCAAAACTACCCCGAAAGTCAGGTGATGCTGGGAATTGCTGGTACGAACACTAGACCTTTCGCACCCCTTTTATCATGCAGTCACCCCACCGCAAGGCACAACGCGATTTGGGAAATAACCATCTATTAACCGGCTATTTTAGGGTATATAGGGTACCAGGGTTTTGACCCATAGCCATGTGGCTAGCAGGTTACAGTATTTCCATATCCTTTCTGGGATGCAACACCCGAACCAGCGAAAGCCAATCGGCTCATTGCTATATAGATGTTCTTTGGGTCGTGGAAGGCTGTGAAACGGTTCTTTGGGCCGTGAAACGTTTGGGCCATATGTTCGGCTTTTATATCAAACAAAACCTGGGGCGGAGCCTTTCTAAGCCCACGATTAACGACAGCCGGAGGCGCACTGATGCGCTCGAAGTATTGCCGGGACCATTTTCCATCCTCTGCCATCTGGTCGGCGATAATCTTCGCCTTCTTCACCTCCAAACTGGGCGATCTAACTGGGCTTCATTCCCGTAATATGAAGATTTTGACAGGATTATCCTGACATTTTTTCTGGCACATCTTCTCACATATCTTATCATTTCAGCTTCTAGCAATCATTCTGACATCAACTCTGACCGCAGCTCTGACACTGACATATCGGATCTGGCAAATTTCATCTTATCATATGACATATATGCCGACAGTTGATCTGACAAATTGTATGTGACCTACTTTGGTATCCTGACATACATTTTACATATAGTATTGTTATATGATAGTTATATTGTTATATGCAATTGTATGTGCATATTCTATCATATTCTGACATTTACCCCATCCAACATCATCCCAAAAACGGGTTCACTTGGCGACCGAGGTCCGGTGGGCCACACTTGCGGCGAGGAGGAGATGACAGAAAATTTAGAAACCCTCAGCTGGTAACAAAACTGGACTTACATCACCCATAGGATCCATGTATGGTATATATGCTAACATTTGGGGTATATTGATGGTAAATGTTACCATATATAGCATACATGGATCCTATGGGTCATTGAATCTTCTTTTCAAGATTTCTCAACTACTGTATGACTTGGGGAACACGAAAGGTAGGCCAAGATGGAGAGTGAAGAGCTTACCAAACGATGAATGGATGACGATGGAGCGGGATGCTTTGGCTGTGACATGCTGTGAACACATTGGAAGCCCCACGTAGGGAATTCACGTGATTGAGAGATCTCATACGCCAACCAGGCAGAAATGATTGGGTCAACATGGGACTTCATATTCGTAAAATGGCAAATCACCCGCACCACAACTAAGGAAACAAATCCCGGGGATTGATTTGATTAGTTCACCACAGCCACAAGAAAGTATGCGAACATTTTGGAACGAGTTCGTTCGTCATTTCTTTCCGGGTGTTTTTGCCGCTTACTTTTTTGGTGAAACAGACCTTAAAGAATCAAGATCCTGAATTGCATTTTGTTGACACATTTTTCCATATCTTGGGCCTGGAATCTGATTTCCATGCATATTCAATCCTCAAGTTGCATTTTCTTGATTCAATTTGTTTCAAACATGACTTCCGGCAAACTCGCAAAGCGGGAAGCCTCACAACAAGCGGGAACCTCAATAGGCAGAAAAACTTAACATTTTCAATTTTTGGAGCTTCCTAAAACTATATAAATAGCAAAACACAAATCAGTTGTAGTTCAAGTCGAAAAACTATATGTTTCAAAGTGGACACGTTTAGGGCTGATTATAAATCACGTAATTCCGGTTCTTCAATGGCAGCTCACATGCATTTTCAATCCGAGTTAAATCAAATTCAAGTAAGTGAGGCCCAAGTAAATTGAATCAAACTTCCAATTCAAGTTCAATGAAAACTTGCGTTAGACTGAATTAAAATCATACATAAACAAACCAAGCCGAAGGCAACTTTGAAAAAAAAACAATCTCCTTTCCCAGACATTGAATACTGTTCTCAACACCACGAACGCTCTACCTGACTCCATGCTCGGGGCCACAAGTCCCCAGGACTCAAACTTTAAAGACGTGGATCAAACGTGGATCAGTGGATCAAAGAAAATCTCTGGATTCGGCCGAGAAATCCCTAGCTTCAATCGCCTTTTTCTATGGGTTACAGTAATTTCCCACAGTTGTTGCCCAATCCCCCAATGTCCGTTGAAACTAATTCTGTGCCCAATCCCCCAATGTCCGTTGAAACTAATTCTGGCATATACTTGCTAAGTAGGTTATATCTTGAAGATTGTTTTTTTTTAATGATGATCCTACCACTTTCTTTTTGGGGTGCTTGGTGGTTTATCCCACTTAATTAATAGGTTATAACTTAGCTATGAATGGGCTGAGTAGGGGCAGTGTCCACTTAATACCAGGGTGAACTAACCCACTTCCCAACTGGGATGAACCAACCAGTATGGGAACTCCCCATTTCCATTGGTCGTAGGTATAAACATCTATAAACGGGCCATTTATTTTGTCCATCTATATGCATAGATATATATATATATATATAATAGTGATGTTGAATTACCGGCGAGTAGCAAACCGTGACAAATCACCAGTTTGTTGCTGAACTCCCGTTTTTTGGGGGCGAAAGATCAACCGCACGCACCTCCCGGGATTGAATGTCTTGAACCTGCGGACGTTTTTAGCTATGTGGCCCAGGTTCAAAAAGGGGTGTAACTTCATTGAACAAAAATGGAATTTTACCGATGTTTCAATGTTTCAACGATGTTGGTCCGTAGTATCAACCATCCAACCTTAGGCGTATCTAGTTCTGAACCATACCCAGTTCAGCAGCGTGTCAGCGAAAAAAACATGTGATATAACCTCCGAACTGGAAACCATGGCCCATTTATAAACATGTTTGTCTGATCAAATAGTAATCTTCCGCAGAACCATCAAACTAGTTTCCCATTATTCATTGATAAAGTCATCATGTTCACTGGTGAAATCCACATTGTTTTTTTGGTTGACTGAATCCAGCATAAACCTCGTGAGTTGCTGCATCATATCCCATTGTATATACATATGTATATTATATCCCTTGTATATACAGTATATCATGGAACGAGTAAATTTCCAATAATACTGCTGGTTAAATCACCGCAAGTGAGCTGTTGTTTGTAGTTGATCAAATCACCCCATGACTTCGCCACCGTGACCAAGTCACCGTGGTGTACCACTGCTGCAGAGCTTCCAAAAATGCTCTAGTATCGGCCATCATCTTTGTACCTCGGAGACAGCCACCATCACCATCACCATCACCATCACCACCACAATCATCATCATCATCACCACCATCATCATCATCATTTGCACCGAAATCATCATCTTCATCATCACCATCACCATCAGCCTCACCATCGTCATCATCATCATCAGCATCATCATCACCGTCATCATCATCAGTAACGAAAACCATCATCATCATCATCATCAAAATCATCGCCATTTCATCTCAAGAATCACAAATTGATTTGAGTCATCACCATTTCATCACATGTTCAAGACCATTCCATCACCACCATCATCACCATCACTCTCATCAAGACCATCACCATCAACATCATCATCATCATCAGCACCACAGTTACCACCATCATCATCATCATCATGATAACGAAAACAATCACAACCATCACCATCATTAAAATCACTACGAATTCTTTATCTTCACCAACACCATTTCACCTTATACCTTATTCATCACCATTCCATCACAATTTCATCACCATTTCACCACCACCATTCTCACCATCAACATAATAATAATCATCATCATGGTCACCATCTTCATCATCATCATCATCATCACCATCGTCATCACAAAAACCATCACCATCACCATCACCATCATCATCATCATCATCAAAAATCACCATCATCAGCAGCAGCAAAAGCAGCGCCATCACCACAATCAACACCAGCATCACCATCAGCATCACCACTAGCATCACCATCATGAACATCACTGTCCATCATCCCATCATCCACCATCCATCAACCATCACCCATCATCATCAACATCATCACCATCACCAACATCATCATCAACACTGCCATCACCATCATCAAAACCATCATCACCAACATCAGCATCATCGTCATCATCATCAACATCATCTTCAATAAAATCATCATCAAATCATCAGCATTACCATAATGATGATCATCATCATTTTCATCATTTTCATCACTTTTAAAATCATCATCATCAATATCATCATGCTCATCAAAATCATCATCACCACCATCACCATCATCAACATCAATATTAACACTACCATCACCATCATCAAAACCATCATCACCAGCATCAGCATCATCACCACTATCAAACTCATCATCACCATCATTATCACCATCGTCATGATCATCATCAAAACCATCATCATCATCATAACCCTCATCATCTTAAAAACTTGTCATCAACATCATCATCATCAACACCATTATCACCGTCATCATCAACATCATCATCCAAGTCATGCTCATCCTCAACATCATCGATATCATCGTCATCATGATCATCATCATCATCATCGTCATCATCGTCACCAACATCATCACCCACATCACCAACATCATCATCATCACCATCATCAAAAATCATCATCATTATCATCATCACCATTCACATCATCATGACCAAAATCATGGAAACATCATCATTTTCAAAATCAACATCAACATCAAAATCACCATCAACATTATCATCATCAAATCATCATCTTCAAAAAAACATCATCATCAGCATCATCATCATCATCATCAAAAAATCATCAAAACCATCACCAACATCACCAACATCACCAACATCATCATCATTGTCATCATCTTCATCCGCAAAATCATCAAAATACTCGAGAACAGCATCATCACAACAATCAAAATCAACATCATCGTCATCATCATCATCACCATCATTGTCACCATCGTCAAATTCATCATTATCATCAGCTTCGTCATCAAAATCATCATCATGATCATCAGCAAAATCATCATCATGATCAAAACCATCACCATCACCATCACCATCATCATCATCAAAATCATCATCACCACCATCATCATCACCATCACCATCATTACCGTCATCATCAAAATCATCATCATCATCACCATCATCATCATCACCATCATCATCATCACCACCACCATCACCATCACCATCACCATCAACATCATCAAAATCACCATCATCAAAATCATTTATCATTTCCATCACCACCATCAGAATCAACATTAAAATTAACATCATCACCATCATCACCATCACCATCACCATCATCGCCATCACCATCACCATCATCATCATCAACATCATCATCATTATCATCATCTTCATCAGCAAAATCACCACCACAACCATCACCAACATCACAATCATCATCATCATCATCACCATCACAATCATCACCATCACCGCCATCACCATCACCATCACCATCATCTTCATAATCATCAATTGTCATCTTCATCATCAAAATCCAACATCAACATCTTCATCATCATCATCATCAACAACATCATTTTCATCGTTATCATCATCTTCATCAGCAAAATCATCACCACAAACCATCACCAACATGACAATCATAATCATCATCATCATCACCATCACCATCACAATCATCATCACCATCTCCATCATCACCACCATCACCATGACCATCATCATCACCATTATCATCACCATCACCATCATCACCATCATCACCATCATCACCATCATCATCACCACCATCACCATCACCATCGTCACCACCACCACCACCATCATCATCACCATCACCATCATCATCACCATCATCACCATCACCATCACCATCATCACCATCACCATCACCACCATCATCATCATCATCATCACCATCATCATCATCAAAATCATCATCATCATCACCATCATCATCACCATCATCATCATCACCACCACCATCACCATCTCCATCACCATCAACATCATCAAAATCATCATCATCAAAATCATTTATCATTTCCATCACCACCATCATGATCAACTTTAAAATTAACATCATCACCATCATCATCACCATCATCACCATTACCATCACCATCACCAACATCACCATCACCATCACCATCATCACCATCACCATCATCACCATCACAATCACCATCATCACCATCACCATCATCATCACCATCATCATCATCACCCATCATTACGCATCATCACCCATCAACCATCATCACCATTATCATCATCAGCATCATCACCATCATCATCATGATCATGATTGTCATGATCATCATCATCAAAGTCGTCATCATCATCATCATCATCATCATCACCATCATCATCATCAACATCATCAACCATCACCAACATCATCATCAAAATCATCATCATTATCGTCAACATCATCAGATTTGAGCAAATTTCCAAAACCATCAGATCCGAGGCCAACCGCAAAACTGCTGCCCAAGGTACTGCTTCGCCAGTCGTCCCCCTTGTATCGGAGCAAATACCTCACCTGGACTGTCCAGAAATCTATGATTACAATATCCCTATCAGGACAGCCTATGGTAAATGATGATTGGTAATGAAATATATACTATAAATCAGTTTTGGGTCTGCCTATCAGTCATAATACTATGTCATATATCCACTATCTAGTTTGTTTGGTTTTAGAATGACAGGGAACAATATAAATGTCTGGAAATCATGATCATCATACCTCTGGGAAATACCATATAAAACCATGTTCACTGAGAAAAAATATTATATTTCCCAAACCAGAATTGAAGTCTGAAATGGCAATCGTTTCCTCTAGATTCTCCATCATCTATGGTGAGGTCGACGGGGTTGCTATAATTTACTGTTTTCGGGATGGACTCTCCATGTTTTTTTTCAACGGAAACGATGAAGAAGAATGCCATGGGATGCGAAGGAAATTTTGGGTCCAACATGGGACACCAATGGATCCACAGAAGTGTTACTACTTCAAAGCCATATGTAACATAGAACCACAGATTCACATCGGCATATTTGAATAGTTCAAATAAACAAATACAAATATGAAGTCTGAAAAGGACATTATATACATATAATGAGGATATCCACGAATGAAAGGATTGTGGGTGTGTTTAAAAATGTGGATAACCTACCATTGTAAATTTCAGTGTGGAAAATGATGCTACAGCAATGGCAAAAATGGGGTATGTGATTTTTCCATATTTTTCCCACAATCTGAGGGGGCATTCCATCTACACCATGCAACAAACGGGGGTTTTCTCACCGAGGTATCCCAAACCCTTCATGATTAATCATCCCTTTCCCCACTCAGATGGCCGTTGTATACCCCATCATACAGACCCAATGCGAAAGTTCTGTTAGTATTAGTAGCATACACGAGACCCTCTGGTAATCTGTTACAGTTTGCTATTGAAAATGGCCCAGACGAAATAGTAAGTCTTCCCATTAAAAATGGATAAAAATGGTGATTGTTCATCGTTTTTGGTATGTTTACCAGGCCGGGTAGTTTATTTGTACTATACTCTACCCTCTGGTAAACTAACATAACTATGGAAAATCACCATTTTCAATGGGAAAATCCACTATAAATGGTCATTTTCAATAGCTACGTTAAATTACCAGAGGGTAGGTGGCCCTCAGCTAACTCTCGCCCTGAACTGCGGACTGAAGACCCGTGTTCGACTCAATGGACCCCCCCATAACCTCTGGGCTTTTTTTTGACAAAACAACGAGAAAACCTAGAAAAATTATACATTTTGGGAGACCCCATGTCCAGACAATCCAAGTGGTCCCAGGAACAATTGCCATCATCTGCATCACCATTTCCGGCCTTGGCAATTGAAGGGATTTGATATACAAGGTTAGGCCCTCTAGATAGCAAAGTTGGTTTACATCTACAATAACCACAAAAACCATGGTTTCTGCTAGATATCTGCAAATCTAGTGTTCATATGTGTTCATGGCTTTACACACCAACTTATCACTGGGCCTCACCAAACGTATGATATATCAGATATCAACTGACATGACGACCCTGCCTCCAAAATGGTTGATTAGTTGGGGTCGATTTTAATTTGGGGAATGCCCCTGGAATAACCAATCAACACCAACCGACAGTGGTACCCTCGTACCCTCTTGGAGGGGTGTTAAAAATATTGTACCAGTGCCTAAGTTAGGATCTATGGCTGAAAATCAATGACCCATAGGATGGCTTGGTACAAGAAATAATCCCTTGCTACAAATAAACACAGTCAAAGAAGCCCTGATTGAGTGGTGGATCTATGATCAGCTGGTCTGAGGCCCCAGTAAAGACATTGCAAGAATGACCTCGGCGATCAAATTTGACAGGAATTGGACTATTTATGGGAAAATCATACACTACAGTTTCCTAAACTAAACCAAGTTCGGCCATTTGGGGACGAGTTCCCCAATCTTAACCATCATCCATTCTGAAGACCAACGGGTCGCGAAAAAAATACCCTTTTCCTAGCGAGGAAAAGTCCAGCAGCCAACGCTAAAATCAGTGAACTCATGGCCTTTGCCACGATCCTAAATAATTATATAATAAATCGATATTAACATCGTCATTTCTAGGTGTTCATCCCCCGTGACAAATATCACAAATTATGGTTAAAGGAAAATCCCTGTAGATTTGTCGAAATCCCTATGGTGAATCCTTATGGTCATTATATTGATAGCTATGGATGGCTTTTCCCATCTCCCTCCCACCTTTGCTGAGAAACGGTCTTGCCATGGCCTTGATTTCAGCCACATCGCGAGGCCTCAAAGACCTGATAAAAAGAAATGCCAAATGAGAAGGTTCCAAGTAAGTAGCCCACTTCATGGACTAAACATTGGGATTTATCATGATTTAACCAGCAAAACTGAAGTCTGTAGTTGATTGATGATAGCTAAGTTAATGTTGTAAATTTGGACACTTTTGTGGCTTACTATGGTACTTTTATGATATATGTTATGATATGAAACATGATCAAAGTATATGCTAAATCCAAATCCAACAAACCAAAAAGTGGAGGCCCCACATCGTAGTGCTTCTATTGCTTGATTTTGGCAGGACTCGTCGCTTCCTAGATGGGCAATACTCCCTAGTTGGATGCTCTGGATCGCTCTGGCTATGCAAAAAAATCATAATTGCCATGTAATTGCACCCATTTTGTAAGAGCGATTTACATAATATGCATGTAATGGATAATATATAGATTTACTACAATTCATCCATTTTGGTTTGGTATCTTCTTTTCACCCGATTTCTAGCATATGCACCTTTATATACAGTAAGAATATCTACCTGGAACGCGTGCGCGGTGCATAGTTTCAGTATACTTTGAGCTAGTGACTGTTTTCTTGTCACTGTAATACTTTTGCGCCAAAAGGCAGCAACTTTGCGATTTGGTTCCGTAAACGTAGCATCAATACATCTCAAAGTGGCGTAAATACTCGTAAAGTAACGTAAATATTCCTACTCCCCAAATAATGAGTTTTCCAGTGCCAATGATATAGATACACAGTGGCGGAGTGACTGAAATTATGGTACGCTATGTTTTCCAGGCAAAACAACGGGGAAGAGTGATATAGTTCTCATATTTTGCTGAACAAACACACCATGACCACTGCAAAGTGGTGCGCCCTAGTTGTGTTTGTTGGTTTATGTTCACCCATCTAACTATAGTAGCTATCATCTAATAATCACCACAAAGCCAACAGTTACCCAAAGGTCATTTCAGAGAACTTGGCTATAAAACTAAATATCTGGTTTGTGGTTTCAACCATCTTGAAAAATATGAAAGTCAATAAGAAGGATTATCGAAAATAAAAAATGTTTGAAACCACCAACCTATACTCAAATGAGCAATGAATTTGGTTAACTAGTGAACGTCAGTGGACTTACACGCCATTACATGGCCTCATGATTGGGGGTGCAACCCAGTTGAGCCATGGAAATCACGCCCATCAAATCCTATAAAATACTGGTTGATAAATAGGTATCCCGTTGACTCTTGCTTACATAGTTCAGAATTCCTAACCAACCAGGCATCTAGGTAAACAAGCCTGTATAATATCAACCCTACCATCGCAGAAACCACGACTTATATATCAGGCGCATCTCCATATCTCTGGAATCTCTGGCACGGTTATTTTTTAAAACAGCAATAACCACTATACTCATGTATATAGTGACATAATTGATGGTTAAAACATTAAAAACCCATTAGAGTATATTAAAGTCAAATTACATCATATAAATTGCGCAGGCTTCTTGATGCTTAAGCTAGATCCTAAGATAACGTAGATTAGATGTGGACAATCAACCATTCCTATGTTTTTCCATTGTTTTTCGCAGCTATAGACCTCCATTTAAAACCCATATAGTTTCGCTACTTTAGTTCCTATGGTTTCTAGTTTCTAGGCCCTTTTGAGGTACCTCCAAGTGTCGTCCAAGCCGCGCAATGAGCTCCTCCTGCTTTCGACCCATGCCAGGTATAGCTCGCTGCATCATGGACACCGTGCCGTTCTTGATCCATAGCCTGGATTCCCCGGGGCAGCCGTTGTTGATGGCAACCGATGGTGGGAAAATGATGGGACATATGGGAGAGTATTGGAAAATGATGGGAACATGATGGGAAATCACTATCTCAGATGAAAAAGCTCCTGGAGCTGGTGACTGTTGGCGATATATCATATAACTGAAGCGAGTTATAGGTGTAGGAAACAAACAAGCAATGGATTGGGGGTGGTAACTACTTGGATGTGCATCCCACCAATCCTAAATGGATTAGATCCATAAGGGGAAGATATCCTGTCAGTCTTGACATCTGGGATGCACACCTTGGGGCCCCTATAGCAAGAAGCTGGAAGGCCCCACCTTTCAGTTGGCAAACTTATCTGGTTGGTGGTTTCAACCCCTCTGAAAAATATTAGTCAGTTGGGATGATTATTCTCAATATATGGAAAAATGTTCCAAACCACCAACCAGTTATGATTCAGTCTTTCTGGTTTCGGGGATCCTGGTAGATGTTGATATATGGAACTTCGCCCCAAAAAGAACTCAGGGAATGGATATGAATGGATAAATGATGATGCATTGGAATGACAAGTTTATAGTAACTACGTGAACTTGACCCTTTTAAATTAATTCCAAAAAACTTGGGAAATGGGTGGCTTGTCGGATCACTGTATCCGAAATCCTATATCCTTAAAAACCTAATATCATCATATTGTCCAATATTGTTAAACTATCATTTAGGGGCAGTTTCCACTCCAAAGCATCATTGATGGCTCTCTTGTTGCGAGGTCGTTGGAATTTGAGCGACAAAAGAAAGAACACCCTACTTGCGGTGATCTCTGACTTGAAGATCACTCTCCCCAGTTGAAATGGGCCCTAGAGTTGTTTGTTGGCAAGTTCCCCATTGTGGTGAAAGGGGTCGACCCTTTCAATGAATCGAACCAGTCTGATAGGTGGGTATATAATATTGGGGGAAATGAATTAATGCCCAAATCGGAAAGGTTCGCGGTTCCAGAATTCAGTAAATGCCAAGCCGCTTCTGACAAAGATGTGGAACTCCCATGTCTCTTGCAACCAGATTCTGGATTGCCGACACTTTGTCCTCTCTATGTCATGGGAGAGTATGGCGTTGTATTTCGTTGTGTACATGTGTTGCTATGTATATATATATATACAAGTATATACGCAAATATATCTCCTTGGTGGTTTCAACCCCTCTGGAAAATATGAAAGTCAGTTGGGATGGTTATTCCCGATACGAGTATATGGAAAAATAAAACATGTTCCAGTCACCACCAATCAGATATAATAGTCATCTAGATTGATGAAAAAAACATCAACCATGTTTAGTTGATTATACTAGTGGATATCCATGGATAAATCATTACATTTGGGGAACACCTGTGATAATTTTTACTACTAAACCATCCAGTGTCGAGTTGCGGCAGTGGCCTGGAATTCTCTGAAAACATTGTAAGACAAGCACCAACAGATCCATGGGTTTTGTATCATGATGTTCCCATAATTTCCCATTAAAACAGGTAAGATGGAAAATCTATGTTTATACATGTTTATACATGTAATTATATATATACCCATATCATGTCAATTCATATTATATCTCAATTTCAAACCACCAACCACTTAACCAGACCTTCTGGGAAAAGGAATCAACCTGGAGGTATCACCTTCGAGGAAAAAATCAACATCTGGAATAAAACATTGGGGGAAAACCCCACCATCAAAACTTTGGAGCAGGGCCCGATCAAGATCTATCAATCAAGTATCCAATGATTGTATTCGTATTATATGGAGAAAATGTCAACCTACTGTCGTAGTTTAGACGCCCAAGGAAAGGAAAAACCCGGCAAGAGGTCTTGCGACCAGCTCAAGTCTCCAACGACTACATGGGCTTGCTTCCTATAGGATCCACCCAACGGATGGGATGATTCACCTGCATCAGTTGGAACATCACCCCCGTAACTATGGGATACGATGGGTATCCACTTACAACATCTTACAACTCGAATTGCAGCCCCACCTACTGGCTCTGACAAAATCTGCCACGGCCACGTCGCCGCAATGGCCCCATCCCACAGTTCCATCCCGGGTCTCCTGAGGGTCGGCTTCGATCACTTTCTCCTCTCCAGTCATCTTCTGAACCGTCACAGAAATTTTCGCCATGGCGATGACTCGGAGACCCCGGCCTCGGGCCTCTCCCAAGCGATTGTCGAGTGGGGATGATTTCACCAGGGATCCGTGCGTACGTACTTCCGGAGTACGAGTCGTCTCTGGTGCATTCGATTTCTTGATATTTCTTGATATAGCCACTATACCTCCTTTTTTTAGGAGTGATGCAATACATTGACTACCAAAATCCATCCCTCTTATCTATACCTCCATGATCCTCCATGTGATCCGAAAGGATCTGACGGACGTGGGCTGACCCCCTGACCCCTGTGGCCCGTTTTAGTTCATGGGCGCCCTGACATTGATCAGTTCAGAATTTCATAGGGTCCCTTGTGAGGAACGAACAGCTTGTTCCTCCTCCAAACGGAGGGATGACCAATTCCAGTCAGAAAGTGGGTCACCATTCCCTCTGCCGTATCCGTATCTATAGGATCCAAAATCCCAGGACCATGCCTAGTACCCAACGACTTGAAAGCAAATACCTTCTTTCAAATCGGGCATTTGCCTGGCTGACCCTACCTTGATCACCCAGGATTTATTTACCTAGCCTTCACCAAGATTTAACAAAATGAACTTAAGGCTTATATCTGATAGTCTGATAGTGCTTCTTCGTTTGCCATGACCCTAAATGCAAACCACACCGTTCCACACATGACATTGCTAAAACAAGTCGAGTCTTTGGTGGGATATGCGGGGCTCCCCAGAGATTCTTTACATTTCCTGAAAAGCAGGGTTGCTCCAAAAAATACCTTGTGTATATCATTTGCCTATAATGGGTTGAAGCAGTCCTGTAAAGCCATCTAAAACCATCATTCTTGGGGTCGGCTACTGTTTTGCTGTGAACATTTCGGGAAACAAACTATTTTTGGGGTTCACCAAATTTGGAATGCTTGGTTTTTGACCTGCACCTACCCACTCATTTCAGGGATACATTCGTCCATGACACTTCGGCAATCTCCACCTTTTCCCCTGCACTTGTGTTGCTGAAGTCAGGCTGGGTCCGCTTCAAATTCGTACATCTCTGCCGTTCACAAGAAATCAAAGTAATCAAAGATCAGAATCTCAATTATATAGCACCCATCATCATTATATAAACCGGAGAACAAGATCTGAAGAAGCTTCACTAACAACTTCTTTCTTTCGCATTTCTCTGATCTCCTGTCAGCTTAAAATATAAAGCTCATCGCTGGAAAGCACCTGAAGTCACGGTCTTTTTCTCGCTCTTTGGCGACGTCGGCCTCAGGGATTGAACCGGGAAAATGGATTTACAATCAACACAAGCAAGGCAAGGACATGAAGCAATGATTTGGCTAACCGGCTAACCCACCAACCCACATAGTTGTAGGATGTTGTACGTAAACAGTTTTCAGTCATTCGTCAACCCTGCGCACTTCATCAACGAGATGTTACAGGCCACTTGCAACTGATCTGTCCAACAAACTGAGCCAGACTTGGACTTCCGCAACATGGCATGGTTTACTACCAAAACCAACAAAGTTGTGGTCCCTGACCTTCAAACAAGGATCCGTATATGGATGTGTCTTAAAGAAGGATAAAAAGAGGTTCCCCAAAACCATAGCTTTCAATACCAAAACGGTCCAATTTTTCATGAATTGGGGGTACCCCAAAGGATTGTCATGGATTGCAAACCTTCGTTTTCATGTGGCAAACCGCCATTGATGGCATCTCCCCAACCATTTCCCGTTTCGAAGTTCAGCCCGAGACTCCTGCGGCGCGGCCTACGCCTCTCCAGTCCTGGATCCAGGTGTCCCATCCCATGACGATGAACAAATTTCATGACAATTCATTTGGGGATCCCAATTTATGACGATAAACCATGAAATTTCATCACATAAATTGGGATCCCCAATTTCTCAGAGCACTCGTCTGTTCGAAGAGTCATCTGGGTGTCTCTCAAGAGCGCGGAAATCAAAGACTCTGAAGAGCTTGGTGGCTGGAATTCTTTGATAATTTCAGTACTTCATCAACAAAAACTGACTAGTCTTGACCTTCAAACATGGCGTGCTGGGCAATTCCTCGTCTATAGATGATGTTCCCAGCTATATATATATACTGTATATTATAAACAATTATAATATATATATATATATTACGAACTATTAAAAACTATTATATATATATATACATATTATAAATTATTATATATAGTATACAAACTATATATATATATATAAACCTCGATTCATGGTTTCCCAGCTAGCCATGTTTGATGTACTGACCTGTCCCTCGTCTTCCCGGTCTACATTAATCCCCCCACATGGACGCAGTGCTTAGCGCTCTTAGCAACCGTGGTCAAATCCGGAGACAGCAAACCTATACAATATAGAGGATCAATTGGTGTAAGATACTCTGGTTGGTGGTTTCAACCATCTGGAGGGTTACATGATGGTTAATGATGGTTAGTGAGTAAATCATCTATATATCTGGTTGGTGGTTTCAACCTACCCCTCTGAAAAATGATGGAGTTCGTCAATGGGGTTGGGATGATTATTCCCATATATGAAATGGACAATAAAAAAATGTTCCAAACCACCAACCAGTTGTAATAGTTAAACCAGTTATTGTAAATATCTTACAGCAAACCTAATACTTACAATATCTTACAAAAAATATTTTAAATGTTCAATACACAATCACTACGTTTGTAAAAATCATGTAAAGGCATTCCCCCGCACCACGACCAGTCGTATTCTCCCGAAGTTGAGACTAGGCCCCTGACACCTAATTGAGATACCCTCTGGTAAACTAACATAACTCACCATTTTTGATAGATAAATCAACTATAAATGGCCATTTTCAATAGCTATGTTAAATCTGGTACTCCAAAGAAAGTTCTGGATTCCAGGTGAATTCTCAGAGTTTGATGGGATATTGTCGCCAATTTTGGTCTTGTGTTCCCCTTACTCATCATCATTTGTAGGTTTTGGTTGGGGAGAACTTTATGTTTTGGGGGATTCCTAAAATGGGGGGGGGGTACCCCAAAATCATCCATTCTAATAGACGTGTCCATTATAAACAAACAATTTTTTTGGGGATCCCGCACCCCAGTTGTATACCCCAATACACCTGACTTCCCAACATATTTCCATATCTTTCCGCAACAAAAATCCACGGAAGTTCACGTGATGTTTAACCTGTGAGATGCAGGCAATTGCTGGATATTGTAGTCCCTTATTGACTCTCAACTATTTGAAGTTCTTTGACTCTGTCACCATTGGCAGCTAGCTTTTAGCATCTTTTAGCTAGATGATTAAATTATTGACAGTCATACATACATTAACTAGTATAGCTTGATTGGCCTGGACAGGGACTTCGAATTTTGCTTCGACACTTGGAGGATGATTATCCCAATCTGTACACGCAACGTCAGTTCGGAAGTTATAGATTCCCAATATGTTCCCATGATATTCCCATCTATAAATGGGCCATGGCTTCCATAGCTACGTAAACGTTTACCAGAGGGTATATTCCCATACCAATATCATATTACCATCATGGGAAAATATATTCCCAATATATTCCATATAAACCATATGATATAAACCATATAAACCATATAAACCATATAAAAACCATATAAAAAACGATATAAAAAACGATATAAAAACATATTAAAACCACATAGAAACCATATATATATATAAACATAAAAACCTTATAAAAACCACATAGAAACCATATAAACAACATATAAACACCTTATAAAAGCCATATATTCCAATAAATCCAAAGCACCAACCATTTGGGCTGTCCACTGATTCCAGTGACACGGTCATCCAAGGGGCTCCGACCAGCTCGTGGCTTGAACCTGACCAGTTTAGGGAAAGATAGGCTGGAAAGTATGCCAGTTATAATGCTTGGAACATAAGTTGTATATGCTTTATAGAGATAATGAATGATAATGATACATAAGTTGGAACATGTGGTTTCTGTTTGATTTCAAGTTAGTTTCATGATTTTTGGATGTGAAAATAGATCTGGCAAGCTCTGGACATGTTCTCATCATGACTGTAAAGTGGCAACATTGGATTTCAAGCAAAACAAAAGTCGCGGATTCTGCCCTGTGATGTGCAACACTGATCACTGCCGGGATATAATTTTACCGGGAAGTTCATCAACAACAATGATGCGATCGTCCAAACAGAAACCATCGAAAGATCATCAGCAGCAGTCGAAACCACTAAAGGCGACCTGGAGACCAGTTGAGTCAGACGATTTTGAACCAAAAAACATGTGGAAATTACCCTCTGGCTATGTCAAAATAGCTATTGAAAATGGCCATTTATAGTGGATTTTCCCATTAAAAATGGTGATTTTCCATAGCTATGTTAAATTACCAGAGGGTAAGTGTTTTCTGAATCTTTTCAACCATCCACACCGGCAAACATGTGGAATGTGCATACTCATACCAACCTTCGACCTATTGAAAAATCACGGCTATTCAACAGTAGTTATGTATGTTGCCTAAGTGTTACATCCGGTACAACGTCCTACAACAACTGCATATCTCAATCTCCTGATCATAGTTCTGTACCGCTAATATCCGCGACATGTCTTTCTAAAGGGGATTTGTCTTTCACCGTGTCTGATGTTTCATATGCGTTGCTTCAATCCCCAATAATTTAGTTAATCTTCCCATGTTCCTCACCGTTTATGCATATGTTCCCGTCAGCATTTTTTTCTTGCGAAATTAGCCATGAAAACTACCAAGATCCCAACCCATCAAATACTTGTTTCCCCAACATTTCATGGGATAACAGCCAATATTTTTGTCTGTTAAAATGGTGCTGCAATCCTTTTTTTTCACGTGAATCTTGGATACCCTGGGAACAACTCATTCTTTATCTGGTCAGGTTCATTTATCCCATCATAATCCATTTTCCCATTTATGGCGGACAATTGAAATATTAAACTACAAGGTAATGCCCCCTAGTTATTTTTGTTGATTTGTGATGCCATCTAAAGTTATTTGA